ATTTTCAGCCCCAGAGAGACTTGCAATTAGTCATCGTTTGTTGTGGATGAGTCACACACCATTTATTTTTATGACATTTTGAATAGGGAATGTCATCCAAATTGTCATAAGATCTTTTTTTCGATTAAAACAATTCGCTCGGGAAGATATTCGAATTAAAAATGCAAACTCTGCACTCGCCGGTTGCGCAACAAATATTTGCTCAGGCTTTTTTGGCGGGGACAAAAAACATGACACTTTGTTTACCCAATGCCATAAAATTTGTTTGCTCTCGGCCACTCATCCGGATGAATTTACAATCTCAAATTTACAATATATTTAGATCATATTCGAGGGGTGTGTGGGTGATTATTACAGTGGTTTGAAATAAAAATGTAATTCAAAACATATTTTAAACGTCCGGCCTTGTATAATGTAATTGATCCCATCGTTCATCTCTGATGTTCTCTCTCTCACAGTTTGTTTTCTTTTTCTCTCTACTTTCCTTAATTACAATATGTTTGCAAAACTTTTACAGCTCTCTTTTATTCGGCACTTAATGCGAGTATTGAGCCAATTAAGGAATGGGAGGGACAGGAAATGTTTTGGGGGTCATTTGTTCTCTGAACTCCCGCCGCTTTCACGCTCCGGGGGGCCCTCCAGAAGCTACAGGGATTCTGATTTTCGAATTTTACGACCAAAACTTTCGTCGTATCTTTTGTTTAATTTGACGCGAGGTTAATGGGAATTTGCCGGCAGCCTGAGGCCGTTGAAGTCATGTTGTACTTTCCCAAGTACCTCTTTGACTTTTCTTCGTATTTTACAACCGTTTTCTTCCACTTCTTCCGTATCCTTTCTTCCCCTCCCACTTTCCGACCCCATTTTTAATCAAATACCGGACTTTAATGTCATCCGCACGGTGCATGAGTGTTGCTGTGACCCCGTATTTTAATTGTGACACTTCTTTTCCCTTATCGATCATCCGATCAAAACAAACAGATGCTTTTTATCACTCTCAAATATCAATTTAACGGTAAATTTGCCCAAATTTATTGATTCGATTTCCGATTTCACGGCCCCAGACTTTAATTCAATTTGCAAAAAATGAACTTCCGCTGAGGTAGTAAGAGTAGTGTGGATAGAAAGAGCGAGAGCAGTAGTTGTAAGTGTCACAATGATGGACATCTGCCTTTCCTACTGTTCTCATGAATACTGTATTTAAAGGACCAAGAATTCCTTCAAATTTCCTCTGTTTAAAAGAACAAGCCCTGCGGGCAAGAGTCTCATTCCGAATGGACATTTGAGGGACAGGTATCGGAAAGGGGGAAATAAATAATAAATGCCTTGGCTAGCCGTTCTCCCAGCCACTTTCCCAGCCCCTTTACTTTGGAGTAATCCCGCCGGTACTTGCAAAGTACATATTATGTCAAGTTTTTCCTCACAAATGTGTTTCCCGTGATCCGACTCTTGCTTTGTTTGAGTTAAAATGTTTGCCGAGATCGGGGTTGTAGCTGGGGAGTTGAAGTTCCCAAATATTTGTCTTGCTGATAACAAACAAAATATTCAAACAAATTTGCACTCGAGTGTCAAATTCGAAAAAAAAAACTTTCGAAACATTGGAAATCCGAGCTCGGTGTAAAAGAGTACGTCTTCTTCGCTGAATTTGGTGGAAATTGATTGATTCTCATGGTTGAGTGATTGTAAGGGTGATGGGATTACTCTTACAATTACTCGGGACCTCGTTTAAATTGTACTTTCGAGCTCTGCAAAGCCTTTTGTGATCTTTAACAGTTTAAGTTTATTTTAATTGCCACAAGATACAAATCACTGCTCCTTTCTTATTCTTTTTTCTATTTCTTCCAGCACTTCCAGTCATTCTCATCTTTTATGTTATCCCAGCACTCTAATCAGTCTGGATTTAGCAAATCCCTGTTTAAATATTCAATCTCCTCCAAAACTTTCCACTTCCCGGTTCTCTTACCCCCTTCTTTACTCTGTAATTGTGTTACTTTCTCGTGGATCACAGGTAATTCGATTACTTTTTGCCTCGTTTTTTGTGGCCAATCCAATTTCCTCGGCTCTTTTGTGTATTTTAGGAAGGGCGTCTCTCTTTTCCTTCCCTGATTCCATATTCCATAAGTTGTGGGAAAACCTCGCGCCCCAAAATAACTTAAAAATTCAACCGGTGCAAATGACTCCTAAATGGTTGTGTTTTTGGCAGTTTCGGTGATTACTAGGATGTTGGAAGGGCTGGGAGTGACAGCCAGTCATATTATTTATATTATTAACATTATCCTTTGTCATCTTAGAGGTCTACTACAATATTTGGCTAGAGAGTCCAAAAATCTAACTTATCTTTTGCCCTCTTCTACCTAAGTAATCTTTTACAACAATTTTTTTCTTATTACAACTAAACTCGTGCCCTTATTTCCCCCTAAAATGGTCGATCAAACATCCATTTTGTCCGCTGATTAGCCCGTTGTATTCAAAAAACCTTAATTCAGAAATCTTTGCACAGCCGTACTTTCCCCAAGATGTTTTTTTAATTAAATAGTCATCTTCTGCATGATTTTTAATATCATAGATGCAGTGCAATTTATCGGATAACTTTACAACAATTACCCGGTAACTTTTTGCATTACATCGAGAGTACAATCTTATTTACATCAACAAGGTCCTCGAGTCGAGTGCCTTCAAAATAGATGTAAAGGCAAAATATTGTGCGTAAAATGACCTTGTTTTACACAGAGATGTAGTCTGCACTGTGTGCTGTTTGTAGAGGAGACTGGGATTGGAAAGGCCAAGGTGTATCCGGCTGTAACTTACAATTTTTCGAGTAGTTGCCTAGCAAAATTGTTGTCCAAGAATGCCCTTGTCGAACGGAATTAGACTCTCGGGCTGGGCCGCTAGCGTATTCAAAAATAATATAATAGAACAACAATTGGTATTAGCTAGCCAAAAGGTCCAAAAAGTTTTAAAAACTATAAAAATGGATGCTAATTCAGCCCTTCTTTACCTCGACCATCATTTGGTGCATTTACAAAATTTTCCCTTTATTCTTGCAATTTCAAAAATCTCATTTTTACATCTAGTGTCTTGCAGATGTAAGTGTAGCGTCAACTTGTTTATAAAGCTTTCTCCTTTTTCTTGGTATGGATTAAGGCTTTATTATCCCACACTTCTTTTTATCTGCCCTTTTAATGTTTTGACTTGCATGTGTAATATCTCGATGTGAACACTGGTTGTGTAGATATCCGGTGCTGAACATTTCATCGACCTGTGTTCTTATTTTCGATTAAACTCGCTCCCTGCAGCTTTCCACATCCATTTTCTTTATCCGCTTTCATTTCTTAACAGGTTTATGGGCCTTCGTAAATACCTTGTAATACTGTTTAGGGCGTTGTAACCAATCTTCGAGGTCTTTTCCCCTGCCTAATATATCCTCTCGTGCAAACGGAACCTAATCTTCTGTACGGATTTGTGATATTTTTAATCGAATTGACGTAGTTCCTGTCGGATTTCTTGAATCCGCGGCCGTAAACATCGATGCACCTAATTGGCATTCATAATACCATTTCATCAGCGATATTTTAAGCCCCATCTAAGCCGCATGTTTGTCGCCTTAACAGGGCGATTAATCCCGCGCGTCATCGGCCGCTAATTTGAATGGGCTAATCGGATTTCGGCCGCGGCCCCACTATAAATATGGGCCGCAGATCCACAGCCGGCTTCCTTCCAAGACGACACCGGTAATTTCGTCGATGGAATAAATAAAATGGCCAAATCCGGCCTTCTCCCAAAGCAGGATTAAGCCCTTTTCAGAGTGGCCGCTAATCCGATCAACGTACTTTAAAAGCGGCGCTTTGGGGCGGTTTAAGCCCTCCGGCTGCGACTGGAAATTCCCCTTATAATCGGGCTTTGCGTACGCGCTACCTGGTCGGTTATGATAAGCTCTTAATTTTGGAAAATATTGCGTAACGCCACTTTAATTCGGGGCATTTCTATTTATTATTATGCGAATAGGACATGTGATCGATTCTTTACTTATTTTATAAATTCACCCTTTTTTACATCTTCCATTCACAATGTAAAATTCAATTTCGTGTTCTTTGCAACTGTAATTGGACATTTCCCAGACACAACATGCATATAAACATGTCTCCACAACACGCCCACCCTCATAGGGATGGAGACCATTCATCAGTTGGAAATTCCTATTTGCATCGGCGAACAACGGTCAATAATAAGTGTAAAGTGCCGATTAATCATGCTGTTGCGCAATCCCTTCCGTTCTTTTTTTGTAAATTTTCATTCTTGCGTTTTATTTCGGGGAAACGCGTGTTTTTACAATCGAATTAGGGCAAAAGTCTTCCTAATCTCTGGCTGATAAGGACTGATAAGATTACGACTTCTTGTCCTGTCCTCCAAACATGTTCTCCTTCCCATTCACGGACATTTGAATATGCCCAGCCGAAGTTGTTCATGTCTATTTGCAGTCCCCTCTAATCCAATTCTCCTAATGCCTAATGTAATATGCAATATTTAATGTTCTGTTATTTGGGAATGAAATCATGGATGCCGCAGGGCATTTTGCGTCTTGCGAGGGACTTCCTGGATGTCCTTGTGTTCGGGGGGATAACTCTTTTTGGGGCCGACCTTCTCATCCTGTTGTTTATGATCTCGGGAAGGTAATCTCGCGAGGGCCGCGTCAATGTGAAGATTAATTACGGGGGGCTTTGGCGGCTGATTTGCACCCGGCTGTGTGTTCACGGCCGGGCTAATCCGCCAAAGCCCTCTGATTGCACTGGATGGTAATCCCTCTTTGTGTCCCTTAACACCAACAACATGGCTAATTTCGGAAATGAATTACGAACCACTGAGGTATTTCGCGGGTCTTAAGCCGGGCTTAGAGAAAAGAAGTCTTATATGGATTTAGCGGCCCAAAATGTGTCGGATTAATTGGTGGGATTTGGGAAATCCACGGCGTCATTGGTCGCCCCCTCGGGCGGTGTTTGTGATGGATGCAAAGGTCGCTGAAATGCCGTCTTCCCGAGAATGGTGCCCCGGCTATAAATATGCCCAATCTCCGAGTAATTAGCTTGCAAATTGTTAATCAATGGGATTAATTAAGTCGCTGCTTAATATTTATGCTCATCCCTTTTGGTCGCTTTGTTTTTTATCCTTTTCTGTTAATCCCTACTTTCCGCTGGCTTCATTCCAGTCCTCCTTTTATGGACAATACCACCTCATTCTGTATGCAAATCGGGTATGATCGTATCACACTCGTGGTGGAGTGGCCTCATTACTTTTACGTTATGATGCAAATCCCGAGAAGCGTCCAGAATGGCTGGGCCGGGGTTTCCTCGGCCCTTAATCCCTGAACTTTATGCATATCCGCTTCTTTCCCGCTATGATGCAGAAGAATCAGCGCTGATTCAGGCAGTTGTTGTAAAGTTTGAAACCTTGGCCGTGTATGTTTTCCCGCGTGTTGAGTCAGGGCCCCGTTACTCAGCCTTGGCCCGTTTCAGACAGTGGCCATTCCAAGCGTTTCCTCGCCCCGATCGTCTTCAGCCGAAGTGGATCAGCCCAGCTCCAGTCAGGACGCAGCTACCGGTGCCATGCTTTTCCCGCCCGAAGACCTGACCAGTTATATGATGCAGAACAACAACGACCTCAGCGCTTTCTTCCAACATCAACAGCAGGCGGCCGCGGCTTCCTCGATTGCGGCCGCCGTTGCTGCTTGCTCAGTGCAATCGAACAGCAGCGTTGCGGTCACTTCCAGCTGTGCCAAATCACAGGCTCCGCCTCTTTCGATGCCGACGGGCATGTTAAAACCAGCCGGTTTCAACCTGGCGTAAGTTTCCCTTAATTGTGGGTTAATCGGCAGGCAGGTATGAATATGGACACAGATTATTCTGCGGCCCATTCGAATGCCGTATGTAATTTTCTCGGTCATGCACGTAATATGTTTACCATTCTAGGCCCATCAACGACGTTGACATGATGAAACTCCTTCAGAACCCAAATCTCTTGCCGAAATCCTTGCCCAGCGGCCTTCCCCCTCAACCCAATGACCACAACAAACCAAAGCCCAAGGAAGGCAATCGGCCAACAGTTTCTCCCATACCGCCCCAACTAATGAATGGTATCTCCTCGTCCCCTTCCCACATGGTCAATGGACTGAAACGTCCACAGCCAGGCACCGGACTGCAGACACTGGTGAGAAACCTTACAATGAACATCAATAGAACCCCCTGTTCCTGGCCTAACAAGTGTAACTTTCTTTTTAGCAAGAACAATTGGTGTCATCGATGAATGGACCTCCACCAGCCAAAAGACATTCCATCTCAGCGATGCCCACTGGCCCCAGTCTTCCACAGAATGGCCTGATGATGTCTGGACCCCAAATGAACCCTCAACTTGCAGCTGCAGTGGCTGCTCAGCAAATGAATTTGAGTAAGATGAATATGTCACAACCAGGGATGATGGGAATGCCCGGATTAAACGCTCAATTCATGCCAAATCAACGGATAAATGGAAACGACGGACCTCAGCCCAATCTTCTGAATGTGCCTGGCCCTGCTCAATTCAATGCAATGAATATGCAACAACTCCAACAATTGGTTCTCCATCAACAATTGCAACAACAACTGCAACAACAGGCCAAGAACCAGAACCAGGCCAAGTTGAGTGGAACCGCCCAACATCATCAGAATATCCAACAACAGCATGCCAACTGGATGCAGGCAAAGTTCATGGCGGAACAACAACAGCGATTGGCACAACAACAGGTAAAGATGACTGCAGCAGAGATTTAACAAAAATTCTGAATATTGATCTTCTTCTAGCCCTTTTTTTGCACACAACATTCCTGGTGTACTCTGAAAATCATCAAATATTTGCAAAAATAAGGGACGACTGAGTGTGCAGTCATCGAAATTAATCTAGTTTGGTTCAAAATTGGTTTAGGAGAACTGGATTAAAAGGCCCGTGCACTGAATGAAATGTTTCGAAATTAGTTTTTTGCCCCAAAAACATGACCCAAATTGAATTATTCGTGCGTCTAATTTGATTTGCCTCCACTTTGGACATATGGGAAAACAAGGCCGGAATTATATTCATCATAATTAATGTGGCCAAGACCACAAAGGGCATCAAATGCGACATTATTTTATATCATAGTCATAGGGAAATAAGCATTAATCACCGTCTAATCATTACTTATTACAGCAGCAACAACGAATGAATGGGCCTTCACCCATCATGAATCAAATGCAACTCTTGCAACTTATGCAACAACAAAACCAGCAAGCTCAGAACAATCCGCTGGCTTCGAATCCAGCCTTTCTCCAACAACAACAATTAATGCAACTCCAGCAACAACAACAAATTCTCCAATTACAGCAACAACAGGCACAGCAACATCACACGGAACAAAGACGTCGCGCACAGACGATTGGGAATGCCAGTCAACTGAGTGCGCTCCACAATCAAATCCCCTCGATTACTCTCGGCCAAGGGATCCCACAACCTTTAGTCCAACAACTCCCGACCTCACTCACCCCCTTCTCTTCACTTACCCCTCAACCACATCAACCAGCCATCTCTCCGGCCTTGTCCAACAATAACAACGAGCAGCCCCAGACTTCTAATATTCTTCCGAATGGAAATACTCCCGTTGTTTCATCACCATCGGCTCCTGTTGATAACGCATTAACAAATCCCCCAACTCTTCAGCCAGAACAAGGAATGCCAAATCAGGAAGCTCTTCAGGTAAGACACGATACAATTCTAATAACATACGTAACTAAGGTTACAACTAAATATTTCTTTGTGCTCATCTATTTACTTTCAGAAAATGCTAGCCAGTTGGTCTTCAATAATCGACCCTCAGGTCCTTCAACAATTCCAACAATTAGCAAACGCCCAGACAGCCGTTAACCAAGGGAATGGACAGCCTCAAATCACGATGACTTCAGCCTCAGAGGTGATGTCAGAGGGCTCTGTCGCCAGTCTCTTGGCCCCTCAATCGAGTTCAGTGGATTCGGCAGCCCCAACTACAAGAGCTGGGTCAACAAATCCGAACCAACCCGAAGATTCGGAGAAAAGCGAAAATGGATTGGTGATCGCTGAAGAAGAAGACAACCCGGTGGTCGATTAATCGACCGCTTTCTGTACGAATTGATCTTCTCTTCCAGGGCTTCATGTCACTAGATTATGCCCTCAAAATGGCCGTATCAAGCTTTTAGACGGTTAATTGATCTATTCACGGGTCCTTCGATTTTTCAAACACTCCATAGTTAATAGATTAAGTAATAAGTTAACTTTGGACTAAATGTGCCACTTCTGGCCGGATTGAAAAATACCATTTGTAAAGGCTCGTCAATATATCGATAATGTCCTGGCGTCGTTTCCCCTTGTTTGTCCAGGTTTTTGGGTGGAAAGATACCTTATCATGAACAATATTTGTATCTAAATCTATGTCTCCGCACATTTTTTTCGTGTAAAAACAGTAAAACTCATGTACTTTTTAAACGTCTTTGTTGTAAACTTTTGCCAAGATTTTAATTTTTTCTATCCGTGATCTCTTCTTCGATTATGTGAACCCGCCTCTAATTATTCTGTCATCTAGCATATCCATTAAGTAAATATTTTGATCTCAGACCGAGACTTTCCCATTAAATACTCGTTTGAAAAGATATTTTATCCGAAGTAAAGGAATATTGCTCATTTTACTTGTGTCTTTTGAAGTTTTAATCCACAAAAAAGTGAAGAATAGAGGGTGGAATAATTTAAAAGTTACTGCAACAGAAAATAAGATAGAAAAATATGTCATAGATTACAAAAACAACCTACTCATGAGCTAAATCATAATATATATTGACGTTATGATCAAGCTGGAAAATATTGTGGAGAATGAATAAATCGAATTTAAATAGCCCGATTCCGGCTGCTTACACAACTTGACGTTTCTTTCCCATATCTTCCGAGGTGGTCATGGTGTTCTCAATGGAATGTACTCGCTTCAATCCCTTGTCCACATGTTTCTGTTCCACTTTACAGAACATTTCATCGTGTTTCCGTTGTTCAGCCACCTGTTCATGGTAACAATTTCTACAGACAGCTTCGTACATCTCCTTGCCACCGATCACTTCAACCTAACAAGATTCAATTTATACATGAATGGTTCATTATATTACTCATGCCCCCTCTTCTCACCTGGTTGCATTTCACGGTGCGCAATGTGAATGAAGCGTCGTCCCCGCAACGACAGACCGCATTCACCTTGTCCACCTTCTCGGCCAAAGGGAAGAGCGTTGCGATGTTGGGAAACGGCTGCAAATAAATAAAACATTCATCATGATTTTAGATAGCTAATATTTGGACCGGTGAATCGGCGATTACCAATACATTATGCATGAAAGCACACTTTTATACAACCTTTCCAATAAATTATTCATGTTATTCAAATACTACTAGTACTAATGTGTAGCCCATTTCAAATTACAGCTTATTTTTACGAATACCAGATCTTAAATCAAAGTAATAAACCCTATTATCACCAACATCACGCATCCGATCATCTTCTTATCTTCTTACATCCGTTTTATCGTCTTACATTTCGCCTCTGCTTTCCCGTTTACAATCATCCCTCTATTGTGCAATATCACTATATCATCTTAGTCCATAATCCCTACCTTTCGCTGAAAGTCGCCATCCAGAGCAGCGATGATCACTGTTTTGCCCATATCCGCCAAACTCTCCGCGCATTCGACCACATCCTCGAACTAAAACCAAACAATATTGACATGAATAAAGGGAGAAAGGCTTACAAATTGACCTTCATCAATCCCAATCACATCATTTTCAATCAACTTTGACCACACATCGTTCACTTTGAGAGCTGAGATCGCATCCATCTTCCGGCTAAACCAAATATCCATGGAATATTATATTCACTTTTAACAAAAAAACTTACAGATCGTGAGTGCATACCATAACATCATCGTATCTGGTGTCCCTGGCATACTTCACAACAATAACTTTCTTCCCCGCCAAACTGTAACGGTTGGAAAGTCGGAACAATTCGGTCCTGCAAAGAGTACTGTATTTAATTACTGATTACAATAATTACAGCTCATAAAAAATTAACTAAACTTTACAGTTACTGAACTAATATAAAATGAGTAAAGGAAAGGTCGGGTTTGTAATATCTAATCAGCCAACACCTATAATTCCCATGCTTACAGCTATTTTTATTCCAGTTACACCTGCACTTGAATGTTATAAAATACGCAAAGGCTTCCAAACCCGGCCATTACTTCGTCTGGTAAGTTTTTGCAGAGCAAGGACAGCCCAAATATCGGGGTGTTGTTTACAAAATTATAATTATTTAGGGTAATTCGGATCTAAATTTTTAGAGATAATATTAGAAAACAGCTGAACGAGAAATTAACTATTTGGAGATCAGAACCCGCATTCCAAAATTTAGAAACGATTTTGGAAGCAACATGACTTTTGGATACCCAATAACTAAACTTACGTTTTGCCACTGAACATTGGTCCAACAATCAAATGAATGGAACCGCTGGACAAGTGGTAACGATTCTTCATTGCGAAAGGAGGATACGACCTAAAAACAAATAATCAACGGCTGAAACATCAATATCAAAGGAAAGATCCTAGAACAGAAATCCAAGACAATGCGCAGGAGCTTATTATCGGCAATAAAGAGGAAGAAACCCACATCTCAACCTATAATAGATCCAACCGGAGCACTTCTTTTCGCTGCGATTTCTCTCAAAAAAACCGAACTGTGCTTTTTTGAAATCCGATTTTGGCGGGAACAAAACGATTCTCGGTTATCGTATACGGTATACCACGCACCAGGAACGGTTGCATGGAAATTGGGCGATTTTTTTATAAACGCCCATAACATGCAGCCCCAGGAACGGTGAGGTATAACACTAAGAGTTTTTAATGGATGAGGCCTAAGTACTATCCTTAACTACTCTGACTACCTAACCTTCTACCTTGCCCCGCGTATTCCATCAACAAAAAAATATTGGAGAGCATAAAATCGCGAACAGAAAACTCGAACAGCGTTTTATCGACGAAATGCCACCAAAAAGAGCCCTCGATAGATCCGGGGAGTCAGATAAACGAGTTTCTGCAGACAAAAAAACCCTGAAGCAATGATACCGATTATCCACATAGATCAAAACGGCATGAAATAACCGTACTCACCTGTATGGGCCGTTCTCTACATTTCTTGCTGGAATTTCAATCCTTTTTTGGACAAAATCCTTTGTAAAAAGCTTAAAAGGAGTTAACAAAGAATGGAATCTTGATGAAAATATTGTCCGTAGGACTTTCATTCGGTGCCGAATGCTGTTTTACCATTAGACGCTCTGAAAACGAAGGTATCCACAAGTTTTCGAACGTACGTTCCTCTTCGTTTTGAAATTTTATTAAATTTCAAAATAAAAATAATACGTTTGGCCAAGGAAATACTTCGTTTCGGGAGTGAAAAGGAAACACTTCTAATATTTCAAACTAAACGATGACACACTCCAAAAAGTCAAGATTTATTTGAAAGTAAAATTTGAAGACTTGGTTAGTCCTCGGGCTGGCAAAGAGTTCTTGGCCGGAGCCTCACTCTCGAATTCAGTCAATCTAGGATTGACCTCGGTGGATCTTGAGCGCTTGTAAACGCTCAGCAGCTATGTATGCAGGGAAGTGCGTATCCCTCAAATCAGTCGACTCAACACAACACAACACGTATATATAGATATTTATCTCGCGCAACACGTACTCAAAAACACTAAAGACACAAAGGGCTAGCAAAAGGGAGCTCAAGGCTCAGCAGACTCCAGGTGAACACCTCGGAGGATCGATCTCGTTGAAAGGAACGGCGGGCTTATATAGGGCGGCAGTGTTTGCGCAGTGGAGCCTTCTCGAAGTTGAAACTCATCATATTCATGAGTTTTTTATCAGTGATTTCGCCAGGAATTCATCAATGCCCTCATTTGCATTCGGATGAGTGACAGTTTTATGGGAAAAGTAATGGGTTCCCAGGGCTTGTTTGATTGAAGGTTTCATCACCATATTTCTTCATCTTCTCGAGTCGGGAGCGGCCGCTTGTTGTTTGCTAACTGTGCGCATAAATTAGCCGGAGGGAAATCGGGCGTGATTTGAGATTCTCCACGAATCTTACTTGAATCTGATGTAACGATAACAGATTTTATGAGTTTAAAACTTCCGTAAATCAAATTGCAATATGTTAAAGAAGATATAAAGCTATCGGTGAGATGTTAAAGCAGAATTGCACCTAACAGGCGAGGGAATGGAAGTGTTTTGTCATGATGTTAGGGTAATATGCCTTGAGAGACAAGGGTATACAATCCATTGGTTACTTTACAAACCCTGCACTCCTTAGTCATTATTCGGACTTTGTGGAGCTGAGAGGTTGGAGTTCGTGTGATTTGACATGACCTTCCAGCTGTTCGATAGTTTCGGGGAGTTCCTTTCCAGCTGTTTCTGGTAATGATAACACGATTACAGCCGCGAGGAGACCCAGAGTGGCGAAGGGGATGATCATAGCCACTTTGCCGAACTGGTCGACCAACCACATGGAGATGTACGAGGCCAGGATCGCGCCCACACGAGCCATCATCGAGCACATTCCCATCGCCGTATTTCGGATTACGGTAGGGAAAAGTTCGGGAGTAAAAGTGTAAATTGAGGCATACGTTGCCGTGATTGCACCCTTGGCCAGAAGAAATTGAACCATCGATACTAACCAGTGAACTGAAAATATATTCATATTAGATGGAAATAATGCGGACAGTATATCACACCGCACTCTATAAATTACCATTGGCACCAACAAGGAGATTCGATATCATACAAATGGAAGCGATTGTGAATCCACCAGAGAGCAGAGGTCTTCTTCCGATTCTGTCAATCAAGAAGAATACAGTAATTACTGAAGGGATTTCAATTAGAGCTCCAAAAATAAAAGTCGTGTAAAGATTTCCACCCAAGAAGTTTGTGTTCATCGAAACTCCATAGTAGACCATGGAAACAATCGGCCAGCAGAGCATGATGGATAAAGATATCCTCCTTAACTTAGGTGTTCTGACCAAGTCAAAGAAGTTGTGCTTCTTTTTGGATGTCTCGCTTTTTGTTAATGTAGTGTCGTCCGTCTCCACTTCCTCCCACCATTTCTCCGGCACTTGCGTTTTGTTCCATTTTGCGGCCTTTCGGATCACCTTATCGGCGTCTTCGTATCTTCGCTGAGATACCAACCACCTTGCTGATTCAGGGATCAACCACCAATAACTTAGGAATACCAATGCGGGGACTGAAATGGCCAGCTGAAGATATTGATAATCTCGGATGAAGTAGGCCGTGATTCCAAGGAACATTTGCCCCAGAGCAAAGAAGATCCCTGTGAAGATTGAAGCCACCTTTCGTTTAGATGGGCCCACTAATTCCATCCCAATTACAACAGCGATCACAAAGATGCCTGTAAACCAATGTTATAATAATTTAAAATGTAATTCCTGAAATGACCTAAACCTCGAATAAAAAGAATAAAAGCATACCCGGGTGTGAGAATCCGACGGCGATTCTGCAAAGAGAGAATATAATCCAATGAGGAGCAACCACCATTCCAATTCCACTGACAATAAGGACATTGATGGCGATGAAGAAAACTTTCTTACGACCAATCCGATCTCCCAGGAACCCAAAAACTAGAGACCCGGCCATCTGGCCAACATAATACATTGATTGAATCACTGCCTTCAGAACGGAGCGATCACACACGATATCCCACTAAAATAAAGTATTACCTATCTACAGTAATCCTACCCTTTGCATGGCCGAGAATTTGATCACCGAGTTATCATAAACGAATCCATTATTACATTTAGTCCCATTACTGTATGCACAAGACTCATACGGACATCTTTTCCAATCCGGGTGGTCACTCAAATCACATTTCTGAACTGATACTCGTTGATCTTGCTCCGGAAGCCAATATGGAGAAGTTTTCGTTTCTCCGGGCAATACGCATCTAAAACAAAAACTAAATAATATGATTCCTCCCACCTATGGGGTACTGTAGCTCCTGAGAATGTCCATGAGAGGGCGTGGAATGCTGTGAAGAGAGTTGGGAGACACACCAAGAGGAACTGCACCTTCTGATACTTACCAAATTCACCCAGATAATTTACTATCAAGTCATCGAACTTCATTCCTAAATTTTGCAAGTATTATTCACATGGTAGGGACGCGTAAATCCGTATTATTTCTACAAATATATCCGTGAAATAGGATTCTCGGAATGTCGTATGCGAGAGCCATACGAAAGGCAGAAGATACGTCAAATGCAGACGCGTTTCGAGTGAAGCTGTTCAAACAAATTACTAAATAAATATGGAAATGGAGACGGCCAAGTTTGGGGAGATTTCAAATGATTGCTCTTGAACACGACAACTAGTATACAAACTCAAAACAAACCCTACACAGGTTTTTATTATAGGGGAGAATCGAATCGGAAAACTCCGAAGGACCGGAAGGGAATATCCGAAGTGATGTCGTTGAAAAATGGCCGTTTTTCTTGTAAGGAAGGACCAAAAGAAGCTTTAGGGGCTATTTCCTTGCCATCAACGCAGGAGAAAGACTAGTTATAACCGCTGCATTCACATATGTTATACTAGGCATAAGTTACCCTTAAAATAAAAAAAAACCCGCAAATATCTGCACGATTCTACGGATTTATGCACTATAACCATTGGATTGAGTGTTATTAAACTTGTTTTATTACGAAACACCTGTACAAGTCCTCGGGGGATATGCATCCATAATTCCACGAGTGTCCATAGAAATATAAATAAAAAGGGGGAGGTAAGTCAATGTACATTACTCTATTACCACAAAATAGAGGAGACGGGAGAGATCAGCAAAGGGGAGGCGGGGTCGGGAGGGACCTCAGGTCACTCAGGGTTTGGGCCGCACCCAATTCCGGGGTTTCCAACGTATCGCGGCCGGATCAATCCTAATCATCCGCTTCTTCACCGACCGTTTGAAGGCGTCGATCATCTCGTTGGTCAGGCGGATCACGTTCTCCCCTCGCACATAAGCGTACATTTCATTCACCTGAAAATGGAATTACGTTTGGATGGCTAGACGCATGGTAAACATGAAGACTAACTAATAATAACCGTTAAAGTGCAGTTTAGATTCATAGAAACGCTAATTCAACACAACAGACAGAGAGAAATAAAAAATAAAAAAAGTAGTTTGACTCACCTGTAATGTGGTGATAATGTCTTCCTTCTTAATACTGGTCAATTCGCACAAATCCATGATGGAGATGGTGGTCTTTGTGTCGATTTCCTCAGTGGTATCATCCGCCAACATGATATCTTGAGGGATCTGAGCATTTTCTTCGATTCTCTTCAGAATCGTCTCTACGATTGTATTATGCCAATAACTTCTGTACGACAAAAGGCCGAGGTCAGAGAGGGGTTTCTCGGGACTTCCCGTTTTCTTCTCGATCTTGGACAATTCATAACTGAATTCGATTAAAAGTCGACCATAACCTCTCTTCTGATATGCTGGCAGCACCAAAATACACGCGACGTTGTATTCGTCAGCAGATTCCTTCTCCTAAAAAAGATCAAACACGATGAATAATATAATTTGAAGAATGTTGAAAACCCCAGCATTTCTTTCAGCATGGACAAAATCTTACTTTCGAGAAATATCCAACAATATGATCTCCAGTGTCTTTGGATTCGGTCATCACATAGAAAAGAAAGGGGTCCGTATCATAATACAGGGTCTTGTGGTCCAAGAAAAGCTTGGCCAGCAGACATAAATGTTTTGCATAGGTCTAAATCATAACCGTTATCAAATAAGAGCAACAGGAAAGAAAAATAAGCAAGTAATCACCCTATTACATCTCCCATCGACTTCGAAGAAAGAGATCTTATCTTTCCTGTATATCTCTTCGCCCGGTGGATGAGTCAAGTTGCATTTCGTCTATAACAACAACCGTTTAACTATCAATTTTCCTACCGAATGCCTTCCAAGGACAAACGCACTCTTCAAAGGCCTCAGACAGAAATCACAAAGATAGATACAAGGTAATGCGCATAGCTCTCGCGGATAAGGAGAGAAATACCATGGCTGCATTCGATGAAGTCCTAGTTGGATTAATTCCACATTCCTTATCCTTGTTTGAGCATCTTCTGAATGACCGACCATGGACATCGATCCACGAAGCGAAGGGGCGGCTACAACAAGTAAGGTTACTCATGAAGATAACAAAATTTATTCAAAATTCAGTTCTTACCTCTAGGCGCCGGAGCGGGAGTAGTAGGGACAGGAGATGACTCTTCCTTCTCATCAATCACTGCATTAAAATCTTCACCCCTCACCTCTGATGATATGGAATTGTAAGCTCTTTTCCTGGATGGTTGTAATTTTCGAACATCTCCACATTCCGGAGTTGATCCCCGAGAGCTCGCATCGAAGTCATAATCAGAATTATTCAATTGGGGAGTTGCCGGAAAATGAATATTCCGCCGATGAATCTTTTGAGGTAACGTGACAGTAGAGAGATCTAGCTGTCTTTCAGTGACCCACTCATCCAGACGCCGATTACAATCCACATAATGCACATAAAACGACCGCTCTCCCGTATACCCGACTTTTATGGATAAAATCTCGGCATCTCCTGCAAAACACGGACATCTTTCGTGTTGGAACATTTCCACTAACATCGTAAACTAAAAGTATCTTACTGTATTCACCAGTTCCAGACATTGCCACCTTCAGCCGACACGCTTCGAATAACATTTCTGGCCGCCACTGATTGGAATTACTGTCCTCCATCCGTCGCTCGAACTCTGTGGGGCCACAGACCATTGCCTTTAAAAATCATTAAGACCAGACAACAGATTCAACAGTATTCAACCGAAATCAGTCTTTATACAACACATGGATGACCTTGAAAAAATAGTTTATTATTTAGGGGAAAATAACAATTTAAGTTGAGAGAAAAAAGGAATTTTATAAGGAGACCTTAGAAAATATTTTAACGGAGGCATATTAGAACATAGGATGGATTCACTTCATGCCGTGGCTTCGGTCTTCACGTCCTTTTCATCAGTGCGAAGCTCGTTGAACGACTTGACCAAATCACCCAAGATATCGTGAAAACGTTGAAGGTTCTTACGAGAAATGGTGATGGAAGTGCGGTTGTCCGAGTTGAACCGAGTCTAAAACAAACCCACGCGTCAGCCAAGTCATTCTAAAGACAAAAAAACAACGTGAAATCATACTTCAGTGATACGGAGATAGTCGCCAAAGTCATTGGAGTTGCAGTCAAAGTAAAACATCTTATTGCGGACATCTCTCAGCTGCTGCGAGGCCGGCAACTTAGGCTCCTCCACATCAGCTCCGTATTCGTCGACGATTTCTTGGAGAAGCTTCTTGAATTCGGGGATCCCCTCAACTGGAATGTAGATTTGGTAGCGCTTGGCAGTCCGGTTGAAGGCCTGAGTAAGTCGGAGGAAGTTGCCCCAATCGTTTTTGCGGAGATCGGCAAAATAGATGCGACTTGCCGAAAGAATTCGACCAACTGGCTTGGGGTATTCTAAAACCAGTCCTTGACAATTGGATGCTAAACACTTACCAGTTGACTCGTTAATCTCGAGTTTGTCCAATAGCGCAATCAATTGTTTAACAATGGGCAAGGTCATCATCAGCTTGGCCTTTCTACGAACATTCAGGAGCTAAAAGAGGACAAAACAACATAACGCATCAGACAGGCTTATAAAAGCAAATGTAAAAAACATACAGCCACAATTTGGATGAACTTTCCGCGGTCGTTCTCCTTCAGATCGATGTAGAATCTTCTCTTGTCCACATTCAAAACCTTGGAGCAAATCTCGTGGCCTCCACGTTGATTCTCTTGTCCTTCCTGGCTTCCAGCCGAACTAGCCGTATCCGAAGACATTTTGGAACTTGCGTCACCTGAAGCCATCGAAGTTGACAGTGTTTTTTTCAAGAAAATAAACCGTAATCACCCGATGAAGCTACCCAAAAACGCAATCCTCAAAAATCAATTATTTTTGCATAAATTTGAATAAAACACGGACTAAAATCTCTTAGTTTTGCCAACTTGTAAGCTCGTTCCAGCAAAAATAAAAAATTTTGGGCGCCCAAATGCAAGCAAACGAAATGTCAAAAGAAGATTATTGATAGAGACGAAATGTCAAAAATATTATCTTTTCGTCGAAATCCAAAGACAGGGAAAATTGAAGAAGTGGAGTACTTTGTGCTTTCTTCAGATGACGATTATTTTGATCGATTGTATATTGTGAAGGTTTGTTTCAGCTTTTTACCGATATTATTTTAGTTCAGAAGTTCCGGGGACCGACAGAGATTTATTCAAGATGGGACAAGACGAAAACAGTAGAATTGCCAACCGAAAACCTTTAGTTTCCATCCCACGTAAGCTGTAACAATGTTCTTATTTTCGGCTTTTAGCAATGCCATGGTTTGGAATGGATACTGGTGGGACGTTGACCAAATTGGTTTATTTTGAACCTGCAGACACCGTAAGCATGACGAAGACATGCATCATTAATCTCTTGTTCTAGAAATACCTGGACGAGCATGAAAGTGAACTGGCAAAGACGATCCATCATTATTTAGTAAATAACAAAGCCTACGGGGAATCCGGAGTCCGGGATGTGGACATGCAATTGAATAATGTCGTGGTTAATGTAAGCTAGTTAGATTTTTTACATGCTACTGTTTAGGATAGAAAAGGAACTCTTCATTTTATCAGATTCCCCACCGAGAAGATGCCAAATTTTATAAAATTAGCGAGGAGCAAAGGATTCGCTATGATGAGCAGCACTGTTTGTGCGACCGGGGGTGGCGCTGTCAAATTCTTCACTATGACGGAACATGTAAGTGTATTCTCTTATTGTTGAAGTTTTTAGGAGCTTCATATGACGATGCGAAAGGCGGACGAGCTTGTTTCTCTGATCAAAGGTATAGAATTGGTGACTTCGTTTGATCCCGATGAATGCTATTATTATGATAATCCATTAGATCCCGAGAAATGCAAGAGAGTGATATGGTAAGTCTGTCAAACTCCGTGTTGTCTCTATGTTTTACTTCACTGATTGTTTCCTGATTTAGGCGGTGGTCAAGTGGGCGATGTTCATCAACAGATATGCATCATATTGGACAGCCAGTGAAGGAGGGATTACAGTATCCGTATGTGGTGTGTAACATTGGATCGGGTGTGTCGGTCCTCGTTGTGAGGTCTCACGATAAGTTCCAGAGAGTTTCCGGTTCGAGTATAGGCGGTGGATTCTTCCAAGGTTGTCATTATATTAGTTACAAAATTTATATTAGTACATTAATTCAGGCTTGTGTTCTCTACTGTGCAAATGCGACACCTTCGAACAAGCGATTGAGCTTGCGGCGAAAGGGGATAATGCAAATGTGGACAAATTGGTGAAGGACATTTACGGAAGCGGATATGAAAGTGTGGGTTTACCTGGGGATATTGTGGCGGCCAGTTTTGGAAAGGTTTGCAACAAGGAGGCTAGAGAACAGGTCAAGCCTGAAGACCTTGCCAGATCAGCACTGGTAACGACCGCAAATAACATCGGATCAATTGCATTGAATGTCGCAAACCAGCATGGGGTAGATCGAATTGTATTTGTTGGTGAGTATTAGTAATAGCTCTGTAAAGTATAAATTTAAAGGTAATTTTCTTCGGGTTAACCCCATTGCCGCGCGTCATTTATCCCACGCCATGGAATTTTGGTCCAACGGAACCAAAAAAGCTCTCTTCTTGAATCATGAAGGTTACTTCGGGGCAGTCGGATGTCTCGAGAAGCTAGTGGATCTGGTAGATGAACATAGAACTGTTGTTACAATTAATGGAAACGCCAACATTCAAGTAGATCACAAGTAAATCCTCACATTCCTAGTGCCTGAGATTGTTTGCCTTACTTAAAAGTATAGATTTAATAAAAGTATTATTGTCTTGTTTATTTCCAAGTTTAGTATTATTCGTCCAAGGTTCCTTCGTGTTCCGTTTCATAAAGTTTACAGTGTTCTTCTTTGATGGCAACTTTTTTCCCTGCAATCGGCTCGGAAGGAGGTCTCTTGTCCAGTTCGTGCTCAGATCCCATCTCCTGAATTTCTTTTAGATCCTTCTGTTGTCTATTCCTAACTTCCTCATCCAATAATCCCATCTTCTTCACCTTGTCCTCCTTAATGACAACATCCTCTCCTTCACTTAAAGAATCCTTCTTGGTCTCTTCTTTTGGGGATCCCTTCTTCTCATTATTTGACTTTGTATCTCCAGATTTCTCTTGTTTTGTTTTCTCTTGCTTACTTCTGAAATAACTTGTATTACAAGTGCCTAATGAAACTTACAATTCCTTCTTCTTAGCTTTATTCAGTTTTTCTTTGGTGTCCTTTGGCTGTTTGGATATCCCATCCCCACTGAAAAATAGATTAATATTGCCCACGCCCTCCTTACCCCTTGTGAGGCAGATTTGCACCTTTTTCTGGATCAGGTTGTTGCACCGGACTGGCCTTGACCCTCTCTTTCTTCTGCTCTGACTTCTTATTGCCCACACTGTCGCCGGACTTCGATTTGGAGAGAGTTTGTTTGTTTTTTCCCGCTTTATTTGCATTATTACAGCAGACGCAGATGGTGGACATCAGAGCTCCATAACTCAAGAATTCCCATAACAGCCATGGAAATGGAGAAAACATCGAGGACGAACTGGTCTAGCAGTCGGCACGCACTACGAATGATCACCATTTTACACAGATTTCGCACCCTTCAAAAATCGAATTTATTTTCTTTTTCTTGCAAATTTTTGTAAATTGGGCGCAGACAAAAAGGAGCGATTTTATACTATCAAAGGTTCTGGTGTAAAATTATTTTGCTGAAACGTACAAGATGATGTTTCATAAGATAGTTGCGGTTCTTTTTACATGTCAAATTCTATATGAGATCAAATCGAGAAAAGAATTTACTCTGCCGAAATAAATAGACAGAATTTTCAGACATTTTTAATCGTATGACATGTCTATTTCGTCCATTTTATTTTATCTGCAAAAATTCACGAAATCCTCTGCTAGATGTTAGATTAGGATGTTGAGGATCTCGCAACCAGCTAAATATGTAATCCTCAGCTCCAGAACGTCAATTCAAACTGGAAGATCGATGAGATGTTATGGCGATGCACCAGCAATGCCTAGTATTGTTACACCTTTTCTTACATACTTTTCTGATGCGAATATAACTCAAGGACTAAATATAGGCATGGAATGTAAGTTGTTTTCTCGTTTCTGAGCTTCTTTTAGTGATTCACGGGACTGGATTACCCTGGGTGGGGACATTTGTGGTTGCGGGGCTTGGACTGCGTCTCGCTACAGCGCCATTTCACGTCTATGCGGAGAAACTGTTTGCTAGGCGTATAAATGCTTACAACTACTTCCAAACAGAGGTCTTAAAGGTACGCTAAATTATTTTAATTTATTTTAATAATGAAATGCCGTTGTATTGTCTATTTTTAGAGAGTCGCCAAAAACAACAACAAACCAATAGTACCAGACGAAAGTGGGACCAAATTGGTTATTGCGAATGATCCGGAATTAACCGCTAAAGCGAGTAAAGCTGTAAGAACTTTGATTTTTTGAGTGTTACGTTGCTTTAGGCAGAAGAGGCGTTAATGAAGTATGTAGTGGAAAACAAGTTGCATTCATCCAGAATTCAGACGTTGAAGCTATGCACAGTGCCGTTTTGGATTTACTCTTCGTTTGCTATACGAAACGTCATAAGTGGTAAGTAAATAGTTCATGATTGATTTTTTTGAGTATTAATACAGCTTTTTGTTAATGTAATTCTTATCTTATAGCTGATTTTGCTCCTGCATTAAACGGGTTTCTTTGGATTGACGATTTTCTGCTGCCGGATCCTTACTTTGTCCTGCCAGTGGCAGTTGCTGTCTTTGGGTTTTTGAACCTTTATGTAAGTATAATCTCGAAAAATAGGTTGTACTTTTGCCGCAAAGTTTATGAATTTAATTTTAGTCCCAAAGGCTTATCTTTCCACGTCAGCCAACCACGCTCAACAAGTTCTATGATGGTTTTCTGGGGGCGTTTACAATGGCCGCCACCTTGATAATGATTAAAATGCCAGCGGTAAGATTAGAAACTTTTAATGAATATTGTTTTAGTGCATCCCCTTATATTGGTTGACAGTTAGTGCAACTGGCCTAGTCCAATCATTACTTCTTCGACATCCCAAAGTAAAATCGCTCCTCGGAATCTCTCGACTACCATATGACACTCGAACCCCTCTCAGAGATCTGTTTTTACTCAGAAAACGACAGAAGTTGTAAATTGTTGGCAGTTTTTTGTCATCAACAATACGACCAAAGAAAGGATAACCTTATTGCGGCTGATGACATTCAAAAACTGGTTGTTTTCTTGTTGTGTAGGTCCAAAATAAAATTATTGAAAAGCGCTGCACTTCCACCCCGCCGTAACAAGGTTACTTTTTACACTGTAAAAGTTTATTGGACCCGATGAAATGAGAAACCGGTATTCAGTATGATTACATTAGTTGTTATGGCCAAGGAGGAATGATAACGAGGAGGCGGGAAGGCACAATAAGTGGCAATATTTGCGAGATCTGACTAATATAAAAGACGTCATATTGCTGGGAACAGTGATTCACACAACCGTATTTTGTCTCAGATACACGGATACGTCAAAAACCGCCAATTTGGATACGCATACGGATATTTTCGCCAGAAATTCTGATACGGATGCTTTTGGCTGCTGATTCCCGAAAATTTTGCACTTTTAAAAAGCGAAGCGGTAAGAGATGAGTTTATAAAGAGTACACGGATTCTAAAAAATTTCTTTTATGATTTTTTGAACAGTTCTTCGACCAAATTTTGCAAAGTGGGATCAAATTTAGCCCTGAAAGTGTAACATCCGATGATTTTTTTATCAGTTACGGATTCCTTTGGGCCAAAAATATCCGTATGTATAACCGTATTCGAAAAAGTTGTGAATCACTGTCTGGGTATGAGGTTAATTGTTTTGCCTCAGGCCATCAACTCGGACCCCCTCTGTTGCATTTCCGAGTTGAGGCTGGCCAAGGCGTCGATGTTATGAGGCAACTTCTGAGTGCTCTCAAAGTAGCTGAAGCCGTTGTTGGTCGGGTCCCCGTGAGTGCTGACCAAAGCCCGGTCCGGCCGGAGGTCGTATTCGTAGTATTGGAGGCAACTGGAATTAATTTAGACTGTCAATCTTAGAGGTTCTCAGAGTGGAAACAAATTTAAAAAGTTAACTTATGTCTCACCTATAGATAACCATTACTTGCCAAACGTGGATTATTGCCAACAAGAAGCAGGACAAAACGGTTCCTCCAACAATGGCCACGATCACAGTTGTCGACGGTTCTGACTTCATGTTGTGTGCTAAAAGAACACATTATATCCGATATTATTATGAAAGGTATCCGAAATGCGTGCCTCTCAACTTACCAAGTATCATTTTCAGGGTCTCGAAGTTCATGATCGAGAAAGTGGCAATGACCAGACCCATAATTAAGCAAACAATAAGTTGAACTACCTGAAGAACCAATATAATCATAACAAAACGACGAACAACTTACAGATATGATGAGAAAAGGATAAAGATACTTGTGTTTTTTGCGACAAAACCCGTAAACAGTCATGACTGTGACGAGGAAAGGGATTCCAGTCCATACCATAGCCTGAACCATCCCAAAAACGAGTCCAAACATCGTGAGAACCACGTAGAGAACGAGAAAAAGTTTGGTTCCGAGCTGAAAACACAACGTTTTAAGGGTTCAAAATCTCTTTCAGAAGTCTGGTAAGTGGTTAACGTTAAGTTCAATAACAACTCACAACAACATGGATCTGACCACAACAACATCTGTACTGTTTTGGTGGATGAACTCGAAGTTCAAACTGTTCGGCCGTGTAGTCGAAGGAGGCCTCGTTCATGGGGATATAGTTGACGGCCGAGGAGGAACTCGAGTCCAGAGGATGTCGTTCCGCCGTCGAGTGGGGTTGGCCTGAAACGAGAGTATACGTGAACACTGGCCGCTCGTCATCCATAATAGCTCTTAAACATGACCTTTCATGTTTCCGGGTCCTTTCTGCGGCCCCGCTAAATAGGTTTGTAAATTTGGTTTAAAAACGACGGACTTGGACATCCTCCTTCCAAGAGACCTCACCGACCTTCTTGAGGGCCCGTTGACGAGCCGGACGAAGCGACTCTGTTGTGGGAACAACCACGTGTCAGAAGGAGCGGCGAGCCAGCTAGCGCATAACTACTTAGCGGAATTAGAGGGCCGTCGCTCAATGGACGGAGGGAACTCATTGTTGGGGTTACAAAGGACAAGCCCATGTAACCTGGGTCAATGGCACATATTACTCTTTCCCGCTTTTTCTGTTCTCCCGATTTTCGAACCCACCCTGCCAAATCAAGGCCCATTATCCGTAAAGGACAAGATGCCTTAATTGGACGCTCACCTGAGCCCAGGGAGCGTCGAACGAGTTTCTCACGGCCTTCTTCCCGGAACCGAACACGTCGGCCCGGAGCAGAGTGTAGGCAACTTGATGACGCCGACTTCTTTGACCTCACAATGATGGTGTTGTTGTTGAGAGGAGGTGGTGAAGCGGACGGCGTGCCCGAAGGCAATTCCCGGCCCCCATCAGATCTCGACATTCGTTACCTCACATCCACCACCATGGACATCACGGCACAACTTCAACGAAAGGTTATCGCAACAAAACAGTGTATGCTATCATCTTCGGAAATGACATGACACCCGAAACAATGACAAAACGGTATGGGAAAAAGAAAACGGAATGCCCTACATAGGACAATAGCCCGGAAGTCAGAGTCCCAAGTAACAAAACGATCCCCGGAATAGATAATATCCCCGAAAGATAAAGCTTTCAAGTTGCTGAATGCGGTCTTCAGAACGGCTGAAGGAATAAGAGAGCGCCCAAGGATTCATTGCTTGAGGCATAATTCCGTTAACAAACGGTTTCATTAAAAAGAACACCCCGCCAGGACTTAATAGTGGAAGATTTATACACCCGTGCCATGAGAATGTCGTAATCATAGCTCCGTGGCTTCGGATTTCCCGTTCTGACTCCAGCGAACAGTTTAATGAGTTCGAATTACGTTACATTTGACGTTTAATATAAAGACGGTCACAGAAGTTCTCGGCCTTTATTTTTGGTGTTGGATCGAATTTCAGTGCAAAAAATGTGGGCACTGGATTTTAAAATTCATTGCCAAAGAAGCTCAAAAATTTGGGAGAAGCCACTGCAGATTTTGGAAATCAATCTCAACCCATTTTGGCAAGGAAGTTCGATTCAACGGCAAAACCAAAAGTCGAGAAGTTCTGTGATCATCTTTATATATGTATATATCCAAAGTGCTCGATCGGAACCCTCTCCCATAGAGTACAACCGCGAGGCGTTTGGACAAAAGCTCATAGCTAATTAGATAAAAAAGAGTCAATCTCATCTCAATTACTTGGCTAGCCATCTCCGAATACGGTAATTAAGTGCCGTGAAAAGTAAATAATCCCGCTTTGACGTGGGAATCGCCCGTTCCGAGTGTGACTAAAGGAAAAAAAAATAGTAAGCATTGAACCATGTGACGCAAAATTCTTTAATATTATGTTTCTTTGGGGAATTCGGAGGATCTCTGAAAGCGAACCCAGTTATAATAATCTCCATAAATTAGCATAAGTTGAAGTGGGCTATAGTGTTTTGAAAAGACAAACAACTCGAAGAATGTTGACTCTTTTGGACGAAGGGTTTTAAAAGGAGTAGTAAAGATAGAAGTGAGCTACATTAGGAAACAAGTAAAGTCATCGCCTAGCTAGTAATCCCAATCTAACTGGAACGCCGCCGAAAAAATACATCAAAACAGGACATAATTGGAGAGCTATCATTTCCTTTGCATTAACCTTTCAAAAACATTGAACGAAGAAACCAGGCTATTGTCGGCTTCTCGTGGGAAATCAGCAAGTCCGGAGCCAGCCTTCAGACGTTCCGAAACACCCAAGAAATATGAAAAAAAGTGAACAAGGAGCCGAGTTGGGCAAGTTTAAAGACTTTACACTCGGAACTGAAACGTTAAATTAACCTTGGGCCCAGGGGATGATTGACTGACAGCCCTGTTTCCCGTATTTCGGGTATTAATGAAATGAGGTGCAAGGTCAAAGCCGGCTTCATGTGTAACATCATCAAGACTGAGGCGAACAATGTCAGCTATGCTCCGAGCGATTATTTGTGTCCTTGGAACGTCTCGACCCGACCCCTGGGAGCGTGACTTCTGCTTGGGCCATTGTTTGGGCCCATAGATAAATACATCCACATGGGGGATCGGCTTACATAAACAGATCGACATCCTAACTTTAGACTACACTTCTTGATCTCCAACTTGTACTGGGAAAGGTCGTGTTGAATATTTGGGAAAGCTCATGTTCAATAGCATTTATAAAAGCCCGCACTTTTCCCAAAACTTACTGTAAAATGGTGATAGGAAGTTGTTGTTGTTTGGTAGTCGAGGAGTCGATGAACTCGGCCGATTGTAGGTGGAGACCGAGGTGGACGTGGTAGAGGTATCGCCGCCATAGGGCAACATGAACTGAAACTATTGAGTAATGTTATTTGTGCGACACAAAGAAGACCGCGAGGTGTTTATTTGGGGCCTTATTGAGGGCTTAACGTTTCACTGCACAGGAATTAATGGCCTCAAGGTCCCTTGAGACCGGAATTCGGCGAAACGATGGTAATCGAGACCAGATAGTATTCAAGGAAACGCGCAATGTTTTTAGCGGTTCTTTTTGAGACAAAGCTTCCTCTGATGTCATCACAAACTTGCAAGTCAATTATTATACAAAAGTGGACACAACAATGTATAATATAAAAACAAAGCAAGACTTCCGCGTAATAAACGCAGGAGACAGTGTCAGCCAGCTCTTGGCCCTCTGGCCATCTCTCTACGTAAAATCCGAAATCATTCAGACCTGATTAGCGACGACATCTCAGCGTCATAATGCGGCGCCTTTACCAGTAATTGACATGTTTTCATTTGGATTCAATAAGATCGTACACTTCCTTGAACCGAGGAAGAATTAACTTCCCAGTCGATAAACAAAGGAAGAGAGAAAAGGAATGAAGTTTGATACAAACTTGAGAGGTTTGCATTCGAAGTATTTAAAGGTTCAATAAGAATAAAATAATACCCAGAACTCCCATTAAATGATAAGAACCAAAGCTTAGACAGAGCGAAGGATACTACTATAATGCGGATGCTCATTTCCAGGAACATTTCAAACCCCATAGGAGTTTTTCTGACGCAATGCAAAGCACCTTATTGAGTAATGACTATACGAGACCAAACTATTTTTTATAAGATAATTATAAAACATCACGCAGTTCTGCAGCCGATTGTGCCCTGAGGTCAGAAAGCACATTCCTCCCTCTACGGATGTCATATCACGGAATTATGACGTCATTACTGTGGAAATAAACTCGGTGGGAAACACTTCTCATCACATATTAGAGTAGACGGACCGAAGGGAACGGCCCAAAGAACGGCCGGTGCGGGTGGGCCGATGAAACTTTGGATAAAGAACAGGTGGCTAAACAGTTGAAACCCTAGGGGCATATTCAATTCAAATCTATTCGATATAAAATATCAAAAACAATTAGAAATCCTGGTCAACTTGCAAAAATTTTTTAAGTATTAGGCACCTTGGATGACTTGAATGTTAACGTCCCTTCATTTTCCACGTTCCTTTTCGAACACTAACCCTTATGAAAACATTATTCAAATGAGCTCAATCAGGACTTTGCAAGTTCCCGATTTCCTCACCCTGACCTCATCCATTTCCCCAACCTCCAACGTTTCCGTGGACATTCTTTTGATCAAATTTCCGCCATAACGCCTTGAACCATTTGACCGGCCCTGAGGGCACAAAAGAATTGGGAATTTCTAGACAAACCCCCAGGCTTCTTTCGCCATTTAGAATGAGATAACCAAAAATATTTTCCGGAAAACCTATTCTTGATACACATCGACGGACTCAACGTGCCGAAACGTCCCCCTTGCCCTCAGGGGACAATGACTTTGGCCATGACTCTGACTCTTTGACCCGAACTTTTGCATGATTTGAGATGAGAAGAGAAACAAGGAAGCAGACGGAGATGGCAATGACAAGCATGTTGAGGACTGTGATGACAAGTGTGAAAAAATAAGAACCCCATGTTCAACTAGATGTTTAGAGTGGTCATATGGACAAACGGAGATACAACAGGACCTATGAAAAAATAATTTTTGCATAATAAAAAATAAACAGACGCCACTTCGAGAGTTATGTAATCTTTCCCATCCTGGAAATTGGAAACGGTCAGATTTCAGGCAACTTTTGGCCTTACAATGCCAAAGTTTCCTAAGGGGTCAAAAAACGTTCAACCCAAGCTTGATTCTAATAGCCAAGGGAACATTTCCTCAGCCCCATGTTTTTTGTTATTCCATAAATGTTATTACAACTCCAAATAAGTTTAGCCTGTCCCTCCCTCTCCCGCTCCCCTCTCCCTCTACCTATCCTTTTCTTTAGGCTACGCAATGAACACCAAATAACGCGTTTTTCGGAAATTCCGTAAGAGGAATCAACAAGTTTTGTCTCCCGATTTCTACATTCGAACTGTTTATTTCTCCCTGGGCAACGTTTTCGTCATGCTCTCGACCATGGAAAGAGATATTGTACAATTTATACGAACTGCAGGGAATCTAAATTATGCAGATTTATGAATAATATGAATTTTAGCAGAGCTACGTAACAAAAGAGCGTCAGAAAAATGAAATCAACGAAGATGACATAGATCATACGAAAGCTTAAGCAAATAAAACTACAACTTCCCAACCACGACGTCTTTGGCCGGTTAAAGAGTAGCTGAAAGCTAATGTCTGCCAGTAATAAAAGCCGCCTTCTGGCCCTGTGTCCATCCTTATTTTTTGTGGCCACCCACCGTTATAAAATCACTTGAAAAGACGCGTGTTTTACTTGACATTCAATCCTTAATTAGCATAATTTATGTCACTGAATTTCCTTAATTACACGCAATGATACACCCTTTTTCTACAAGTGCATCTAGCCACCCACATACAAGATCCATTATGTTCATCTCCAACAAGAAAAAATTTTTTTTCTCAAAAAAGAATCATAATTTAGTCATAACATCACAAGTTGTCAGTTTTTCCCGGACTTGAAGAAAACTTTTGGGTACTCGAATAAAAAGTCTTAAGCACGGCCGGGCCATTCACATTATATGATACATGCGCTAAGGGTGGAAAAAATAAATTAAATTTCCGTTAAATTTATTGTTTTCCGAGATACATGTCACTCAAGACATCAGGAGTTGGGAGAACTTTTGAAATAATTTTAGAATGAAACCTAGACCTTAAGGATGAGGAACAAATTACGGACAAAGGCAAGTAAAAGACAATAGATGAGAAAAACAACGAGCAGTACGAAAACATTGAAATACAAAATATTTGTAGTTGGATTGACCTCATCGGCCACAAAACACACTACATCCCTTGGTTTCATCGCAATTCTTTGCAAACCCCAAAGGACATATTATATGTATAATGCATGAAATTGCAGAAAAATCTTTGATCAACCGGCAAAATCTTCTTTAAATGTCATGTTCGTATCTTAAGTGTATTGGTTTTAATATCTTCGGAGTACGTGACATCTCCAGCGACATGTTTAGAATAAACGCAAATCCGCTTTTCTTTATACGGAAAGTGAGAATTGTAGGGTAAGAGAACATCCAAAACAATATTTTTGGAGTGTCCAATCCCAATACAAGCAAAACAAAAAAAAAACAGTGGATTTGTCTAAATTGGGCTGGGGGAAATTGGGCTTACAAAGAAAGTATCCCAAGTCAGACATACAGACATTCGGAAAATTTTTCACGCCCTTTGGCCACAAGCCGCATATCACTCTCTAAAAGTTTTAGCTTGCTCTTTCCATGCGTAGCCAATATATTCCAATCTTTGCGGCCGAGGGAGTACGCGAAAGGTGGAGTGCGGTCAGAGATAAAAACACTTGTAGTCTTTGCCAGCGTTGAGAGAAAAATTGATTTTTTGTCGAAATGTTGCGACATAAATGGGCATAAAACTTTCCATGCCAAAATTGCTTACTTCTTGTCTGGCCTTGGAAAAGATTCGCCGATTCTTGTCTGAACTCAACGAAGTCTGATTTGAAACCACGCAGACCTTGTCTGGGAAATCTGCGACCGAAAAAGTAGAGCACACGCGCCTTACAAAAATAGCTTTTATAATAGCCACCTATGGCATCCCACCTTCAACCTAGGTCAAAAAATTGAAACTTTTTTGGTTTTCAGACATTCAGATTGATGCGTTCAATGAGTGATTCCGTGCTAGAGCAAAATAAACATTGCTTCATGACCAGTCTCTCACGCTCTTTCAAACGGCGTAGGCCTCCAGAAGAAAGGAGAGTGCCGGGTTCAGCCCAACTTCCATAACTATCGAAGAGTATCGTATCGTCATCGAGCCGTGATCAGGGGTGGTCAGCAGACCCTATTTTTCCGATTTTCGGCCCGCGGCCCGGCCCGTCTAATCACCGGCCCGGCCCGGCCCGTCTAGTCTTTTTCCAGGCCCGGCCCGGCCCGGCCCGTGACGGGCCTGGCCCGGCCCGGCCCGGCCCGTGCAGGCCCGTCTATAGAGGGTTCTGCGAACTGCGCCCAGGCTCGGGATCTAAACCGAGGCAAAAAAGGCGTTGATCTAGCTAGTAAAGGATCAATGTGATAGTTTTGTGGTTCTATAATGGAACTATAGACTTGTAAACGTGTTAGAACTTCAGAAACAGCAACTATAACAACATCAATTAATTTTCCCGGCGCGAAAACAATGAATGCCAACGGTTTGGCATTGTATTTTAGACGGGCCGGGCCGGGCCGGAAAAAACCCCAGGCCCGCGGCCCGGCCCGGCCCGGCCCGTGACGGGCCCGGCCCGTTTGTCAATTTCCATTTTTGAGGCCGGCCGGCCCGTTTGGGCCGGGCCGGGCCGGCCCGGGCCGGGCCGGCCCGGCCCGCCGACCACCCCTGGCCGTGATAGAGAATCGATTTTGGCATTTTGTCATAAACTAAAAAAACAAAAATATTTTATCTAATTTATGGAAATACTGCTTCGACCTTTGCTTGCAATGCTCTCGAACGGGTTTCATTCTATTCTGCGTTTTTGTGGAGATGTGCGTCACCTTTTTGTGCACTGATGGAATAGAAAGAGGACTCCCCTTCAAGCTAATTTTGATCAACAACAGGGATGAAATGCTCGAGAGACCCACTTCGGAAAGCCGATGGGAAGACGGATATCTGGCGGGTAAGGGCTGGCCTTGATTTTTAAAAAGTCTTATCAATTTTTATACTAGACACATTGCTTTTGTTTGATAACACGCGTAGAGAATTATAAAACGTTACAGGAAGGGATGAATTTGCTGCGGAGCGCGGTACCTGGCTAGGGATTACCAAAGATGGAAGGATTGGGAATATACTGTCGATCACCGAGCCTCTAAACAAAGCAAAGAAGCCTGATGCTCCGAGCCGAGGTATGTCTGCAATAATCTCTGTAGATTATATAATTTAGGTGCAATTGCGAAGAATTTCCTGACGGGAAATAAAGGTGTTGAAGAATTCGGGGAAGAATTGGTGAGAAATGCGGAGAAGTACCATGGGTTTCACTTCGTGGGGTTGCAATTGTGGGTTTTCTGGTGAAGTTTATCTTGTATTTGTCGTTTTCGGTACTCGTGAGGATGGTATTGGTAACTAAGGCAATATTATCGATTTTTTAGGAATGCCGCGCGCTTCTTTGATGTATACTGTCTGACCAATCGTCTGGTTCCCGAGATTAAACTTCACAAATGGCCCAAGGGTAATAGCTCTGGGTTCTTGTGTATTTGTTTTTTGTAGGACTTTACGGCTTCGGCAACAGTCCCAGATCCTCTCAGATGCAGAAAGTTGTGAGGGGAGAGAAACTTTTTGAGGAAATCGTCGGGAATCTGCACGGAAAGAACGAAGATGAAGTGATGGAATCATTGATGACAGTTCTCAAGGATACCAAAAAGTGAGCTCTTCATCGGCCGTTGAGGATAACAGAGAGTGTATTTCTTTCGATTATTTACTGTTATTTTTTATAATTTTCTTGGTATTGTTTTATTTTTTTTTTGCTTAATTTTATCGGTTTTCCAGAGTTTATCCCTGCAAACAGTATGAGATTCAAACCGAGACTCCCTTTGATTTCTACCAGCATCTAACCTCGCTTTTTGTTAGATTTCCTCCCAATGTCATCAAGTATGGAACCAGGTATGTGTTTTTTCTAACAAGAAAAGTATTTTTATGGGGGTTCCTATTAGACGGGACATATCTCAAAAAATACATAAAATCATGCTGATTAAGAATATGTAAAAATTAGCTGCCCAATTTCGGCGTTTAGAGGTGGAAAATCAATCGCAAGTTGACTTACTCCTAAATAACCCCTTTTCGCCAACTTTTTCACAGGTTTACAAATTTTAGTTTAGCTACTAATGATATTTCTTGAGTGTCTAAAACGTAATAGATAGGTCTTGGCACAAATATTTATTTTTGATGCCTGCAACTTCAAAAAAAGTTGGTTCCGGACAAAAGAGAAATCGAACTCGTGCGGCGTCCACCCCCCTGACTGCAGACTTCTGCACTAGTCACTCGGCCACATCGCTCTCTTCCGAAGAGACCGACCGCTCTTTTTATCGTTTTGAATGCCTGCCTCTTTTGTAGGGAAATTTTGCCAGTTTTTGGGCCTTTTAATACCTGAAACCCAAAATTGGGCAGTTTTAAGTCTTACATATTCTTGATCAGCACAATTTTTCGGATTTTTCGAGATATGTCCCGTCGAAAAGTAGGAGTCTCCATAAAAGTACTTTCCTTGCGATTAATACTTTGGTTTCTCCGCCATTTTTAACTCTGAGCACTTCAGATGTCACACGATTATATTGATAGACAAGGACGACAGGGTTACGTTCAAGGAAACTAGACTGGTTGACGTTGTTAATGAGAAGTGGCAAACCAATATACATACTTTTACGTTACAGTAGCTGTTACAACTTTGTGATATAAATAGAGTCGATCAAGAACTGGTTTGGTTTCTGACGTGTTGAAGGAAGTGGGAGATGTCATCTCCTCCATTTGTTGCCCATTCTTGGAGGAAATGAACTGGTCCAACTGCACATCCCGATGTGGAATTACACATGACGACATCTTCTTTCCGTCCTCATTTAATCGACTATGGAGATTGTCGGGATTATCTCCACCCTCACCCATCGCTGACGCACTTTAAATGTCGTTGACATTTACTCCAATTAGAGTATAAGTTTTTACTGTGACCTTAGGCAGTAATATCCTCGGTATTTTGAGGATCAGAGAGGGAGACTAGGATTACTGGAAAATGTTTATATGTAATAAAAACAGGCTACGTAAACTTATAATGCCATATTTGTCAGGGAAAACTGTTGGAAATTTACCACCGAATCTTATCGTAAAGTAAAGAATTTCTGGTAGAGTAGCCATTGGAAACACTTTTTTTGCTATGAAAATATATTTATTATACAGGGTCTTACAAAAAACGTGAAGGAAAGTAGAAGGCCATAACTTCCGGCGGAGGCGGCGCAGAGACTTCGTATTTAAAATATGTATTTTTAAAAGACATAAGTTTTTGTCTACGAAATAACACGCTTTTATAGTGCAAACTGAGGTCGCTACGACCTTCTGAAGTAGAGGCATCTCTACCCCGAAAACCAGGTTTTTCGGTTGAAAATGATCGAGAAATTTCGGACTTTGTCGGTTGAAAATCACCAGGAAATATCGGATTTTTTGGGGGTTTCTTGATATAGTCTTTAAGAAAACGTCGAAAAAAATTGCACGTGTTGGCACTTTCCTCCTCTTTTTCAACATCACCCGTATCAAAACCCCCCAAAAAATCCGACATTTCCTGGTGATTTTCAACCGAAAAAGTCCGAAATTTCACGATCATTTTCAACCGGAAAACCTGGTTTTCGGGGTAGAGATGCTTTTACTTCAGAAGGTCGTAGCGACCTCAGTTTGCACTTTAAAAGCGTGTTATTTCGTAGACAAAAACTTATGTCTTTTAAAAATACATATTTCAAATACGAAGTCTCTGCGCCGCCTCCGCCGGAAGTTATAGCCTTCCACTTTCCTTCACGTTTTTTGTAAGACCCTGTAGATTGCTGAAGGTGAAGTTACTCTTCGATTGTCAAGTAACTCGTCCAGAAGCATCGAGAATTTTCTGACAATGTGTGTAACGTAACCTCACTTTAACTTTTTTTTCTGCCCTGAGGGGTTTGCAATGGAACTCGGACCATTCTTTGACCTTTTTAAGTGATTCCCGAGGAAATGCCTCGAATTTATTTATGAAATCAAAGGTTTTTTGGAAAAAATCGAGGAATTTTGAAGGAAATTAATTTGGGGAGGCTCCATTTTCATATGCAAGAAGATCAGTGGAATTTGGGACAAAAACAACAGGATTTAAGCGGCGGCTTTTGCAGAGAAAGCTATTTTTGTTGCAGAAAGTATTGTTATGAAACTAAATCTCGGATGTGATTACTAATAATTGTCAACGTTTGTAATCGTTTATCGATGGACTCTGATCTGTGTGATGAGAAAAAGAGCGAAAAGTCACCAGAAAAACATAATTCAATTTCTTAGATCTTAAGTGAATTGTTACCGTATTTTGGCAGTAAAAGGAAGGGTTTATCGCGTGATAATAACAAACAAAATAATATAAATGAGTGGAGATTGTACTTTTAATGCTATTTTTATTATACGATGACTGTTCCCAAGGCGATACCATTACTTTTCAGAGAGATGTCGTCCTTTTGCAATGATTGAAATCAAGTCGCTGTCATATGATCTCGAAGCGGAGGTTGTCGCTTTCGTAATACTTTTTTGCATCATAGATCTGTTGATTACATTGTGTTTTATCTTCAAAGTTAAAAACATTCCTTTGAGTTCGTGCCAACGCCAGCTGTATCGAGTTTGGTTTGTTGGGTGTGTTTTGAAATTTGAAGAGCAACCCTTCTGTATTTGGAGATTGTTATTTGAACGGGACGGGGTTTACAATCAGTTCTTGGCGGGGATTGGAGGATTGGATTGGCCCAGATAACAGCGAAGAACAGCGAATGCTTTCCTTTTTATTTATAAAAATTTCAAAAAAATTTTTAATTTTTGCCAACTCCTTGCTAAAGTGCAAAGATTCAATTTTGCTTGGAAATTTTTAGTCTTAAATTCTTCCAATTGTCACCAAAACGTAATCTTTCCCTTTCAGAAGTTCCCTTTTCGTCCCGTTCCCGTTTTTACGTCGCCCAAACTTCTGATATCAGCCCTGTTGAGCACAAATCTGATCACAAACTAAATTACAACTTGTTTTCCCTTTCTTTACAAACCCCAGTCCAGTCGATCGATCAATTAGTCCAGCTAATGCGGGGCTCAACCTTTCAAGAATCGCTGAACAGGTACTTTGCAGTCATCGTATCTTCATGGAGATTTTGTTTTCTCCAATTGGAGCGATGGTTGATGACGTCCCCAAACCCACAAACAAGCTCCCGACTTCCGTTCTTGTGATCTTACAACCAGTATTTAATCCGTCTCTCTTTTCATTTAACAAATTTGCAAAGGGCCCGTAAACTTATGAAATCTTGATGTATATTTAACATTTGAGCCGAGTGCCATGTCCACTTTCGACTTTAAAATGTACATTTGGCAGAGATCCGGTGCCCTCAGTAATCCATGCTTTATAAATGTGGCATTCGTAATGTTTTAAAGGTGAAATGACGTGTAGAAACTTATCCTAGACCAAAAACTTGTACTTTATACACTTTTTTGGTTAAATTTCAAGGCTAAAATTGATTCCGACTCTCGGACGCAACTTAGAATCCCTAAATTTATATCTATTTTTATTAACCATGCCCCAATTATCTAGTAATTTCTTCCAATGTAACATTTGGACGTCTTTGGATTACGTGGGCACAGTGATTAGTTGCATAAGGTTCTGATTTTGATTAGAATCTCCTAATCCGGCGTTGTTTTGCCCGCGGGATTACTAGGCCGGGTTAATCTTACGTTCCGGACCCCTGTAAATACCCGTCTTTCAATGTTATTTTAATCCGATGGCCTTTCGCCGATGGTCGCCATGTGGGTGTAGATGTGCATGAATAAGATACATATAGTGGATTTCTTAGATTGTGGCTGACAAAGATGACTGATAAGTAGTAGCATTCTGGCAGTTTACAGGCTTCGATGACAATTAAAACCACATTACGGTAGACTGTTAGAGATGTAGGGATAATAAACCTGTGATTTAAACATTTTTTTCATCTCTAAATGTCACTGACGTTGAAATGTGGCATAAAAGCTTTCTTCAAAACGTTTTCTTAAAATCAGATATTCCAATAGCTGGCGGGAAAAGTAAAAATATTATGAGAAAACGCACTTGAACCACCTCCTATCTTACAGTAACCCGTTCCAACAAATATTTCGTATCTGCGATATTTTTTGTATAAATTTTGCAGTGCTCTAAATGCCTTGTAAATACCTGAGCGAGAGAGAGGGAATTGTTTTTGTAACAAAACTGTAAATATTTTATTTCAAAAAGATTTTGCATCCATTTTGTCTGGAAATTAATTACAATTTCACTCAAATCATCATTATTTACATTCTAAATTAAAACTAACGAACTTTTTCTAATGTATTTATAATCTTATTAATATAAGATTACAAATACAGCATTTAATTCCCTCGGGCGGGTTTCAGCGTTGGTTGTAACACTCAAATCCCTTCGTCCTTTTCAGACACTCAGATTGGAAAATACTCACAATTGGATGAGCTTTGTTCGGTTATAGTGTAACATAAGATTGCATCGCATCCCTGGCAGTTCTCATCAATTACTCCTAACTAATTGATTACTTCAAATCAAGTGTTTTTGTGGCCTTACACTCGATGTAATTCCCCTTTTGTTTTTCCTTTATCTCCCTCATTTCCTTCCGTACCCTCTATCATTCATTTGATCATTACTTTTGCAGCCTTACTACTGGTCTGATGACCGGAATTCTTAAAATATTCAGCAGCCCTTTGGAATGAGCGCTTTCCACGCATTAAAAATAAAACTGAAAATAAATATCGGCAATTAAATTGATTCACAATGACAAATTGCCAGAGGCGTTTAGCACAAATTAGAACGTATTTGGCATTTTGTCCATGTCTCTGTGACGCTGCAGAGCGCGTAGGAACGGTCATTTAGAGCCCGAATTCACACGTCATTCGAATTTCCCCGGAGGAAGTTTAGCGTTAATTAATGAGGTCGTTCGAGGACGATCTTTGTCCCGAGATCAGTGGAGTGTATCAAGATTGGTCTGCACTCTTTCCCAAATAGGTATTTTGGAGCTATTAGACGTGATGACATTAAAAACGTCATGCACTTACCGTACCCCAATGGCCATGGTGAGTGTGGCAAAGGCGAATGGTTGTAGTCGGTTTGCTACAAATGCTGGTGAAAAAATAACAAAAAAGGAGGTCAAAGTCTCAAATTTGTATTATTGGTCTTACAATTAGCCAAGAATCCCTAAAATAATATAAAAATAAAGATTGGACTGGGAATGCCCAAAGGCTAGAGCTTCAATAGCGTCACTACTCTTTTGTATCCAAAATATTATCTTTTGGACAGTGAATTCTGAATCAAAATATTCCGCATTGACCTTTTAGGCCCACGTTTCATTCCAAATCGGATGTTTTTGGAATAAATATTTTCGTTTTAGCACGCATCCATCGGATATGACGTTTCCCTCTTCCCGCGTCGTGTTTTTTCTGTAGCCGCCGCTGGAGCGAACCGTTGAGTACAATTCACTCGATTAATAGTCAATGTTACAGTATCCCGGGCATGTCTGAAAATAATTTCATTGTTTGAAACCATGGCCACAAAAGAATGCCGCAGGCGTTTTGTTTCCCAAATCTCCTTAATATGTCTTTTTGCCGCGTTTCAGTTTTGGAGATTACAATTACTGTTTATTTTATTGCCCCGAGGCCATAAAACCGGATGACTGCGGGGGTGCGTGTTACAATTGATTTGTCATGAGTTCTTCGATGCATGAGTAATGTCAGGGCGACGACTCTGCAGACTTTTTTGATCGGAAATGATACGATTTAGCCGCGAATAACATATCCTTTATGCCGTGGCTCCACATCCTTTTTTGGCATTTTTATGCATACTAAAGCTGATATTGCAGTCTGATCTGCATTTCTGAAATCTTGGGGAACTTGTTTTGCAACTTTCCATTGATTTCTGATTCAATTTGCGTCATCGGCTGAAGAAATTGGAGTCCAAGGTCGATTATCCATCGTTTAGGTCAACACGTATCTTGCTTCTCAAATACGACCTCTTTTCGTTGTTTAGGCGGTCTCTAAGCCGAGTTACAGTACTCCTTGCACTTGCTGGGCGATCTGCCTCGGATTTTTATTTTTGTCTCGGAGGCGGCATTTGATTTGCATAAGCATTATTTCTGGTATTGCGAAATCCCAAAAGTCGTTAAATGGCGACAAATATGCGCGGAATGCGAATACCGCGCGCATTCCAACTTGATTACGTGATCGCGTTGCGCGGACTGCGTCATTGTCGGGATTAAAAGTGAATTGAATTGGCTGGAAACCTTGAGATTCTTGGAGTGCCAAAACTTTTTTGAGTCGAAAAAATTCGAAAAATGTGTTTTTTGAAAGGAAGGGGCGGACAAACTTTATAATTGGATCAAAGGCGGCTGACCACTACGAATTCGTTGAATTATTTATTGCAATATATATACAATGGTCACATCGGTTCGCGATATAATTCTCTACAACCCTGCCTGCATAATTGCTGCATTCCGTCTCTTTTCTTACACTGTTTTCGTTTTAGTTCTTGTCCACTTTTGCACCGGTTTGATCTTGTTTTTGCGGTTGAAACTATAATAATACTCGGACTTTGCAGCCGTTATTTTTAGCCGTTTACACGCCCGTATATAGAGATTAGGGACATTATTATCATTAATTCCCGATGCACTTTCCTTGAGTGTATTGTTAACGGTATTTGTCCATAATGCCCTGTGGGCAATGGAAATGATGGCGTTGCTGGAGCTTAATTAAACTTTTGGAACAAGAGAGTAGATAGGGTCCGGATTAGTGATAAGACAGTCTAATGTTCTGGAAGTTGAGCCCAATCCGCTGGCCTCGCAGTGCTCCAAATTTATGGAATCTTCTTCGTTCTGGATCCGTTAGTCTTTGATGAGAAACTCCATCTTCCTGATTCTCGTTGTGCATATATATGTCATCGTTTCCCCCATTTCCTCTTCTTTCTGGCCCCAACCATCAGCCGAGCCGATCGTTTAGTCTCATTCGCCGACCGTCCGTGATGGGCATACTAATCCGCCGGATTCCCGAAAACAAGTGCCGATGGCATACCAATGAACCCTGTGTCATGGTGTTTCGGTCATTTCCCATTCCACAAAAAACATAACTTCTATGACGTTTCAAACAAAATAAACGCCTCCGGGGCCGCACCATTCTTCATCAGAATTAGATGAGGAATTGTGTCTGCGGGCGACAACAACGCCGCAAGTCCGAATTCGGGATTCTGATGCATAAATTAGCCTTCTTTATTACGGTAATCAATAGATTGAGGGGAGGGTAAGAGGTTTACGACGTCAACGCGAATGCAGCAACCCGTTTCATATTAGAGTAGGTTCTTTGCAAGAGAGCTGAGAGAGATAAGTACAGTAGTTCCTTCCGAACGTGTAATAGTTAGTTGGGGACAGACAAAGGAACACCTTATTAGGATCGACACCGAACGCAAATTTAAAATGCGCGGAGACAAACGTACTTTTAGACCTGAATGGAGTCGGAAGTCGAATTCACTGTTAACTAATGAGACCACAACACGCGGAATATTAGAGTTACCATACTTGGGAAAGGCTTGGCGAATACATATGACACAAGCACAAGTTCCGAGTAGCATTAACCATGGTGCGTTGAAAGGACGGACCATTTTGATGTGATCTTTTTGTTCATTTCCTCTTGCAAGTGCAAGCAATGTCGATCTATTATTTCTCAAGACAAAGATGACTCAGTCATCATGTGCACTGCTCCCAAATAATACTGTACTTTTGCTTTCCCGCCCCAGATTACATATTTCAACTCTTAATTAACGAATTTAATGACGACCATTATAAGCTCTAGAGGCGACAAACCTGACTACAGGAGGTTCCCGACCATATGGCTCTTATTTATGTGACCCTTTTATGTTACAGCGTATTTTCTGCAAGGTTCAATCGTTCACCAGAGCGAGGGCGTAGTAAAGAGTCCAAGAGAAACACAGTTTCCGCCGATGATTCGGCGATTTCACAACCCCCGTTCCGACCTCCACTGTTCGTCAAATGGCTTCGCCCACTTGCGAGACTCCAAATCCCAGAGATCAATGTTTATTTACCCAACCAGATTCACATTGTTTCCATAAATAGAGTCACGTTTTTGGTGATGGGCACGTTTCTTTAATTCAGGTTTCTGACAGTATTACAACTTGTTCTATCTATTTTTCTCATCAAATCATGTAGACCGCAATCTCGTTGAAGAATTCCCACTCTTCTTTTGTGTCCTATATATAGATGTTTGATCTTCCTGTTTCTTTTGACTTCCTTCTCCTTCTTGACCCCTGATCGAAGTGTTGATGCCTCACTGTCATTTCCGGTCAATCCGGTGGCACTTCATCATTCGGGTTGGACCAAAAACCGCAAAAACGTCGAAATGAGTTTAATTCCACTTGAAGAGCGCCCTCCTCAAATAGCACGTCGAACGGCTCTAAATTGCGGGTCGATGGGACGGCACATGTCATGCTTAGGGGTCATTCCGGGGGCTGTGTTTTTGGGCGAGGGTTGACGAAATCTCGGAGCGCGGAGTGTTCGCTAGCGATGACGCAAACGCGGACCCCACCTCGAGCAAGTATCCCGGGGATATCTCGGTGTTCCGTGAACGGTGGCTAGTTCCTTGACCCCATTGTCGACGCGCTCGTTGCGTGGGTCGAGTGCACTTGAAGGTTGCAAAAAATAAAAAGCTAATTAGTGCTTATTTTTGGTAGTCCGCGTTTACAGTATGTGGTGCGGCTAAACACGGTCTGGAAATGGGCGGGCGGCCCCTGTTTGAGGAGATCGGGGCGGGGCGTGACGGCGAACGAGGCGAGCATTCCATTACACGGGGCGAAGGAAACATTCGGTCTGTTACTATAGCCCTGCAGCCCGTCATTTGCATAAACATTTACTCATTCTGTTGTTGTTTTGGGAGCGGTTCGGGAATTTTAAATTTCGATCACCGTCCTCAATGGAACACCTGATCTCCGGCCGCATTCTGAAGTCGGAATGGGAAAAGCGGAAACGACCTGTTGTTATATTTACGCTTGTTTACGTTTTTTTACCAGTTTCCCTTGATGTCAGATTCTTTTATTTTAAATTTACGACAATTCTTTCATTTGCTTCCTTCTTACTGTACTATGTTTACGTTGAACTTACTGTTTATATCTTAATCAAATCCCGATGCAAACCTCGTGTTCTTTCCGCGTCGCTGTCCTTAGGGAGCAGCTCTTAGACCCTTTGGTATTCCCCGGTGGAATGTTTTGGAATCTGTAACCTTTCCCGCCCTTAAATATCATATCGCTAATCCCACCACCTTAGATTTGCATTTCCGAATGAGACTATTGCCGTTTCGAGTGTTGTTTATCAGCGGTTTAACATTAACTATTATCATCGTATTTCCGATAATAAGCGAATCTATTCAGCCAAAAATCGAACTGGTGTCCCCTCAGGTGAACAATGCAGTTATTGGGCGAATTAAGCGCAATACCCCGTTCTCTACTCGTACTCCTATTAACAGTACTATTAGTGACAGGATCAGTGATGGACGATGGCTTGGACGTTTTGAATAACAAACCCACAGAAACAATAGAAAACGCAAGCAAAAATACTGGATGTAACATATACGCGAACGAAGGGTTGCATGTGGTGCTAGACCGGATTTGCACGTTATGCCATGAGATGTACAGCGACACTAATCCCAACATGAGGTCACAGTGCCGGTAAGTAAAACAACATAAGTGGTTGTTTTATGACGTTTCTCTTCTAATTCATGATACTGTAACAAGAAAGTGAGACTATAGTTTTTGTAACTTTATTTTTGGCCAAGATAATGCGATTAGAACGTCACTATACGCGCGTTTGTAGATGGATCTAATTCAGAATTATGGGAATAATGCGGTTATAATGGGTGAACTCCACTGTTTTGACATCGCAATATCACCTGCTTTATTTGATTATGCTTACCAAGCAATCGAATGTGGGCTGAATATGCATGCGAAATGGGGGTATGATGTTTACCGAGGTATATTAGGAGCGCATACGTATAATATAACGAGGAATTAGATGTAGAGAAAACGATTCATGCTCGATTTAAGGCCGCATAAGTTCAATTTTAAATAATTCATAGCCTCAAACTGTTTACAATATCATTAACTCACGTTGCTTATATCGGTTTGCGAATAACGTCTTTGTCTTTCAGAACAAATTGCTTTCGAAATGAACAGTTCAAGAAGTGCTTACTGGTGTTCAGGCCAGCACGATCATTACATCGGCGAGATGTGCTCAGGCAAAACTGGTAACGACCAATCTAATAGTCAGCGACTAAACGGGTGCTTGTTACTTTCTTGTTATTAGTCTCCTTTTTTGTATATTTTGATTAGTCGATTAGCTGCAGATCCCTTCGTATTGCGTTGACCTCGATCTTTTCTGATCTCTCCCCTTTTTCGATTGTCTTGTACATCATATATGGTCATGATGTACATGCTGTCCATCCATCGATGGCATGGTACTTTTAATTTATTACTTTATAGTTCTCTGATCTTTATTGCATAGCCTTCTCTGCACTCCTTATATCTTGTACATGGCATTGGAGGTCTCGTCGTACCGCTCACTTCACTCTTCCCATTGATTACACATCAGCAGAAAACCCAGTGGATACTGATTATTTATTGAAATTATATATAAAGTTATTAATATTATCGTGTTACTTATTGTATGTTTGTTTTAGGAATGTATAAATACACAGCTAGGTGGCTAATTTGTTTAATGCTATGAATCAGGCGAGTGGTGCAAGCAGAGGGGTCATAAATTAGATGGATCGTTTCCGGAACCTGAGGACAGATGACGCAGCAAAACTTGTATGTGGCGTAATTACTACGTAAAATTATGGTAAAATCTTTGCGAATCCTCAAAATAGCCTTTACAACACACAATATTATTGTATTACATTTTTTGTAACTATGTTGCCTGAGGGGATATTTACTCCAGAAACTAGTTCCTTCCACATGAGCTCCCAAAAATAACCTTATAATAGATGTAAATTCGACGTTCACAGGCATGTATAGCATCGCCTTGCTGATCGGCCTGGTCCTTTATTCAATTTGGAAAACACCTCGCCCCCAGCATTTTGTTTCAAATTTGGAATGGCCCTTAGTTGGTAATTGAGTTTTTATGAGGATTACCCAAATAAACGAACAACTCAATTAAAGGTTACTTTTTGGGATATTCCTTCGAGGAAACATCTGGAAAATGGTCGAAAAAATAGTAGTCAACACGTTCATCATCCTAAACTAATAATCGGTTACTGAAAAAGGTTCGAAAAACTGAAAGAGGAAGTGGAAAGAAGCAAGGATACGCAACTTCTAAGGAAATTAAGGCGAGATTTGTCAAACCTCTTATTGTAGGACCTCCCAACCTGCAAAACGCCCATCATTCCATCGGAAAGAAAACATCCACATCCGTCATTAAATCGCTTTTTATCCAACGATCTCGATCTCTTCTTCCGTGGCATCTCTCTTTCCACAGTAACCCCGTCACAACACTCGAACACAAATTCTATTCATAGTCAGACGAGTGCCTATCATCTATAAATCTGCTCCTCCCAAATTCCAAGACTTACAAAACCTTTCTCTCCCTCAAACCTGCTTCTTTTTGCCCTCTTTTCGTACTGAAAATACCCCATAAAAAAGTTTTCTGACCGTTTTTCGAAAATTAATTAAGTCATTTCCTTGTACTCTTTTGGTCGACTTAAAAGTATAGATGGTGTTACGAAAAAAGGAGATGTACTGATGAGCACGTCTATCCATCATTTTGTACAACGAACAGAAACATGACGTCGTGGGGGACGCCAACCATCCATCAAGGGGCTTTTTTGGGAGGGTCGCGGTCATGTCAGCAAAAAACAACTATTTTGCAACAACATCTATTTATAGGAAAAAGATGCCATCAGTTCAAAGAACAGGCACAAAAAAATAACGTCCTCAATCCAAACAAAAAAATGTTTAAATCATTATCCCGAAACACTGTATGTAGTAATATCCAATTTAGAATATTAATTTGCGATCTGATTTCGGACATAACACCAGGTTACGCCAGGAAATTTGTTCAACACAAGAATGCAGGAACATATTGGAAATGAAATTAGGCCATAAGTGTCCTTACACTTCATAAAAAAGCAATCAAATAAGTTAAAAGAATTACTTTTTATACGGTTATTGGGTTTCGAAGGCAAAATCATGTAAATATTGACGTAGGTCGAAGTAGTCCTCCTTGGTGCCGGTCTTTTTAGTTGCCAATTTTATGAAGTCACTGAAAAAGAGAAGGAAATGACATCACTTACACTACAAGATCCACAAATACAGACAACTGCACACAAGTAACCCCGTCGTGCCCTAACAAAACCCACGACTAAAGAGTAGACTATAAACGCCATTGTATCAAGAATAAGTTTTCTACTTACTTTTTTACTAAATCAACGTAATCGAAGGGAGCGACACATCGGAATTTGGGAAGGATAATATTCTGAATGTCCGAGACCTTTTCCAAGTGACCTCTGTATACCAACAAGGGAATCTAAAATGCATTAAAGATCAATTTTTGAGAGACCGTCAGCTCACCTGAACATTAACATCGAGATCTCCACACTCGGCTAACAATATTCCCTTTAATAAAGAATACAAAATTGACAATCGCTCCAAGGTAAATGGTTTAGGACCTGTTTCGTGAAAATTCTCCCGGACAACAGTCCGCTGATGAGCTCGCCTTTTGCCAGTAGCCCGCTGAAATGCGTAATAATAACAGGTTTCGCGGAATGTCAGAGCAAAGAAGGATCAAACGATCTAAAACAAGGTCCTAACCTCTCCAAAATACCGTTTATCCGTGCTTGGAGGATTGTAACTCGCAAAATATGCAGCTATTAATGTTAATGAAGCTACGTGAGGTAGCCTGTCGAATATCGGTTGGACTGATAGTCTCGTCCGTGGCTTATTATCCAGTATTCTCTTTACAATTCCATTCCATTGATCCGTCTTTCCCACAATTGAAATTAGGTTCTCGTGTTGTGCCCTCTCCAGAATTTTTACAACCTAAACATAATACAAAGCAGTTTTTTACTCACATATTTGCCGATTATGAAGGGATCCTGGTTTTTGGGTAATAAATTTATCACATATCGTAGTAATTTAGACTCCACCTTCAGATTTTTTTGAATAGCAGCTTCCATACACAATGCCTCAACATCACCTAAGCGCATATGACAGAAGGAGTCACACTTACTTTGAGAAAATCGCTCGAACTTGTAACTAATTGTAGAATGATGAAGAAGTTCATCAAAAGAATCAGCCACCAACATCCACGGGAGAGTACTTACAGATATCACTTTGATCTTATCCCTCCTCTAATTACATAAAAGAAAAACTTTACTCCACATACCTCCTTGAAAGAAAAGAAGAGCTCCTTTATAAAACTAAACTTCAATTGACTCATTTCTTCGGCATTATTCATAATGAAGATCAGTTTCTTTTCTGGGTTTTCACCGAAATATAAATCCAGCACTTCTTCCAAAACACGTACGGATGAGACTGGAAAGTCTAAGGCTCTCCCAATCTCTTGAAGGACCTCCTTGTCATTACCCATGAACAAACAAAGATTAAGCCTTAACAGTACCTAGCACAATATAAATACAAATGAGATATACTTACCACATCGTCTGTGACAAAAGGTTTCATCTCGCTATTCAGCTTTTCTAGATGAAGCTTCTGAGCTTGGACATGAAGGTGGAAACAAATCCCGGACTTATCACGAAGAAACCGTTTTATAGTAGACATTGAAGTAATATAATTAATGGGTTAGAAAAACGCTGACGCGAGATATCAGCTATATGAAGGTTCAGAGATGAAAGTGTATGTGGTCCAGAATCTTGTCTTATCCTTTTCGAAGAATATTTTTCCGCCAAATTTTTTTCGCAAAAAAAAAACATTCTGCAAGTGGCAGAGATCTGGGCGCACCCTGCCCGGAGCTCGGACTTGTCTTTGTGTGTTAACTCTTCCTCCGACGGGACAACTCTTGCAGACAATAAACTTTTTGGTTCTGTAAAACAATATTGAGTGTTGCTTAATCTGGGGATTAATGACCCAGATAAACGGGTGTTATTGAAATGGACGAGGCGGCAAATAAGACAGTAAAGTCTCCAGAAAAGTAGGTGATGTCATGCACAAGGTTGTTCACCTTTAGACCGACGGGTGCATCCAAACCAATCATTCCGGACAACCTTAGGCGGCGAAATAGTGTGGTAAGGGTTTGTTTTTTATGTTTAAAGTGCTTTAGAATGAGAGGGGAACCGGGAACGTGAAGAAAAACACAAACCCCATCAAAGACGATGAGTAAGTCAATGTAAATTATTGAACTGTAATCTTCGAATGTTTAGTGATACCGAGAGAAGAAAGTCATGGCAAGATCCAAGCAACCCGCATTTCCGTAAGTGCATATGTTATGTTACTACTATGTGTCTAGAGTTAAACGGCCATTATTTGGCTGATCTTTCTGATCGAGTAGCCCGGATGTACGATAATCCCTTATATGCCGACGTAGCGTTCCTGGTTGGAGAAAAAGAAGAGGTAATCAACACTGTCTTTATATTTACTCCATATTTAGAGACATACAGCGCACAAACTTATCTTATCCCTAAGTTCTGAAGTCTTTGGAACCATGCTATACAACGACAAGTTTGACCAAAACATTGTGAATGGGTGTCAAGAGATCAAAGTCCCCGATATTGATTCCGAAACCTTCAAAAAGGTTATTCAATTCATGTACACCGACACAATTCAGTTGGATCTGGACTCCGTGATTAATGTCTTATATTGTGGTAAGTGTTTCAAATAATAAAATTTATTCTTGACTTTAGCCCGAAAATATGCTATTCTGAACCTGGAGCGGAGATGTTCGGACTTTCTTGAGCAACATTTGACAGTAGAGAATGCGTTTATTATTCTCGGCCAAGCTAAATTGTACGACCAAACTCATCTGGCTAGGGTTTGTTTTGATCTGATAGACAAGGAGACGATCGAAGTTCTAAAAACCGACGGGTTTTTGGAAGTGGGGAAAGAAGTCTTGAACGATGTCTTCAGGAGAGACACTTTGAGGATTATGGAGCCAGACCTTTTTGATTTAGTGATCAGATGGGCGGAGGCTGAATGTGGAAGAAAGAAGTTGAAGCCGATTGGAGAAAATATGAGGAAAGTTCTTGGGGAGACATTGTATACTATCAGGTTTCCACTGATGACTTTAGAAGAGTTCTCTGGATTAATGAGTAGGTCGTTATTGTTGTAGTATAAATTTAAATTTAGCCAAGTATCGTGGATTTTTAACCGACCGTGAAGCTCTTGACGTCTTCTTACACCACCATCTAGAAGAAAAGCCTTCAATCCCCTTCCCATCCAGAAGTCGTTATCGAGTTTTGGGCAAAGAATTGGTGATTACAAGGTTTCAAAGGATCGAAAGTCGCTGGGGGTACAGTGGAAGCGCCGATAGAATCAAGTAAGTGGTTTGTTAAGCATAAATAGGTTTGTGTGCATTGATTTAAGTTGTTTTAGTGGGAGTAGAGGTTACACACAATTCAAAAAAATTTAGGTGGGGATAAACCAGATACGGAATGCGCGGTTGTATTTGCTAATGTTAGTCGTAAAAAACAGTAATTATGATAATGTCGAAATTACTTTACTTTGTTTAGATTCACAGTTGATGTTCCCATTTTTATCACAGCCTTAGGGCTTTATGGATCGATGCATGGACCGTACCAATATGCAGTGAAATTGGAGGTAGGATATATTTAAAATAATTTGTTATTTTAGATAACCGATTTCTCATCGAATAAAGGGATCGCGATAAATGATACAACCTTCCAATGTGATGGAAGTGCAGGAATATTTAGAGTACCCTTCAAAGAACCGGTGGAAATATTGGCCAATGTTACTTATGAGATTTCAGCGACGATAAAAGTAAGTTTTGATAAGTCGGAGAGGAAAATGGTTTTTAAGATAATTGTTGACATTGTGATTGTAATTCGGAAGTGATTATTAGGTTCATAAGTATGGCCGTGCCGTTTTTACGGCTTTTAAATTCAAGCAAAGCAAAAAAGTTTACATTAAAGAGTAAAACTTCCTTCCCGATGATGTTTCGTATGTTCTCAAGTCCTTTCTTTCTGGGTTTTTCTCATTTGATGCAAACTGAGTAAAGCTTCTTTTTGGTTGAGCTTGCTGGGTAACTTTTCTTGCGTCATCGTTTTTATTCAACAATCTACATCTTGAATTTTTTAGATGGGTTTGAAAATTACCAGTTTTGAAACGTTGAAACCATTCCCGACGGATTGTTTCTCATAAAGCACGGCCACCCTTAAGCCTTATTAAGCCTTATCATACGAAACGTAACTCAATGGATTTAGTTTCCAACGTTCTTTCAGGTTATCTGAACAGACACGCCAAATTTTGTAATTGCAAAAAATGAACAATATGAAGTCTTAAGGCGCGGTCATACTCCTAAACCTAAATAAATATATGGTTAATGGGTTGGATTTCAGGGTCCTGATTCCCATTACGGTGCGAAGGGTCTTCGAAGAATCTCCCGTCACTCCTCACAAGGGACGATCACTTTTCAATTCAGCTATGCTCATGGGACCAATAATGGGACCTCAGTGGATGATGGACAGATCCCAGAGATCATATTTTGTCTTAAAGAAGGATAAGATTACATCTGGACTTATTTTTTATTTTGTAGAATTACTGGTTTCGATCATACGGTTGCATCATTACTTTAGTGGAACTACTATTTTAAAAGTGTATATAGTATTGATTTTTTAGCAGTTACCGAATAAATGTACATACGAGTATTGTAACGGACTGTTTTCTGTTTACTTTAATCCATTCATTTCCTCCCCGAATTCTTTGAAATTAAAACATTTAGAGGTGGTAATGTAAATAAAGCAGTCGGTTATCGACACCTTCGACTATGTAGTATAGTGAATAATGTCCTGCACCAGAACGGCTTCCTTTAAATGTTCTTCATGCGGGACTGAAGAACCAAGAGATCAGAGGCATTCTTTGTGGGGGGTTGGGCGTGGTAACTACTACAATATAATTTAAAGCCACTCCCCCTAGCCGAGAACTACGGTAATTAAAGAAAACTTGTGACGGGAAAGAGTGAGCGGAAGGGCAATAACATATCCATGGACTTAAACAAATAGATCCCCTCTTTTTATTTATGGATCTCTAAATTCCCGCGGAAATTCGCTTTTTTTGATTTTAAAATATTGCTCGAATTCAGTGAACCGAGCAGATCCGGCCATTGCCCCGGGCTTTAATGGCCGATTCGACGGGGAAAAGTTTAAATCTCCCGGCCGAAAGCCCTCAGGGCATGGGATATCTTCATTTGTATATCTCTGGCTTTAAGCGCTCGTCTGCGGGTTTAATAATCGCTTTTTTGAGGGTTCTTATAACTGCTTCATTTGCTCTTAAACTTCAATTCAAGGTCATTTAGGAAGGGCCCTTATCTGGAAGCAATGTGCCGGCATTTGTATTATACGCTGTTATCATCCAAATTTCTTCGCATTATTCAGTTAGTCTTTTGTTTTCATTATCATAATCCGCGGAAGAATGATTAATGGGGAATTGTTTGTGCTATTTAAAGAGTTTTACCAACAAATTTTGGGGAGAGAAATGCCAAAGGTCATCGGGTAGTTACAAATGAGATTTAAATTTTTTGATTATTTTGGTCTTTGCAAACCGATCTTACTTTTAATTAAGGTTACGGTAATTTTTGTGGTTACAGACTGTAGTGATATTAATGAATTGCTGAAAACGGTAGCGCGTCCAAAATGACTTTTTGGGTCAACACAAGGCAGGCGGAAGAAAAGGGACGTAGCAGATGCCTACGAGGGTTGGCGAAGCCGTTGGAAGCTTTGCGGAGTCTCGGCAAGGACTCGACGGAATCTTTACGAATACTTACAGTATGATCACGTTTTCTAATTTTAGCCATTAGAAATCTTAAGTCTATTGACAGTTGTGAGTCCATTCCAAACACCTCAAAATATATCCTAAACTAAATCAAAAAGAACCTGATCTATTTTATTATTTCTATTAATGAAACCGTCTACTAGCATTTATCATCTATATTCCTGTGGCTGAATTATGTATTTTGTATGTCATCCTTCGGGAAAATAGTGGCGGGTCGTCGTAGTGAAATGCTTCGCCTCGTCGAAAAAAGAGTGCAATCGCGCACCAAATGTCCAGTTGCTGCCAGCCCTTGCCAAGCAATGGCGCGATGACACGCCACTGTTTTCCCGACAGAGTGATACATAAATTAATTTGTTTAAATATTTTAATTTTGAGTAGTGTCAATATGTCTTAGACGTATGCCCTATAATTTCTCGGCCCTTTTCTTAATATTTACACCTTCGAGAGACCCTTCATTTAATCTTATTTCACTTGACCGTTCTTTGGATATCCGGATTCCTATTTTTTTACCGTTTATTCTCAAATCTTCATGTGCAAATGGTAGTCCTTCCGGAAAGGCGCTGGACTGATTTTTGGCGTTTGCACTGTGCGAAAGAAAAAAGTCATGTTGCGAGCGACAGCAGAGAAAAGCCTATTGCACGGTGCAAAAAGCAAAAAATTGCACAGTGCAAAGAGAACTTTCTTTTTCCCGCGGTGCGTGTCGCCGATTTCGGTCCAGCGACTTTCCGGACGGACTAGTAATTGAAGGAATTAAACTTTTTTGAAGTTTTCGAATTAATCATTGATTTATTTGCAATTATTATTATTTTTGTTTACTCTTCGAACTTTTTATTCTATATTTCGCGCATTTTTTTGGAAACCCTTGAAGATCAAGTTAAAATCATCCCTTTTTTTAATTTTTTTATTACGTAATCTAACCGCAAAACTTTTAAGTTTTAGAGGTTAAACTGGGTCCCCGAACATATCAATTCTTTGGTCGGATCTCTGATGATAACGACAAATGTATGACAAAGTTCATGGTAAGAGTCTTGTTGTAGCATTGCGTAATTACAGGGTGTACCAAAAAAATGGAAACTTGTTTTTATAGCTATATTTTTTCGGAGAATCAAAGTTCAGCAAAAGTAACGGTTATGATTAGTAACATAGAGCATTGTTTATAACATGTTCAATCTGTTTCACAGTGGCTGCCTTTGGTGGCGATATAGAGCTCCAAACGTGACGTAAAATTTTGGGGTCCGGGCCGCAGCTTTTTATGGGAGAAATCGGTCCCGTTCGTGGCGCATCATTTACGTTGCGGCTCCAAACTTTTGTGGAGCATAGTACAGGTGCTGGCCTTCTATTTAAAAAAATATATAGTCCATTGGATTCAGATCTGGCGAGCAGGCGGCCATTTTGCAGGCGGGACAAAATCGGGAAAATCGGTCCCATTTGGGGTCCTGAGTCGATTTTGCCTTGTGAGCCGGCGCTGAGTCCTGTTGAAACCCCAAGTTTACATTGCCAAGGTTCTGCTGAGCTCACGGAAGCACGACAAAATAGAAATTAACGCGGCGCTAGTATTTTGTCCCATTTATTCACGAAAAACGTGGAATTCTTGCCGCTGGCACAAATTCCGCCTTAAGCAATGACGACCCGGATTTTGGTGGTATTTGACGATGGCCAACAGGCTAGGAGCCTCACTGAAGCAGATTCTATCGTTCTGGTGGTTGTGTATCCGCTAAATATTAAACCGCGAACTGAATGCGCTCACGTCTCGGAGCTGCGGCCCACCCGTTTGACTTTCCGACATTTTTGCGCTGTATGCACTTTCTCTCGACTTTAAAGATCTGAATTTTTTAGAGCTTGTATAACATGAGGTTGAGCTCGCCTTTGACTACTCGGCCGAGCGATCGGTCGCTGATGTCAGTCTCAAGGGCCAGTTTTTCTTGAAAATCGCGGATTTTGCTGTGGGGGATCTTTCGGTTGAAAGAAGCGCAGGCGGTGCGTTTTCTTTCACTTCCTGGGCGCTTACTATCCGTATCAAGCTCCTTGGGCCTCGTGATTACTTTCGACACAACGTTCTTTCTATACCGAGCAAATTAACTTTTCGAACAGCTCCAAAAACAAGTCCAAAATCGAGGTCCCTTTGTTTGAAGTTCAAAAAAGACAGGTCGATTAATCGATATGGGCGTAAAAATCAAAACACTAGGACAGAAAAACACAGAGAATTTTGTAGTAATAAACTTCTTTGGCTACACCTAACCATTTTCGCGTCAGGACAAATGAAAAAAAGTTTCCATTTTTTTGGTACACCCTGTATGTTCCTTACGGTAACATTAAATGTAATCACATTTCAACGGACTGATCTTTGTTTTTTCAGCTGTCGAAAACGGGTTTGTGGCCAACGGAAAGGTCCAAAAAAGGTATGGGAAAAGGCCAGGTCCTATTTACCAAAAATTACAACTCGGATTAGTCAGTAGTAGCCTATGAGAACTTGTTTTTTCTCATATATATTTGTTAGAAGAAAAAAATTTCCCTTTTTCTCAGCTGTCTAGTAAGTACTTTCATAAAATGTACGGAATAATGTCTGATCTTTTGTTCAAATGATCCGTTGTAGCGATGATTGGGTAAAGCCGAAGGAGTCCAAGGATATAGTAGATCATCATCATGAGACTCGACTCTCCTTTACCCTCCAGGCGTTCTTTCCGTTTCTCTTGGCTGGTTTTGGAATGGTGGGAGCGGGCATTTTATTGGATCGAGCGAGCACTTGGTACTTTCTGAGTGAAGTGCCTGAGGCATTAATCTTGGTGCCAGCATTGCTGGGATTAAAAGGAAATCTGGAGATGACCCTGGCTTCAAGATTGTCTACTATGGTGAGGTTTGGAGTAATAAATTTAACTTGCAAGAGAATCCTTGTATTATTTGCATATTTTCAGGCCAATCTCGGCCAAATGGATACCCGGGAGCAACAAGTCATGGCCCTAATCAGCAACTTGGCCCTTGTCCAGACGCAGGCCATTGGTGTCTCGCTCGCCGCCTCTTTCCTGGCGATAACCACCAGTTTCTTTGATGGCTATGGTTTCCATTGGCCTCGAGTTGTTTCCCTGATGTTAATCTCGATCTCAACTGCTTCTATCGCATCTCTGATTCTCTCCACGGTCATGGTTTTGTTGGCCATTATTGCCCGCAAGTGGAAGATCAACCCGGACAACGTCAGCACTCCAATTGCAGCCATGCTGGGGGATATAACAACACTGGCGTTTATGGTAAGGATTAGGATCTTCGAAGGTCAGATTTGGGGAAACGAAATTGTGAAAAGAAGTTTGAAGGGTTTCTGGATCTTTGTAAATTGCTTAAGAATAACGTCACAATAAACAATCGAATTAGTCGATAAAACTTATTATGACTTTTATTCTCTTCAAAATTCAAATTTTGATTTTAGATTTTATTTGGGACCGTTCTGACTAAAAACGCTGAGAGCCTTTTCATCCTCCAAGTCATCTTACTGGTCCTTTTTATTTCATCTACGGTAATCTGGGCATTGGCGGCTTCAAAGAATCCGGCTACCTTGGAAGTCCTCAAACATGGATGGTATATTGTAATTCTGGCCATGTTGATCAGCTCCGGTGGGGGATATGTCCTCAAGATGGCCATGACCAAGTTCTCTTCCTTGGCGGTATTCCAGCCAGTTGTGAATGGAGTGGGAGGAAATCTGGTGGCCGTTCAGGCAAGCAAGATCTCCACATATCTTCATCGACATGGAAAACCGGGGGTTCTGCCTGAAAATAAAATCATGACATATGCGTTACCGATCAGGACGTTTGCTTTGAAGGGTGAGGTCAAACATATCCATAGCTTTAAATGATCAATGAAATTGCTATTAATTCATGCTGATAATTGTTTAGAAGAAGAGTCAATTCATGCTTTACTATTATTACTGATGAGTATTCCCGGCCATGTGATCTTTCTCACAGTAATATCGTTGGTAGAATTGGGAGATATCTACGATTGGAAATTCTACATTGCCTATGCCATCATTGGCATGTTGCAGGTACGATCTTACACCTAATCCAGAATTCAAATCTTATTTATATTACTTTAGGTAGCCATCCTTCTCTACATATGCCAGTTATCCTGCCGTGTTATGTGGCGATTCAAGGTGAACCCAGACAACAACGCGATTCCTTTGCTGACGAGTTTGGGAGATTTAATAGGGACATCCCTGTTGTTTGCTATGTTTATTATCCTCAATTCCATATCCAGTGAAGTCATCTCCAATTTGGAGGAAGAATCACCCTCTTCGAATTAGGGATTGATGGTCTTGACCACTTACTGTTTTTAGTCTTAAAGTGTACTTTATTAAAAATAACGAGAACGGTCTTAATTCGAGTTGCCTTTAACATTTGGTTGTATAGTCTTCATACTACAGTCCTACGTTCCTCATTTGATCGATTTAACTGGTCTAGCCTTCATCACTTTTCGGGTTCTGAAATCAAAGTGCATTGAATTGTACAGGGTGATTCAAAAAAAATGGACAAATTTTGAAGTCGGTTTATCCCACCACGAATACCGTAGTCGGTGGAAAGAAAAGTAGTCTTACAATCGTCAACGATCCTGCTTCATGACACCTATTTTAATTTTTAAAATATTTTTGCTGAGCGGCTTGTACGAGCCAAAATACTAGGTCAGCCCATATTCTGACCAAATTTTCCAAAAATTTTGTAAGTCCAAAAATCTTTAACGGCCTGAATTCTTACAGCCAGCTAAAAACTGCGTGTTGACTGTTTATTCAGATACTAAGGGGAATCTAGAGAAGCGAAAACGCTGACATTATTCTATTAATAACGCTCCAGCAGTTCACAACGTGATCCACAAGAGACCCATCCAGATAGTTCTGGATTTTTGGGATGATCGGGTTTCAAAACTTAGTAGGGCGTCCTGGCTTGTGCTATTAACGGCAAAAAGTGATTCTTGTAAGACATATAACATTGCTTTACATGGGTCAGCAGCTGATTTGATTGCAGATTGCATTAGCCATGTACTAGGCTTATAAAAGTTTAGCCGGCTCTACCCAGAGACGCCGATATCTTTTGGCCAGAAAAATTTTACTTTTTCGTTGGCTTTCTTCAACAAGCCGCACAACTATGACAAGCTGCATTTATACGATAGTGATGTAAGTCCGTTCTTCAATTTTAAATTGGTCTCCGTTAATTTGAACAAACCTAGCCTTCAGAATCCAAGTATCCTTGCGATGACCCATCAAAAAGTCAAAAAAGTCGAAATTTTGCTTGCAGTTTTTCCAACTGAAGGTTACTATTGTTTAAAATGCGTTTAATATACTCACAATAGAGCAGTAAACGTGGTATAAATGGAATTGGTTCTAAAACTTTGACCACGTTCGACAGAGCTAATTTTTTGCAAAGCCGCCCAAATAAGCGTTGATTTTCCCTCGCTGGTTGTCTAACTTTTGGCCTCTGATTTTTCATTGTCTGAAAGACCTGGATTAAATCCTCATAAGGTCCTAGAGAATAGGTGTCTGTATTTCGCTCAGGCCGCTCAGAGCATCTCTGTTACACCCTTAAGACATTTAGGAACGAAAAGTTTCCAAATTTCGCCGCGGGAATGGGTGCGCTGTCCCGGCAATATTTAAGCAACCATATGTCGGCAACTTTTGCAGCTAGTGAACAATTTTTGCAATGAATATGTACACATAACGTAGTAGTTTCATGCCATGTGTATCTTTTTCCGAGAAACATTCAAAGCCTAGAGAAATCGAAAAAAGAAAAGTGTCCATTTTTTTTGAATCACCCTGTAAACAATTTATTATCGTCAAGAGTCAGATGTAACTTCATCCATATGATTGGAGGCGTGATTTAGCGTTCTTTCTAAATGCCTTAAGCGGTACTTTGCTCGAAAAAAGATTTAACGAGTTTGTTTTTGTCGTGCACTCTACCATATAAGTCAATGCCCCAAAGAGATCATATCATAATAAAAAGAAACGGATGATTAAAGTTGTGTTTCATTCTAACGGATTACAATATTCAAAACATTATCATGCAAAAGTATGACAAAGGTAGGTTCAAAATGCTTTTCTACTTGCAAGATGACAATACTTTTTTGCAATCTAATAATTTCTCTACACCGTGCATTCAAGCCTGAGGGCGCTAACCCTTTGATGATGTTTCTTTTGCTTTTTTTCTTGGCCACGGCTGTCCTCATTTCGTTTTTCTGATTGATTGAATTGTCTAGTTAAAGTCCTCAAAGGTCTTATTGCCTGAGGCGATCAATCAGCAAGAGTGCAGATTTATATTCTCCACGTTATTTGAGGGGGTTATCCAAGGAACAGAGGTACTATTTTTATCGTTTTGTTTGGGATAAATATAGAAAGTTTTTATATCGAGTTTTGCAAGCTTTGTAAGTAGCTTGAAAATTTTGATTTTGATTACCTCCCAAATTAGATCATGAATTAAAATTCGAGGTATTTAATAAGAATTCAAAAAGCGCCTTTTGTAAAATTCAAATCCTTACCCTTTGGCTCGTGCTCTGAATCATTGATTTTGAGATTACTGAGCCAAGATCATAACCTGCACTTCTATCCCTTGACCCCTTAAGCCGATTACCGTAACGGACGTCATGTCGCGGCAGCATTATTTTGCACACGTGAATCGAAATTTTGTTTGAAAAGGAGAAACAGGTGGCCTCATCTTTTTTTTGTTTAAGAAACGGATTCCCTTTGAATCCCATTTAAAAGGGCCTGGCCTACAGACTACATGTGCAAGTTTTGATCGGTTGAGGGAAGGGGGATTAAAGCAAAACTCAGCCAGAATAAGGCCAGCGGTGTTACGAAAGGCAGGATATTGCCAATTTTCTAAATGGCTCAGGGCATTGCATATGTATATACGCTGAGCGTTTTACAGACACTTTTCTTTGTTCGCAGTCATCTTTTATTGCTAATTCAGAACTTGCAGCTTTTTTTGGCCCAATCTCACCCACATTTTTCCATAAATCCCTCAGTTTGGTACCGTCATTTTCGTGGCATTCCACCGCTAATGAGAAAATTTGGAGCCCTCAGGGCAAATAATAAAAGCAGATCATTATGCGCCCTTGTATTCATTTTTTTTATAAGATAGATTTAGAGTAGGTTTAAAGTCGGATTAGAAATAATTCCTGGAGTGCATGGGGTAGTGCATTCCTAGTGCCCTGAGGCACAAATGTGCGCATTTCCATTCATTTTGGCTTCCCTTTCTCTCGCAACATTCCTTTTTTAAATTTAGCTCCATTTTCCTCAAATTTAATGCCCTTCGTTTTTGAGAGTTCTCGAAGGAATGGATTGTTCGGTGCTTGGCCATTCTTTGGGGCAAGAATTTTTGTTTAATTTTTTCTGACCCAAAGACGAGACGGAGTCCGGTTCCAGGCATTCTCTGCGTATTCGGATTTGACTCTTAAATTTATAGCGGATCTCCAAAAAATATTTCTCCTTTTTTCTAGTCGCGACAAAAAAAGTCCTTGGAATTTTTTGCGACTCTGCACAGTGCAAGAACCCGAAAAGTCATTTTGCACCGTGCATCCAACCAAAAAGTGCATTTGCACAATCAATTTTCAGTGTGTGACGGAATTTGGGGGCCGCGAAAAAAATGACTTTTAGTTGCGAGTAGTACCACTCATACAAAATATACTATTGGAATTGTTCTCTACTAGGGTTGTTATTATTTGTTTTTTAAAATGACGTCAAATTGCAGTCATTTTGGCTCAATTGAAAATTCTTATATGCGAAGCTTTCACCCGCGAGTCTAACATAGTCGCGGTAAAAGTCCTTACAAGGGAATGGTTTGAACTGTCTGTGAGCTTTCAACATGAGACCTCCAAATTCTGAAAGAGCGTACAAAATTTAGTAGGAATCCGCTTTCCATTTTTGCCGAATGGTCTTGGGAGACGAGAAATATCGACAGAAAGATCCGACAAAAAAATCTAGAGAGAAAAGACGAACCGAAAGGCCCAGTGAAGCGTCACCAAATAGTATAGTGGAAAAAGTTCCACGCACGAAACTTTTGGCAGAGGGAGGCCTTGGAGGTTCGAGTCCACCCGGAGCGGATATCGTCGGCTTGGATCTACGTGTCGAAAGTGTATTCGACAGCTATGTAAAGATTCTTTTTTCATTTATTCGAGTGTTTTACAGATTTTTTTTCGAAATTTCAAGAAGACTTGACAACTTGGCTGCATTTTCGATGATGCCAGATGTCGACATACTGGTGTTTGCAAGACATTTATACTCGGTTCTGAAAGGTTGTATGGGTCTTGCGGAATTTTTCGAGTTTCCAGGGAAAATCTTGCCAAATTTTCTCCTTTCCTTAAAGCTTTGCAAGAAAAGTTCAAAAGAAATTTTTTGGGTCATTGCGTCAGCGTGTGGTCCAACAAGGCATATTTACGAAAAAAATCGATTTTGAGTTTTTTAGTTTAAAATGGCCGTGGACATGTGTTTAACAAACGCCCAAAATATTTTTCCCAAATTCTTCCTTGAAGGTATAAATTTTCATAAATTCGTCTTTTTTGGAATTTTGTGTCTGACGGCATCATAGAAAGGGATAATGAGCCAAAATTTTGCGTATGTATCTTTATGGCCATTGCGTACTCAATTTTTTGAAAGTTAACTTTCACAGATTACTGTAACGTAAGCATGTTGTAACCTGGTCGATAAAAAACGGCCGGAACTCTTCTCCCAAGGCCATTCGGTCGATAGAAAAAGCATAATTTTGCAACAAGAATTGTAAAACACTCGAATAAATGAAAAAAAGGATCTTTACATAGCTCTCGAATACACTAAGGACACGTAGATATCCAAGCCGGCGGTATCCGCTCCGGGTGGACTCGAACCTCCAAGGCCTCCCTCTGCCAAAAGTTTCGTGCGTGGAACTTTTTCCACTATACTATTTGGTGACGCTTCACTGGGCCTTTCGGTTCGTCTCTTCTCTCTCTCTCGATTTTTTGTCGGATCTTTCTGTCGATATTTCTCGTCTCCCAAGACCATTCGGCAAAAATGGAAAGCGGATTCCTACTAAATTTTGTACGCTCTTTCAGAATTTGGAGGTCTCATGTTGAAAGCTCACGGACAGTTCAAACCATTCCCTTGTTAGAATTTTCGTCGACTCTGCACTGTGCATGAACCCGAAAACACATTTTGAACCGTGCATCCGTCCCATAAAGTGCTTTGGCACAGTGCAATTTTGTTGTTTTTGCCTTATTGTCGCGCGCGATTCCCATTTTTCTCACGATCAGCGACAAATCGACTTTTTGGGATGCGACGGGATTTGGGAGCCGCGAAAAATTCCAAGGACTTTTTGCCGCGACCAACCAAAATGACAAATTCAATTTGACATGACGAAAATTACATCAATTTGGCAACGTGACTGAAGCGTCAAGTTGACGACTTGACAACCCTATTCCTTAGATTTGAATAATCGAGTATCAAGATCTTTCCCTAAACCACTCACTTCTCAAAACTGTTCTTCAGAAATATATTTATAATGTTCGCTCTTTTGTGACGTCATCGTTTGATGTCACGTGCCAAGTCTGTTTCGTCATTTCCTGGGGCTTTTCCGAAAGGATAGGGCGTTCTCTCGCCTGATGGCTCAGTCTTCAGTCGTCTGGAGATTAAGGACGTTGTAAACAGGGTCTTTGGGTGCATGAAGATGGAGGGGAAATGTTTTTTACACCCTAATATGCATAACGGGAGAAGGGGCGTTGCTGCCAAGATATCCCTTATACTGCATCCATCTTTTAATGGCAAATTATTAGGAGTGTTCCCAGTATTTTTACTCGAGTCTCTACTTCAATATTTCTATGAATTTCAATGGCTTTCATCGAATCTTATCCGATTTCAGTCCTCGGAATGAATCCGAGCCGTCTGGGTTTGCCTGAGGCGCCCTCAAGCTCCACGTTGGCTGGGAATGTGAGCTCCACTCAGAACATCATTGAACATGATCAACTGGGCGCCGAGGTGTATTCGACTCGGGTTGAGGGATGGAGGAAAGTGGTGCTGCTGTTGAAGAATCTTAAGAATCCCCTTGTCATCGTGTTGGCCCCATTCCTACTATCGACTTTGCTACAGTATCATCGAAGGGTAATACACACCTACAATCAGTAATACACATCCCATTTAAGGACTACGATTGTGCATTTGTGGTCGCGTTAATGGCGATTTATTGGGTGGCGGAGGTGATGCCTCTCCCGATTACGGCTCTGATGCCCTTGTTCATGTTCCCTTTGATTGGCATCCTCCCGGCCAAAGCAGTGGCCAAGGAATATCTAAATGACACCAACTTTTTATTCATCGGAGGCCTCGTCATGGCTGTCGCTGTGGAGAAATGCCATCTTCACGAGCGAATGGCTCTATCAGTCTTAACAATGGTCGGTTCGAAACCTCAGTGGATTATGTTGGGATTTATGGTGGCCACGGCCGCTCTGAGTATGTTCATCAGTAATACCGCGACTACAGCCATGATGGTCCCAATTGGACAGTCTGTAATCGAACAGTTACTGCATTCGAAGAGGCTGCACGGAATGAGCGAAACCTCCAAAACTGAACTCTTGGGAGGGAACTTTGAGCATAAACCATCAAAAGCGGAGAGTCTTATGTCCAAGGGTCTTATCATCAGCATCTGCTTCGCAGCTAATATTGGGGGTACTGGGACTGTAACTGGAACCCCGCCTAATCTGGTTGTCATCGGAATGCTTTCCACGTAAGTTACAATCGGTTTGAAAACAGTCCAGATACTTTATGTACTTACAATTAGTACCTAGAGAAAATTTAAGTCATCGTATCTTCATTTTCAGATTGTTCCAAGAGGCCGATACCGGAGTCCATTATCTCTCCTGGATCGCCTTTGCTTTTCCTTTAATGATTTTATGTCTCTTGGCTTGTTGGTCAGTCCTTGTTCTGCTGTTTATGAGAGATGCCCCTCCAGCTGATCCTGGAGTCATTCATCTGATAAAGAAAAAATACGAGGACCTGCCGCCCATGAGTTTCGCTGAGAAGTCTGTGGGCGCTTCCTTCCTTGTCCTCTTGGTCCTTTGGATTGGCCGAGATCCTCATGTTGTACCTGGATTTGGATCCTATTTCCCGAAAGGATACTTTACTGACGCGACAAGTGCAATGTTAGTGGCTGTGTTGTTGTTCATCCTGCCTTCCGATATCCCAACATTAAGTTCGTTGACTTCGTTGCCGCCTGAGGGAAAGAAAAAGAAATCAGATCGGCTAATGGATTGGACGACTATGCATTCGAAGTTCCCCTGGAGTGTGGTCTTGCTGTTAGGCGGAGGATTCGCCTTGGCGGCGGGAGTAAAAGAGTCAGGTAGTATATTCTACTTCATATTACCTATCACCTATACTATCTTTTGATCATGTAAATATTCATTTCAGGGCTTTCCCATGGAATCGGACTGCTAGTTTCAAAATTGGCCGGACTTCCCCCGGTTGCTCTTCAACTCATATCTTTGGTGGTCACCATGTTGGTTACAAACATCTGCTCAAATACTGTAGCCGCGAGCATTTTCCTTCCGATTGCCGCGAACTTAGTAAGTTATATTTTAAAAAACAAGTAAAAATCCAACACTTCAGGCTCAACAAACCGAACTCAATCCTCTATCTCTGATGCTTCCCACAACTCTGGCAGCCTCTTATGCCTTCGTATTGCCAGTCGGAACACCACCAAATGCGATCGTATTCGCCAGCGGCTATTTGAAAGTCACTGATATGGCAAGTCTTCAATTTTTCTCTGACCGCTAATACAACGTCAACGCTAAAAACTTAAAATTTGAAAATTCCAGATAATTTCCGGAACCTTTGTCTCAATTGCATGTACACTCATTGTAGTCGGATACATGAACACTCTAGCCATGCTGGTATTCCCTCTAAACGAATTCCCAGCATGGGCTGCTATGAACGAGACGATGACGTCATAGATAAAAAAAACAATGTGATATATTCGAAAAAACGGGTTTACTATAATAAAAGAAGTCAGTAGAGATCGGATCAAAGTGACGTTCAACCAAACCAACCGGGCTCTGGGGGCTTGGTATTGCCAAAGGCGAAGTCCAGATATTGCATTCGGAAGGAGGTATAGAAGGCGACGGAGACGAAGACGGCCAAAAAGAGGATCACACCCATTCTCGCGACGACGAAACTCGAAATGAATTCGGAAATAACTAAATGGGAGAATGGAATTCTTTCTCGGATCCATTTGGAATTAAATAAGACATCTCAAAATGTCACAGTTCCAACAAAGTACCTGTCCATCAAATAATCTCTGAATCAAAGGTCCCGTTTGCCCCTAGACTAACTAAATATTGCCTGACGGCGCGAGTCACAAGACCTCCACATTTTGTTCCTCGCGTTTTGTCGCTGAAACTGGTAAGCGGCGACCTCGAGAGACGTCGAAGACCAAGGTGCGGAAAGATGGGTCGGGATTATCGAGAGAGCGATCTTCTTCAAGGCGCTCTTCTGCCTTTTTTTCAGTCTTCGGACAACTCGACGAAATTCCATCGCTTCCAAAAAAGTTTCCATCGGGCTTCTGAAGGCGGCAGAAGTCGGTGAAAGTCGTTTCTGACATCTCAAACACGGAACGGCGAGTCAGGAACGACCAGAAAGTCGTCGAATTGGATTGAGAAGAAGGAAGTCGGGCTCCCCCACAGAAGCCGATTGGGGGCACAGCACCACGGAACGATCGGCCTCCGTCTTTTTTTGGGGGCCGGCGGCAGAAGAAGGGAAGGGGAACGAGACCGGAGAAGATGGACCTTCTCCGTCCCATCCACGACCCCACCTTGCGCATTATGGTGGTGGACAACCCGGACCCTAACCGGGCGTCGGCACCGCAAAGCCCGCAGACTGCGGACAAGGCAGTCAATAGTCCTATGGTAATATTATGCAAAATAATATTTTCTTTTTACATATTCCTCTTGATTTTAAACCTAGAATAGAAAAAAACCGGGAAGTAGATAAGATCAGAGACATATTTGTTCGCTATGTGAAGTTGCGCAACTAAAAAATTTGTCATCTTTCAGACCTCTGATGACACAGATGACGATACCATACTCGATTCTCCGCCAGTACGACGTAGATATCAAGCATACACGGTCATGCAGAGGAGTGGATTCCAACATACTGAGTAAGCCGCTCCTTAGTTGAGTATTGTAATTCATAGTCTCGATTCCAACAAAGTTGGAAATAAATGTTGATCCAGATACTTTTGTGGATTCTTCGCATTTATATTCGCCGATATTCATCTCGTCATCGCGTTCCATTTGCCCTAGATTCCTCGTTCTTCTTCTCTTCTCTTCTTCCAATTGAATATGAAACCTTTCAGGTATGTCCAGATCATTACCCATCTCTCCAAGGCCGAGATCCTGATCAGTCTCGTCTTCATGTGCCATGGATTATCATGTCCTGGATTCCAGACAGACTCCGTTTATCAATCGACCTGCCATATAAATGTGCTCGCTGCTTTGGTGGGGATATTTACTGGAGGTGTTGGGTTGGGGGCAGTTCACAAGTTCAGATGGAAGAATATGTTGGTGATGTGGTTGATCATGTGCATCATCTCTTCAGTGGCCAATCTGCTGGCCGTAATTACAACCGGTGTTTGGTTGGATCACTTGAATAAGATGAAAGAGAGGACGGGGATCGCCAATGGATTGAGTGGGATGATGTTGTTGGGATCAGTTCTGGTCGGGGTCTGCTTTATTCTGACGGCCGTTTTGATCTGCCATTACTGGGCATCCAATTCGTCCAAATATCAAGCTGTTGGGCGGATGGCAGTAAGTATAACACATTCTTCTATCTAAATTTCTTTAAAAATGCCTGTTATTATATGGGCCTTTTCCAGAAACGAACGCGCAGTGTTCGACGCCGTTCCAGCCGAAATAGTGGGACCGATCGTTCCGGCAGAAGCTCGCGATTGGAGAGAATGCCATCGATTAAACAGTATCACATCGTTTAGATCCGAATCGATCCAGACCTTGATCTCAGATACCCGAAGGGCAGGACTGACAGATGGTTGGTATTCATACGAGTTGTAAATATACTTTCGTTTAATAAATTGAGAAAATAATTTAACTCAAATCAACAATACTCGAGGTCACATTGTAAATCTTTTGGAGTGAGGGATCCAACTCCGAATGAGACCAGGGAAACAATAACAAAATACCAAGAACAACAGCATTAAAAGTGAGAGACAACTCTCCGAAGTTCGGTGATGTCATCCATGATCTGGAATCTGCTCGAGCCGACGTTCTTTGCCAGGTCCGCCTTTTCCTGTTGGTTTAGATGTTGATACTGGAAGACCAGATTGGCATCCACAATGAACCGAGAGATTCCACTCATCTGATTATGCGTTCTTAAAGGCTTTAAGGCTTTGGACCCTCGGGGATTAAGACCGGCCGGCTGGGGGATATGAGAGGTCATGATCTGTTGTAACATCTGTAACCTTCTGAATGCTTTCTCCGAGATTGGTCTGATGATTCCAAAGGATCCTTCCAGAGTTGCGAATACACACGTGTGGATCTCTCGGATTTGATCCGGATTCTCTAGGAAGGGTTCTCCCATGTGCCCTAAAACCGATGGTTCAGGTCACTTCCCCATTACTTACCCTTAACTCTTACAAACCCAGTGGCAACTGTCCCGATATTTAACGCCGACCTCAGGATCAACTTCTCACCACCATTACTTTCATTTGTCTCTGGTAGATGATTAAATATTAAAATATTTCCGGCTTCATCAGCCAAAACAAAGGCCATGTGAGTTCGATCAAGAATAAATTGAGCCGCCATTGGAGAAGAAGCACTGGATCGAAGGTCCCTTGCCACCATAGACAACGCTTTAAAATCTTTCTGATATTGTACTAGGGATAATGAATGAAACATGTCACAAGCCAGAGCTAAAGATCCAAATCCGACTAGACTGTGAATGTAAAAGTGCATATCCAAGAAGGAAACTCCATTTAGCATACCATCTTTAAATTGCCAGATGAAAATCTAAAGCAAAAAATACCGTTGACGTAAATCCCTTATAAGGCTTACTTTTTGCCCCATTCCAGTCAACAAATAACCATCACAATGGCACATACTGGTGACAGGACCCTTCTGTTCCTTGTCGTATACAACCTTCATCTTGTGTCTAGTCGTTGGCATTCCTTCTTCCGGGACTACTTCAATCAACTCATAGATCAGAATTCTGCCTCTAACATATACCTACAAAATCGTAACAATTACTGCAAACCCACCCAAAGTGACAAAATTAGGGTATCAACTTACTTCCTCTCCATAATTCAGCGCTGTCCCCAACGCCAAATAGCTCTGAACTCCCCATACAGTACTTTCGGAGCTCAATAACACTTCTTCAGCACAAGTCACGACTTCAAACTCTTGGAATTCAATGGTGCTATTAGGGACAAATTTCCAATCTTCTGTTGAGAACAGCTAATGCAAAAAGTTAGATTTCCTTCACGGTTACTTACCTGAAGTTTATACTTGGCTAGGTCTGGGATCACACAATTCCCATCTCTTTCATATTCTTCCACATGTTTGTCTTCATTAAGGACTGATATTACCTTAGTGTTTGGCTCGCCAACCGAAGTAACCACAGCGAATACATCGCAATTCATGAGATACACACAATGGTTGACAGTCTCTTCAAATTGGACTTTCCTTACAGGATACGAAGTATCATATCGTATTTCCCTCTGAATTCAAACAGTAACAATTCCTCAGTATAACTTACATCAAGATATCCAAATCTCAAAAATTTCTCGTTCCCATTGCCTGTCAAATAAATAAATCCCCGAGAAATCTTATCATTGTGATAGGTGGATAAAGAGAAGACAGGTCCATCAATCGTCATTGGATGGAGATACCACCGGCCTCCTTCTGAGACAAGTATGCTGGGATAAAAACCCCCGACAAACAGTCCATTTCTCTAAAAGACCGATCATTTCATTAACAATATAATCAGTTCAGTTCATCCGGATATCTAAGTCCTTACCAAACTGCCAATTTTGTCGTAAAATGTGACGAGGGTTCGTTGTTGATCTACTTCTCTTCCAGTTTCAACTGGAGCCCTTCCACTGGCACCAACAAATCTTTCCGATCTTGTGACCACATTCAATGGGATCTTCTTTAATCGGATGGCCAATGCACCTAAAAAATTGAGAGGAAAAATCAGGGTCCACCATTTGTTCCCACACACCTTTAACGCCTTCATCAAACGAGAACACCTCATAAAACACAACAGTGTCATCGATCAGCAGAGACAACACAGGTCTTCCTTTATTGTATCCAAGTCCGTTAAATTGCAATTCCATTATTACTTCCTCTGCTTTCACGGCAACATTATCAGTGTGTAACTGGCCTTCTTGAGCTTGAAAATAAGAATCGGTGTGAATTGGGGCTTCATCTTCAGTCTGATTATATTGTTCATACTTGATCACTTCCGGAAGAAGCTGGAGTTTCTTTATAAAATACACTTGTTGCAAAGTTTGAGCATTGAGAATAGATGTATGTCCGTTTTCCCGAGCTAAAACTACCCAATACGCGGGAAAAATTGAATTTGGATCTGGCAATTCAAAATTGATTGGTTTAGTGCTGGGCTGAGCTTCGATCTCAGAATGTCGTCGCTTCTTGTCTAAAATACGACACCATCATAATCTACATATCCACACTTACCTTGAACGACCTCAGAGACCACAGACTCTCCATAAAGCAGGGCATCTTCATCATCCATATTCTCATCAACAGCTATCCCAGCATCTTTTTCTTCTTCTTCTTGATACTCCTTCTCTTCTATTGCTGATCCCCCTCCACCCTCAGACATTCTGAACAGCCCACTACAATCTTTATATATACACGCGGCTGTTATTGCACTCTTTTCTTGGTTCTCCACCTTCCCCATGTCTATGGACACCAGTCTCATCAAATTCGAATCAAACCGATAATACAGTAGTTTTCCATTTTGGGTAAGTAACAGAACAAAGGGATCGACAACTGATGCTGAGGCCACCGGGAAGTTGGAGTCGAGTCTAATTACATCCAAAGGCTGTTCCGTGTCATCGCTAATCAGGACAATGCTCATGGAGCATATCTGAACATAAATCCTCCCGTTTAAGAGTTCCCCAACATAAATGGTAGTCTCTTTGGTAAAGAAAGCAGACTGTTCCACATTTTCAACATTGTCATTTGATATTTCCAATACACTAGTTGCTCTGTCATAAGATACAATAAGATATTTATGAGAGTCGTCGTCTCTTCTACCGACTGTCCAAAGCTGAGCAGCCTCCGATCCCAACCTATATCGAAGTAATATAATAATAGGTAATCACACTTACGCATCACTTTGTTGAATAATCGGCCGAACAGTTCTTTGGAAGAAACAAAGCGACGAATTTTGCTCATGACCAGAAAGAGTAACCAGATCAAATAGAAAATCTCTTGGGTTCTCTTTGAATTCATTGGATACTGTATTCGCGTTACATGACCGTATTCCTTTACAAGGACCAACATTCAGTAATTGATGTAAAACTTCTACCTTCAGGGTTATCTTGGCTTCTTCAACTTCCTAAAGAGAATAAAAAACAAATTTAATTCTTTACCTCAGTCTCTTTTTTATCATTTCCTCCATATAAGAACTCGTCATCTTCTTCATCGTTCATCTTTGACTGCTTATTCACTGGCTCAGTTCCATTAGCATTCATATGCTCCCGAGAGTACCTTAACAGTTGAGAATCTCCAAGTCTCGATCCCAGGAAAACAATTCCTTCATCCCAATACGATAAAGTATAAGGCAGTGACACATCTGAATGGTTGAAGATTAACAAAGACAGTGCTCACCATGAATGGGTTCAAATCTCACACTCCTGACAGCATTGGATATATCTACATCCATCTTTAGATAGTAAAGCTTCCCTTTCCTTGACGCCACCAACAGCTCTGACTCACTTATACCAACAGCCGAACAGGCATCCAAAGTTATCTTCATGGACTTCATGTCATTCAGAGGGAACCGACAGAAGTCATCGGCATTTGAATTGAGGGATATTCCGCATGGTGGAACAGACTGGTTTAAATATACAATCTCGTTCGCACCAAATAAACAGACACCTCCAACTGGTTGAGGAATAGAAACAGCTTGATTTATCGTCATTGGAAGGCCAGAAAGATTCCAGACAACAGCATGGAGTTGGTCCTTCAAGTTTAGAGACACTGCCAATATGCAAACCGTATCGTAACGAATCACTGCCCTAAAAACAAATCTTGCTATCTAAACTCAAACAAAGACAAAAACGCAGTGTCACTCACCGTCCGGCCGTTGTCCTCAATGGCTCATAAACCAAGAGTAAAGTCGGTTCGTAATATCCATGCAAAAAAACCATATCAATAATATTCTCCAACCTGACATCCAGGGACCTCAAAGATAAAGTGTAGCTTTGTAAGTACTTTGAAGTCGTTTCATAGAATGGTAAGATAGCTAAATGTCGCCCATAAACTAACATTGCAGCACACCGGTTTACTGGATCTACTCTAACTATAGGAGTGCTTGCAACTTTTGTAAATCCATCCTTCAAAATCTCATCCTCGTATGAATGCAAGGATAAGGTATTTAACGATTGCGTGGCAGGGTTAAAATTAACTATTGAAAGCTTCGCATCATCAAACGAAAGCAACAAAGAGTCGGATTGTGGATGTGAAGGTATTCTAAACACAAATAATAAACAGTACAGCACAACCTACCGCGCAACTGCAACAGATTTGACAACACTCATGAGATCAGTATAAAAAACGCATTCTAGTCGAGTTGAGGGCTTGCATTCCTTGTTTTCTTCATCTTCATAGACAAACGGATTCAAACGGAACATTCTAAGATATTTTCCTCCGATTGTGACCAATTGGCGGCTATCCGAATGTAAGAAATGCCCGACAACAGAAGCATTTATGGTGGTCGAGGGATCTGTCTCATGTAGAACGGAATACATGTTACTAGTTCCGTGAATGTTAACCTAGATCAATTACAACAATGCCGCCATTTTTCCATAAATATAATTTTCAAAATTAGGGCGCGGCCTGCCGAAGTGCACCCCGCAGCTTGCCGTACGATTTTATTCGATGATCCTTTTTTTTATAATACTAATCCAAGGAAGATAGCATAATTCTGAGGGACTAGCGCATGAAATTAATTGTATTTACATTGAAAATAAATCCAATTCGAATAGTTACTGTATATTTTTGTATACAACTATCTTCCTTGTTCCTCAAACAGGGAACCTTAAATGTTCGTTGTAATCCCACGTTCATCTTGATTATGACAAATTAAGGGGGCCGGCGCCGTAACGGGGCCGTCACGATTTATCACAAGTAGCACCTTCTATTTATTTTGTAGTAATGTTAGTTTATCAAGTTTTTTGTTGTTATTTTACGGAACCCCACGCAACATCTGTCAGAGCTTAACGTGACGTTGGAGTTACGTAGAGAGTTGAAGAAAGAAATGTTCAACGCCTATAACAGCTCGCTTTACCCGTGGAAATGCCGGCTGGAATTCTTTTTTTCGGAGAGAAAGAAACGGAAAAAAAGAGTGCAGAAAAAACGCTTTTGAAATGACCAGTGGCCGTCGAGACAGTGGCGGTGCGAGGAGGAGACCAGCCACCACTCCCCGCTCCCGTCGTCTTGCTCTGGTACGAGGTGGTGTTGAAGAGGGAGGGAGAGAAGGGAGATGGGGATAAGGCTCATGGATAATATGACCGCCAATCCATTTCTACCTGACCCACTAAGGATCTTCATCTTCTTTTTTCCGGAGGGAAGATGGTTTTTGGACATTAGAAGAGAGCCTCTTTGCAATCGTCACTTCATAGAGCAGAGGGCCTTAATTCATTTTCTTCTTAAAAGAATTTCTTACGTAAAGTTTTTATAAAAACTCCTAGAGACTTGTTCGTTCTTAAGTGCCTGAGGGTTTTTTGCTTTTATTCAAATTTTTATCGATATTATTAGCCGTTTCTGCTGCCTTTTCTCTTCCGCGATCGATCCGAAAATAATTAATTTAAATGGGTTACTTACCGGGAATGTACTCTTTCAGATTGTTTTTACACTTTTCGACCTTGACTTCCTTTCGTCCTAGTTTCAGCTTCCAATGTGGCCTTCGATCTGTGGATTGTAGAGAACTGAAAGCAGACGGATCCCTCTACAACGAATGGATCCCTTCGATCAGCAGCCTCCCGTCGAATTGGACCGGGTGTCATTTGAAGTAAGTTGATGAATAAATGAGTAATCCCCTTCATTCTCAGGACTCGGAGCGCTTTGAAGACGATTCGATCTGTTCGTTTCAGTCGGAAAACGAGTCGCTGAACCAGAAATGGAGCGAATGGAACCTCAGCGGATCAGGTGGGTTTAATTTTTTCGTCAATGACACATATCTGGTATCTTTCGACACAATGTTTGTTTGTTGACGTGACTGCTTTACTGATGACATCTGCCCTTCAGATCTTCCCGGTCCATCTACTTCCACCAAACGACGTGCCCTCCGGACGGGTAAGTCTTTAATAATCTTTTTGATTTCGATATTTAGGAATGCCGATTCCGTCGCTTCGTGACATTTGCGCGAAAAAGGTGGCTACAGGGCTGACTTTCGAAGAGATCGAGGCAATCTATCAATCTCTCCATAAGAACACAGTGCCCGCTCCTATTCTCCGACAGATTTACAATTTCTGTTTCCCCTCAAATCCAGAAAATATAAAAACTTACAGTTTCATTACTAATGGATCTACTCAGCCTTTCGACTCTGGTCATCACCTTTTCATTAACAACGCGGTCTTTAATGTCTTTCAAATTGGTTATCATATTTCGGCGTATGTCAGCGATGTGGACTCGGAGGTGATGAAGTATCAGGAGAAGGACGGAAAGGGATGTTATAAGGTCTCTGTTCAAGTGGATAGGTAAGGAAATTCATATCCAGTATATGTGGAACCCAAATGACGTTAAATATTTGTAATTATAGATGTCGGATAATATCTTGTTCATGTTCCTGTTCATCCACAGCCACTTGGTGTAAGCATATCATTGCCGTATGTCTGTATCGGATTATGAATGCTGAGAAGATCCAATACCGATCTCCAATCTGGGATTCAATAGCTGTGTTAGGCGATCTACGAGTCAAGAAGTTCGCCCAGTATCTGATAAATGAATCTCCAGCTGAAGTAAGCACTTTTTTAATGCATCAGAAACTCTTTCAGTTTATTGTCATTGCCCAGAGACTTCTGGATCAACTGGCAGTTGAGAATTCGGAGATCAATCAGACAATGGGAGCACCGGATCCGACAGCCGGAGGGGATTCCGATTATTCAAATTGGTTTTTGGATGAGAAACAACTCCATGAGAGTATTCGGAAGATCCTAATCAGTTTCGTAAAGCCCGGCCCAATGGTGTGGTACGTTTATTCAGTTATTCATTTGGAATAAAACGAGGTCAGAGTTAGGGAACGATAGAATCTGCCGTTCTTCTCATAGCATCTGGAGATCAGAGCTTGTCCGAGATCAACTCGATCCTCAAAAACTTTCTTGTTCTAAAAGTTGATAGTGATGACATTGTTTTAACTTTTAAACTTACAGTCTTGTATTCTTCAGTCTTGATGGGTTTCTTAACCACGATCTCATTCTTTCCCTCATCTTCTTCTACTTCCTTTTCTTCATTCCCATCTTCCTTTTCTTCTTTTTCCTTATCACTTTTTATTTCGACCTCTCCTTTCTTGTCTTTTTTCTTCTTTTTATGAGACTTCTTTCCTTCCTCGACAGCATCATCGTCAGGGCTTTTAGCTGGAGTCTCGATGAATCCCTTTTTCTTATTTGAGGACCTTTTCTTGTCATCATCGGACTCATTTCCGGCATCGGTTGACGTCTTCGTACTCTTTGTCTTGTCGTTTGTGGAGGTCGATGAATCGGTTTTGACGGAGGTCACTTCTTCGATCTTCTTCTCTTCAATCTTTTTGTCCTCGATCTTCTTTTCCTGAACTTTTTTCTCTTCTATCCGCTCATTTCTTTTGGGAGGGGGAGTTGCACGGAGAGATGTGTTGATGTTCTTGTTGTTGGCTGGAGGAGCCGGACGGGCTGGTGTGGTGGTAGCGGAGGCCTTCTTAGGGTTGGACTTGGATTTACTCCTTGACGCTTTTTGGGATGGCTTTTGAACTGGAATATCAAGGAAATAAAGAACGAATGAAATTGTAAATACAAGGAAAGGTGTTACCCTTCTTCTTCTTGCAACAGCAAGAGAATCCTCCGCCCTTCTTCTTTTCGGATTGCTTCTTTGGTTTTGCTTTTTTGTTCCGTTTGTCTTTCTTGGCCATCTTTTCCGATTTTCCACCGCTCGGAATGAAATTCCTTGCTCAGAATCAAAAATGATTACAAAAAATACAATCAAAGTGATACATAAAATAAAACTAAATTTTAGTGATGTCAGCTACATGTCGGCAAGTTCTCCTCAGGCTTCCACGGAGTTTGTTTGTTTGCTCCGGAATCATTATTCTCGAGCGCCCGAGCCTCTGTGGAAGTTGTTGGATATTGTAGTTCACATGTTGAAACGAGGAGACGAGAATGCGACAACTCTTTTACATGCAATAACGGAACACTGTTTATGTGTGGATCAGATTCTCAGCTGGTGGTATCAGACACGTCTTCTGGAGACTGGCCATTGGTACCTCGGGAATGGAGGACATCGAGTCACTTCGCAGGGCCAACAAAATGTACCCCGACATAACGCGAGTTCATTGTGCGAGGAGATAGTCAGACTGTGGGGATTATGCAGTCTGAATCCGAAATTAACAAGACATGAGAAGGAGCAATTGTATGCACTGTTGACATTGTATCATGAACGAGCGGTCAGGAAGATCTGGGAAATGTTGGAAACCTCGGTTCTGGATTGCGTAAGAAATATTTATCAGGATGACAATGTGTTTTTAGAATCTTCAAGATGCTAAGGGAAATCGTTTGTCGACTCAAAGCGCTCCTTTCTCGGTCGACTTCTTCCCGGGATTCTTTCCTGCCCTCCAATTGTGCTTCCTGGATTGGAAAAGCGTCTCCATTAAGGGATTGCAGCACTCCGTAGATATATCTGAGTTCATGAATGTCATCAAAGAATCCACTGGAAAGAATGAACTACGATGTTTTAATATCCCCATCCTAAAACATAGCCCGGACGCTCTATTCCTGGAGTTTATTGATACTGAACAGCAGATAACGTCGACTCTAAATCATCATGAGTTGAATAATGGAAAGACAAGGTCGAAACGGTACTCACGGAGGAAGAGAAGGAGAAGACAGGCCGCCAGAAATGCTCAGATGGCTTTACAGGACATTGGAAGAGCTCTGCAAAACCAAATGAGACGATTTCCAAAGGCCGAAAGTGATGAGTCGGCCACTGAAGATGTGGATCAGCCGTCGACTTCACAATCCAAGGCCAAGTAAGCTTTTTGGATTTAATTTTTCCGTTATGAAAATGGATAATTGTCCGTAATACAAATTTGCTTATGCTGCTAAATTTATCTTAATGTTAGACAAGAGCCGTATCAAGAACAAGTCAATCACCTGTTTGCATTGGCCCACGAAGAGATGGATAAAACCCTGCAACGATTCTGTTGTTGCGAGGCCCTGTACTGCTATGGATACGTTGATGAAGCTCAAGAGGTCGCTGAAGTTCTGGCCAATGACTATTATCAGCTCACGCCGTTCGTATTACCTCTAGAATATGTCGAACCCTCCTTCTCCAACCTTCGACAAGACCATTCTCAGAAGTTGTGTAAGCATATGAGAAAGAGGATGTCCTGCAAACATTGCAAACATATACCTCCGGCTCAGTTCTATCAGCTCTCCAGAAGCGCCAAGAGGAGTCTTCATCCTCCCCAACCCCCACCATCTCTAAAGAAGTTAGAGGTAGCCAGGGCAGCCGTGGAAAGCCTTAACAGTGTATTGTTTGTGTTGAAATGCCTGCTCCAAGATCATCCCATCTCTCCATTGGGCTCGATGATAATATCAGAAGGAGAAAGTCGAGAGTTCAGCTTCGAACCAGAGAGTGTGGCCATGAAATTGGCCTTGAAGGTTCTGCTGGAACCCAGAGGACCCGCTCCTACTCGCCAATTGGAAGTGAATGTCGCCTTCTTGGTAAGTTTTAGCTAGTGTAATAATTCTCTTCAGGAGTTACAACTGTTTAAGATGTTGATGTCAACCAGACTTACTGTCCCTCATCTGGAGTTGATCCGAGAAGCCGCAGATTCTTTTCTGAAGAGTGACATGAGGACTTCATACATTTCTCAGAATGCCGTGCCTCCAATCTTATTCGCTCATTACGTTTTAAATGCTCTTTCATATGACTACCACAACAGCCTTGAGACGAGAAATGTAAAAGCGTCCCCTCCATGTGATAATCTGACCAATCAGATGAGAAAACCGTCCGACGAGAATCTGGCCATGGCTGTGGCCTTGGCCGTTCTTCAGATTAGGCCCAGATTCCACGAAAAGAATCATCCAATGTTGATGGAATACATACGGAAGCAAAAGGGAGAGATGACTTTGGAGTTGTTGAGAAGGAATTGTGACTCGAAGGAGAGGCTGAATCTCATTTTGGACAAATTTTTGGATGCTGAAGTTCATTGCATTTATCCGTAAGTACATCAAAGTAAATATAGATGGAAACGGTTGTTTTAGAAACTGTCAAACGAATGCTATTTTGGTCAGAAACTGTGGAATCAACCACAATTCTCCATTCTGTTTGTGTTGGAAAAGAGAAGAGACATCTCTACCATTATTTTCTGGAGATTCCTCTACTTCAAGTTCGGAAAACAACTCCAGGAGAGATTCCACAATGTCAATCCAAGAGATATTGGAACAGTCAACCTCTAAGCTCAACAAACTCACAACCGATGATGTGATGACTCGAAGTGGATCTGGAGATGGGACTTCCGAGACTTCAAAGGAATCAAAGAAGGTTGATAGTCCCGATGGAAGTACGCCCTCTCTGAATCAATTCAGTGATTCCAGCAGCTCTGGGATATCGAATAACTCGGTTGTTGACGTGGAGCCGATTCCATTGTTACAAACGTTGAGGTTGCAAGAGAATGCGCAACAACTTCGAGCATGTAATGCTAGACCAAATGCCATGGGTATGATATCCGAAGACCATGCTCATTTCCTCATGGAATTTGCAAAGAGACTGTTTGGAGATGCCGGAGGCAATCACGGTCCGTCTTTCTTCCATCCGGCTCCCAACACTCCCCCCAATAGAAATCTGCACATGTGTGCCTTCATTATTGGATTATACTCATTGGGTGTGAATAATCATGTCTCGGACATGTGGAGATCAAGAACGTACAGCACAATGGTTAGCTGGATACAGGCTCAAGCCTTGGAACTGGGTTCGGATGCTATTCAAATCCTGAATGATGTCTGGGAAACTCATATGACGCCTTCCGAAGTCGCCGAACTGGCTGATAAAGTCAAGCAGAATGAGTTGTTACAAAACGCTGCCATCCAACTCTATCTCAACGTTCTGAAACGTGCTTGGTCTTTGACTTTTGCTGAATGCCAGAGGGCGCTTGATCAATGCGCGGAGTTTGGAATGGATAAATTAGAGAGGGCTTGTTTAGCAGTGGAAGAGTCAGCAAAACATGAAAGCCTTAACCCGCAAGTGCTGTTCAAGGTGTCCGAATGTTGGTACAAGATGTACAATCCCGCAAATAAGTCGTCAGAGACATCTTGTGGCACTTCTGCGTTTTCCTACAATTCTTCGAACCAACAACATTTGGAATGGCAACCTCCTGTTAATCCACCTCCACAACCTCAATTGAATTCAATGCTCTGGCCTGGTTACAACAACTCTCCTTTGGTGCCTTCCTATCCTCCACCAAATATCCATCCTCAATGTGTTCAAGCCAGTCAGAACTTTCAAGGGAAACTTCACGTCAGTCATTCAGCCCCAAACCTCCAACCCATGATTGGTCCAATGAGAGGTCCAGGATGTTCTGGAATGCAGAATAATTCCCATCGAAGCCAATTGACCCGACCCAATGCGATTCCATTGAGGAATGTCCATATCTCAGCTGTTCCCGCGAACCGAGGTCAATATGGAAAGATGTCTATGACTAATGCGACCCCTTACATCTATCCATATCAAGACCATGCCAAATGGAAGCTCCTAAAAGCTTATGAAATTGGGATGTGGGCCTTTGAGTTGGTGGGACCTCCCAATTTTGAGGATAATCATTATGGGAAATTCTCCAAGGTAAGAAATGGTACCGTATAACGATCAATTATTTTAGCATCCCGAGTTTGAACAGGAGATTAAGAGTCTATTGTCAATATCAAAGGACCTTGGCGCTTTATATCTCCATCAATTTTGCGAAAAGGCTGCAGGAAGAGTAGCCTCGCCAAGTCTTCTAATGGAGATCATCGAAGACGCGGACTCTGCCTTTAGAGAAGGGAATGGATATTCCCAAATGCCTCCCATTACTGACCCAATGGCTGGCCCCATCGTCTGCAGACCCTCTTATGGATCGAGAGGGGTTAAGGGAGATTGTGTCCGGCAACTTCTTCATCAGTTACGATATCCAACCTGTCTTCAAGATCTGGCCGCTACTTGCACTGAACTACTTTATACGTCAACGTCATTGAAGTTGAGTCATCCTCGACTGATGGATGCGGATAAAGAGGACATCACAGAACTTTTAAATGTGGCTATGAGATTAAGCGGGATGATGAGACATCATGGGCACACCTTTGTCAACGAGTTCTTCAACTATATTCGGAAACAAAAGTCGGGGAAACAGGCCATGGATCACATAAAACACACGGCAAACATCCCTAGAATGTCTTAGGTCGTTCAATTAACTAATTGTCGGGCGGATTCGTCCAATTGTTTGTAAAAATATGTCAACTATTTTGTTTTTTTTTGCTCGGAGTCTACTGTATTCGAGCTATTTACTATTTTAATTATAATAACGAAGCCTTAATTAATGTTGTTGCGCAATTCAATTAAACGTGTATTTCTTCTGCCATTGGGGCAGAATTGTTGTCTACGTCAACGCTAATTTAAATAAATATAATTAACCGTAACGATTTTATCCGTATACAAAATAAGTTTCTAACATCAAGTTAATCCATTTCAGCTATATCAGGTGTAGTGAAACTGGCATCTTCGATATGAAATAACTTGAACAATGAGGCCCGTTCTTCGAATGTACATTGAGTATACAGCTAAACATATGAAATCAATTATAAAATTTGAAATTCTCACGAGTTTATACTCCATTACGATGGCTTGAGCTTCTCGAATTCCACATGATGTTTTCAAGGAAATTCCACTGCCCACTTTGTTCTTGATCCTCCATTTAGCCATCTCCAATAGAGCTTCCCCATTCAAATGAGAAACGAAATTATCTAAGGGAAGAAGGCGACGGGGATGACGTCCTTTGATACTTCCAATAACAAGGGAATCGCAACTAAAAATACGGTAGATATGTGAGATACGATTTTCTGACCAAAGAAGGGGTTCATCTAAGACTTACTGAACAATGCCAGGTGTCATCACCAAATCTTTGGACACATGTTGAGGTAGAGCGTTTCTCAGATGCTCCAGATGATAGTGTCTGGCCACAATGACTGTACCACAAAACCGATGGAAGGTCGTGGAACTAATATGTTTCAGACTGACATTGTGTAATATCAAGGTATCCACCTTCATATATTCGCCAAAGTAATTGAGCCACTGTTCGACAAAGAACTCCGTCAATGAGAAGTTCCGTAAGATCAGATCCCTGACTTCTCCATTCCTCAAATAATGCTTCAGGAGATCATAGTATTCCAATGGGGGAGTGAATAATTTCTTCGAGTAATTTTGATATCGATCGTAAATCAAAGGAGATCTCTGTGTGCACACTCGTGTGTATGGAACAACATCTGCCGTGACGTTTCTATTTCTGTGGTACCTGTGACCGCATTCATAACTATACCTCTTTGGCCATCGAAACTTTTCCAATTGCTCTTGTGCCACTGAATCTATGTCACTGAAGATCAGAGTAATAATCAAAAGTACAGGGTGGGCCACTCGAAACTCCCAACCTCTTTTCAGGTATTTCTCCGCCAATAATGCACCAATTTCTATAAAATTTATATCAAATTGAAGCTGAGACACCCCATTTCTTGTCCACCAAATACGGCCCGTCTAACTTCACGGAGGCACCCGTACTGACCTTTTACATTTTCATTCCAAATTTTGGAACCCGAAATCGGTGAAACTTAGAAAATTTTGGAATGAATTCCAGTTGAGTTTCTCGGAATTGGAAAATGTTCGCGCCTTTGACTGCATAAAATTCTTATAAGCACCAGAAAAAAATTATGGCAATCAACGGAATAGTCAAAATTATTCTTCAAGGCGCTGCTTTTGTGTTCTTAGGCGATAGGCTTAATTATTCGAAATTTTTCAAAATGGGCGAAACTGTCTACATGCATGACGACATCCACCCCGAAGAAGCATAGAAACTTTCCAGGCTTAAAGTGCCCGAGAAAACAGCTTTTGTTCTCATTCGCCCAAATTGGTACCCCGCTTGATTGAAATATGGGTTTAACGCACTTGGTACGGACGTAAACTTTAATGTTTTAAATTTTTTCCGCGAATTTGTAGACTTTTTTCTTGCCGGTAATCCAAAAATTTTCTAACAAGGGATCGGCAAATAGTTGCACCCTGCTTTCTTAACAAAACATATACCGTTTGAAAGAGCATTAAAAATAGTGTACAACACAGGAAAAATTAGCTGCCCAATATATGTTTGGGCAAAGTTATGGCCGTTTTATGACAAGGGTTATATGCGGCCAAAACGCCGGTTTCTCATATTACAGTAATCCTGGCGGCTTGAAATTGTCTCCATTTTCTTACTAGTATCCCGAAACGTCTGTCACGGTCGTTTCACCGCTTTATCAATCCTTGGTTATGAGTTATTAGACATTATAATGTCGCATTACTGCCATTTACAAAAAATTGTAAATAAAACTAGGTTAATGGGAAAACTGGAGCAAAAAAGCTTTGAAAATACATTTGTATGATCGTCGTGGCCATTTACAAACAAAAATCTCAAAATCAAAAATTTCTTATGTCCTAGCCTTACCGACGGTTAGGCCACTGTGTCAGCAATAGTGTTTTGGCCGCTTTTGTAATTTTCTCTTCGTATTTTTTCGAAAAAAATATATTTATAGGCCCTTGTAAATTGAAGTATCGTCCAGTAACCATAATCGGTCAGGCTAAAAGCATGACACCCTTGTAATTATAAATACGATAGGCATTTCCGCTCTCATCACCATAAAATTTGTGGTGGTTGCAAAAAAAACCAAAACCCCGAAAAAATCCCGTAAAAATGTATGTTGACTGCGAAGGAACAAAAATTATTTAAAAATATCAACATACCATGGTTTTGTGGCATATAAGAGACGAAATGCAAAAAGGTTTGCAGCAAGAAAGCAGGATGCAACTATTTGCCGATCCCTTGTAAGTCCGAGAAACTCAATTGAAAATCATTCCAAAAATTTTCTAAGTTTCACCGATTTCGGGCTCCAAAATTTGGAATGAAAATATAAAAGGTCAGTGCGGGTGCCTCCGTGAAGCTAGACGAGCCATATTTGGTGGACAAGAAATGGGGTGTCTCAGCTTCAATTTGATATAAATTTTATAGAAATTGGTGCATTATTGGCGGAGAAATACCTGAGAAGAGGTTGGGAGTTTCGAGTGGCCCACCCTGTACGACTTACAATGTTTTGAAATATTTTTTGACAACTACTCGCCGTCTGTATTGCTTATAGTAGAAGGCTATTGAGAATTCTTTGTTGGTAGATAACTCCAGCACATTGAATTTTCTTTTTCTCATTCGGGATGGATGGTGCTGAACAATCGACCGCCAAGTCTTATTAACCATCTCACATCGATCCAGATCATCTCGGGATAAGTAGGAAAACACATGAACGAGAGCACTCATAGGGAGATACCATGAATTCTTAAAAAAGCGATTCAAAAAGGTCATACTTGACAAAAATCAACGACATACCAAATCATCACCTTCTCCAAGATCTTCCAAAGGCACTAACATCGTTGATGGTACTTTTCTGGACGGTTTAACCACCGAAGTAACCGCTCGATTGCCTCGAACGGCTCGTCTTCTGTCTTCGCCCCCCTAAGCGATGGATAATCAATTCAAAAGGCACTTACAGGAAACAAATTCACAACTGGAGGAAGGCTATCCTGTTCTTTCCCAAGTGTCCTGACTTTCACAACACCAAAATTACGTGCATCCTCCTCATCAAGCTCCTCCTCGTACTCCAAAACTCTTTCCAGTTCTCCTTCCTGCTCGATCTCCCCGAGAAGACGATTGAGCTCTTCATCTTCACCATCCTCTCCCATAAGCTCCATCAATTCCTGCATCCGTCGATGTAAATTCCGTATCCGCTCTCTATTTGGCCGCATTGTGAAGAAACCCGAAAATGAATTTTACCGAGATTAGGCTTGAAAAATGTAAAACAAAATATCAGAAATAGTTTCATGGAGGTCAAAATATATTTGGGGACAATTAAGCAGCCCACAAATACCCGCATTTAATAAATATTATGGTAATCATAAAAACCTTTAGATTAGTTACAGCCTAGAACTAATCCATTCATATTTATCATCACATATTTATTGTACAATCACTCCGGGTTTTTGATCTGATCAAGAAGAGCCGATCTCTTATCGGTGTTCTGGAAGAGGGCACATACGAGACCACGCACTTCAAAAGCCTTCAGGTACTCTGCCAGCGTTCCTTTCCCATTGCACCACCGATTAGAAACATTCTAAATTCACACCACCGTTAGAGTTTGTATTGCACCTACGTTTAGATTGCCATTAAGAACGAAAATGACTTCTTCCAGACGCACATACTCTCTGTGGCAGATCGAATGTATCCCTTCAGCACCATTCATCTAAATTACAAATAAATTAACGATACCAAATATGCAGTCGTAAAAACATACCGTCATCAACTTCCTGGATTTTCTCATGACCTCAGAGAACAAGACCGCCATAGATTCAGCATCAGTCATTGTAATGTCCTCCTTGCTGAGTATGGCTTTGGAGAGTAATGATAAAAGATGGGCCACCAATACACCCATTGATATGCTGAGGACAGAGTCGGACATTACTTCACTCCAGACCGACCTGAGGCGATTTAATTCCATTACACATCCATTCAAGGTCTTTTCAACTCGTTCCCGATTCCCTTCTGAGGCGTCAATGTTGACAAATACTGGAATAAATTTACAAAGTAGACCTTTAATCTTACAGTTGTCTTCATTCAGCGCGACAGAAAGGTTTCTCTTCACAGAATTGATTTGTTGGTCCAAGAACTTGAGTCCAGAACTTCTCAACTCCTTGAATTGTTTCGTGAAATTGAGATCCTCCGACTTTATCTAAGCAAAAATTAGCACGCGAGTTAACTTACATTTGACTGACCAGCTAACTTCTGTTCGCATTCAATCTTGAAAACAAATAGATTGTGGAACAAATATTGGCAATTATTATAGAAGATGGCTAAAATTATACTAAAATATGAGTTATTTTCGTACCTGAGGTTTGAGGTACGGACAGCAAAGCTTGTTGATGCAATCTGGGTGTGGAAACGAGGAAAGTGTCTATAATAAGAAGGGCTGCCTGGAAGAAATTAACGGCTTCGAGTTGTTCTTTCGTCTCAAACGCCAAGTCGAACAACGACTTTAAGAGAAGAACCAATTTGTAGACCGAGTCACTGATCTTGCACTTCTGGAGCTCAAATAATCGAAGCCCTTCTTCCTTTGTCAAATCTGTCGTGTTTATCTTCAGATGTCCCAGGTCTTTGGACAACTTCTCCAACTCTGGATCCGACGGCTTAGGACTTCTGAATACTTCGACCAGGTCAATATAAGGCTTTGCAATAAGATTTCTGGCAGCGGCCAAGAACGCGCGACATCGTTGATTCACAAATAATCTGTTAGACCTGTTCAGAACCGATTCTGCACTCATTCGGTCATCGAAGAAGTGTAATTCCTAAACAAAAATCATTCTTAACCAAATTAACTTACTCTCATTCTGTCATCGAACTGTTTGATCATCCCCTTCAGCTTCTTCAACTTTTCTTCATCCGTTTTCTTAATAGACACCGAAGCCGCAGAACATCGAATGACCAAAGTTTCAATCAGTCTGCCGCCAATCTCACGTCCAATTAAAAGCACCAACGATTCTCCTATTCGAATATCCTTCAGGACATCGCTCAAATTTTCAAAGAAGTTCTCAAGCGATCTAAATAATAACAAAACAGAAAATTAAGACTTACATTATTAATTTCTGAACATTTTGTTTTTCTCCTCTTTTGGGCTTTGATTCGCTAACAAATCTTTTCCGCAGAGGTCCTTCGGTAGTAATTGTTATTTGCTGGTCAGGATCTACGGAATTCATCAAAACCTCACAGAAATCCGTCCAAATAACAGTTGACAACTCCTTAAACTTTTCATCAAACGCATGAAGAACAGTCAAAGAATCAAGGCAATCACAGATCAGCGTTGGATCTTCTGAATTTATTATAAGTGTCGTCTTGTTGAGATTCTCAACATCCTTGGTTATTACTATAAAAGTATCGAATATTCCTTCCAGGTATTTCTTAAACCGCTCTATTTCCAGATCAACCTCTGCGTTGAATTTAACCATTATGTCTTCCTCTGGGTAGTCATCTTTTAAATCGTACCTGCTCTAGACCTAAATAACAATACATCAAAATTACAACAAACCAAAGTAATAACGTCTTTGTATCCCTTCATGTTCTTCAACTTCAGTGCGTAATCTCGATAAGACGTTAGCTGAGAAAAATCTGTGTTCAAGCTCCTTATAGCCGTACGAAGTTCAGAGAATCTCTCTAATCGCTTCTCAATCCCTCTGATCACATCAATCTTTCCGCTCAAAGATGGAGCCTAAAAAAGGTAAAAATAAAGAATATACCTTGGAGTTTCTTACCTCTAACTTTTTTGCCGCTTCGGTTACTTGTTTTTGCAATTTAGATACCAAATCATCCAATTTCTGCAAGCTTTTCGCCGTCTCTAAATCCGAACAGCTCTTCAGAATGTCATTTATGTACAAAAAGTTGTCTCCGGCTAATTTCTGTACTTCCCGTGTGGCTAAAACGCAAATAAATGTAAACAAAACACATTGATAAAACTCTTACAATCTTCTATCGTCCTTTCCAAGATAGCAATTTCTCTCTCTCTGGCTGCAGTTGACATACCAAAAACATCATCGTTGTTCACCATCATAATCGAAAATTCTACACGGGAATCGACTGTTTCAGCTACGTTGATGAATCTCTAAATTCACAATTTTTTCCAATAAAAATTGTTGAGAGAGACACATGACTCAGTTTGTGAGACATGTTTTTCTTCCCTTTTTTGTAGAAGTGAGGTTCGAGGTACCGAAAGTCGCGCGCGACGCTCAGATTTTGATGAAACTTAGCACAAATAAGAATATTTTTTTAACGCTTTGCAAAAACAACCGAGATTTTTAGATCTAAAATTGGCAAAAATTTGACACTGTTTAGCGAATTTCGGAACGAAGAGACCTATTTGGAAAATTCGGGTATTTTCACCTCGTGGGTGTACCCGGGAATATACCCGGGCAGGGGTGGTCAGCGGACCCTATTTTTCCGATTTTCGGCCCGCGGCCCGGCCCGTCTAATTACCGGCCCGGCCCGGCCCGTCTAGTCTTTTTCCAGGCCCGGCCCGGCCCGTGACGGGCCTGGCCCGGCCCGGCCCGTGCAGCACGCCACGAAAAACGTAAGGCAAAATTGGAAATAGAGATTTCGAGCTGCGCCCAATATTTCTTGATTTTTTTGATGGAATGAATATTGTGTTAGATAGTATTGTAACTCTGGATTTTGGAACAATTTCGGGATGTATATTATCTTTAAAATTACGTTGCTTTGAGTTTCAAGTGTTGAGTATAATGGATGAGTCCATGGAGCCCGGCACATCGCGCTCTGACCCCAACATTGATTTACCAGGTATGGAAGTGTCTTCAGAAAATGTAAGATTTCTCTTTTTGTGCCCAGTTTATAGATTAATCGCCATGTGGTGTTGTGTGAGACATCCTAGCGGACGTTGGAAAGAAGAAATCGGGAAATTTTATAGTCGAAAAAGGGCACTTGTGAGTTCATTATTGCATCATTTTGCAGGGGCCGATGGAGAAACGCAAGAAAGGACTGGAGAAATGGCGAGAAAAGCGGAACCTGAAGAAGCAAAACTACGAAAAGCTAGCTGAGAACTTCAGGAAGGTCCCGTTGAATGTAGGGATGAGTCCATGGAGCCCGGCACATCGCGCTCTGACCCCAACATTGATTTACCAGCTATAAGTGTCTTCAGAAAATGTAAGATTTCTCTTTTTGTGCCCAGTTTAGGGATGAATCGCCATGTGGTGTTGTGTGAGACATCCTAGCGGACGTTGTAAAGAAGAAATCGGGGAATTTTATAGTCGAAAAATGCACTTGTCGGTTCATTACTACATCATTCTGCAGGAGCTGATGGTGTCTCCAGAAAAGGTAGGATTTCTCTTTTTGCATCCAGATTAGGGATTAATCGCTATGTGGTGTTGTGTAAGACATCTTAGCGGACGTTGTAAAGAAGAAATCGGGAAATTTTATAGTCGAAAAAGGGCACTTGTCGGTTCATTATTGTATCATTTTGCAGGAACTGACGGAGAAACGCAAGAAAGGACTGGAGAAGGCGTGAGCAAAGGTGGATCACAGGAAGCAGACGACGTTTAGAACATTTCAAGTTAAGTTTGTGACGTTGCCTTTTTGATTTTTTGTTTTTAGGCCATTGAGCCAATAATTTTCTCTGGTAATACCTAAAATAATATAATTGATATTTCAGTCGGTCCATGTTGAAGTAGAATGTGAAAGCCAGCATAATGTACCAATGGGTGTGGAGATTGAATTCCGAGTTCAGATTGTATCCGACAGATTCGGTGGATTGTCGAAAACTTATGTAATTTTAATTATTCTTATTGGTTTGATGTTTAGGTGGAAATAAAGAAGATTTGATGAATTTCAACTTAGTAGTGGTCTGTTGTAGCAGGATCAAAGCCCTGCTACTCTTGTAAACCTCGGAAGAGCTCGAATTCGGTCAGATTCATCGATTTTGATCCAATTTTGCCTAGTACAATATAATTCCTTTCTCTTCTTCGATCAATCTGAGAAGTTCGGGGTGCACCTCCTTGATGCCTTTCGATGCTTTCTCGCCGGTTTCACACGTAAATTGTTGTTTATTAGAATTTTGGAATCATTTTTGTTATTTAGTTGTAAAGGTTTCAGCGTATGAAATGTCGAAAACATTTTCCCGCGAATTTCTCTATTTCCACTTTTTTCGTGGCGTGCGTGCAGGCCCGTTTATAGAGGGTTCTGCGAACTGCGCCCAAGCTTGGGATCTAAACTTAGGCAAAAAAGGTGTTGATATAGCTAGTAAAGGATCAATGTGATAGTTTTGTGGTTTTATAATGGAACTATAGACTTGTAAACGTTTTAGAACTTGAGAAACAGCAACTATAACAACATCAATTAATTTTCCCGGCGCGAAAACAATGAATGCCAACGGTTTGGCATTTTAATTTAATTTAATTTTTAATTTTTAAGCGGGCCTGGGGTTTTTTCCGGCCCGGCCCGGCCCGTTTGTAATTTTCCATTTTTGAGCCCGGCCGGCCCGTTTGGGCCGGGCCGGCCCGGCCCACTGACCACCCCTGTACCCGGGGTATATACCTCGTCCGAACACTACCTATTTCTACTTAAAAAAGTAATGCTGACACAAAAAAAATGATTTTTTCCGCGCAAACTAACAAATTTATGGCCAAAAAAGTATTTTTCTCTCTGACTCCACGTTTTGCGTACTCTCTCGGCAGTAAATATCGCTGTCTTGGCGGCTCCTGCAAAGCGCGGGCTGAAATGTTCGGAAGTTGATATTTTGCAGTAACTTAAAGAAAATCTGAGCGTCGCACTTGAAGTACTTTCCATGTCAAATGAAAAAATTACATTTTGCATTACTCTGTGAAAAATGTAAAATGGCCACCAGCCAAGGTGTTGGCGAGCCATTTGGTTATCAGGGATTTTTACTGTTTTGTTTTTAGTGTTTTTGTTTCACCGAATTCAGTTGTAGGTATAACAGTGAACGAGGCACTAGATGGCTGATTTAAATGAGAGCTTTGACTCGTCTGCAAGTCTTGAATTCCCGGATCTTCTAATTGAGGATGACGAAAGGTGCCATCGGAGGTTCATGTTTACCTCTCGATGTGAGTTATGTCTTACATACTAAAGATATTTCTTTTAAGGCAATAATGACATAAAACTGTATCTGCTTAACCATCCCAAAACCAACACTCCAGCGTTGTTTGAGATTGCAGAGGAAGGGCTCAATGAGGTTTTTCAAATATCATCGGATGATCGCAGTGTTATCTATGGGGAAACGGTAATCAAAAAAGGAGAATTCTACATGTGTTCTCCATTGCATCCATTCTTTCTTTTGGTTTCCACATTGGCGGATAAGGTAAGACATTTCTACTTAGCAAAGCATAATCAATTATCTGAAGAAGCCGAAGGAATTAAAATTGGAAGAGCTATTTGTAGACAATCTGTTGTTAGTTGCTCGTCTCCCGAGCTCTCTGAAAGCGCTGGAGATTGCAACAATTGTATCAGGTGAACATTAAGATTTTACTTACAGGAGAAGTACCCCAAGTGCGACGCTCAGATTTTCTTTAGATTTTACACACATGTCGGGCATGAACGAAATATCAATTCCTGAAAGTTTTAGCTCGCGCTTTGAAGCGCCGCCGAGATATTGAACGATCTTTGCCGCCGAGAGAGCATGTTAACCGCGGAGAGTGGTGAGAGAGAAAAACATTTTTTGCTAGTTTTGTGCGGAAAGAATTGTTTTTTTGTGGAAACATTACCCTCTATGGTAGAAATAGGCATGAAATTTCCCGTGCCGAAATTCGGCAAAAAATGTCAAATTATCGCCAACTTTTGATCTAAAAATCTCGGTTGTTTCTGCAAAGCGCGAGCTTGGATTCTCGCATATATTTTAGAAAAAATGGTTCTAAATTTGTGCCAAGTTTCATCAAAACCTGAACGTCGCACTTGGGGTACTTCCCTTGTTAATAAAACACCATTTTAGATGAGGGTGGTGTTAAAAAGTACACATACGACCACGAATACTTGATTACTTGGTTGACGAAAAGGTTTCAGATCTTTGTGAAGGCAGTCAAGACCAACGGTCAAGCCCCACCTATGTACTTAGAATACGGTAAATATTGTGTGCGCCGAAATTATTTTTTTTAGATTCTTCTCTTCGTTATTTTACATTCCAAATCTTCTCTGATTACCTATCAGAGGCGCTCACAAATGAGATGAGGTGTGTTTTGGAGATTGAGAAACCAGCGATTCCCACGTCGACTTCCACTCCTGCCACAGCCAAGAGGAAGGTGGACATTCCTAAAGCTGAGGTAATTTTAATTACTGTTATTGCTTATTTTTTATTTTCTACTGCATTTTTTTTTTGCAGAAACGCCCTCCTCCATTAAGTGTAAAACAAAGGAAGTTGAAAGAAGCCAGTAAAGGAGTTCAGTCACTCACGATGTTCTTCAATAAGGCTCCATGAAAAGTAATTAACAGTCTCAAAATATGATGTCGGAGCCATTCCACAATTTCCATATCTCATGTGTAATATAATTTATGGCTTTAAATACATTTAAATATTGACAATATTACATACGGGCTCACGGTGTATTTGCCCAATTCATTGGTCACTGGCGTTGTTTGCCTTTTTATCGTATGATTTGTTAAGAAAGTAATATATATAGTGAAGTAAAAAATACGTAAGTAATAGAAACCTATAGTCGCAATCTCCATGGTGCCTTACTTTCACTTCGCGGGCAGAGATTTAAAGAATGGCGATAACAAGCAGAAATGTTTATTTAAAATTGAAATGTTCCAAATCAGGTAGCAAGCCACCTTTTACTGTTATTCGGCATTAATTACCTGCCTTTAAGCAGAAATTGGCATTGATCTGAACACCTATTACACAACTTTCCCTACGGCTGTTTATGTTTCATCGGGAGCGATTATGCAACGAGAACGCCTTCTCAAGATTACCCAACCTAATCGTTGGAGAACTCGTTTTGGCGCTTCAGAAGAGCGGGAGCCGGTTGTAGAAGCAGGCTGGACTGACCTTGTTAATTGGGCAGAGCCGTTCCAGCGTCGAGGGTGCGAAGATCCGAGGAAAAGAAGGCATCGCAAAAGGCTTGGATGATGAGAAAAGCTCCTCTTCTCGTTTTCAGACCAGCCCGCGGCATTCTAACTCATTCGTCCCTCATCAGCGATCATGGTTAAGTTCAAAACTGTCCTATGTTTCCTATCTTCTCTCGTAATTATCGGAGAAGTTTTCTCGCGTGTCGTATTACTACATAACAACAAATGGAATCCGCATTACGGTAATTAATTTTTCGAAGAACATTACTCAATAAATGCAATATGCTTTCAGGAAATCCCGGAGTAAAGCTGAGATTAACTCAAAGAGGAGCAGAGCACGTGAAGAATGTAGGTGTAAAGTTGCTGAATGAAAAATTGGCCACTTTGGAAGGCTTCCATGTTCAACATGCCTTCTCTCAGCCTGGCCTTGAAGGATATATTTATGTGAATGACATCAAAACGCTGGCTTTCCAGCCCCCACAAGCTTCTAGAATCAATTTCGCAGCTCCGTCATTTATCATCTTTTCCATCGAAAACACGGCAATTTCGTAAGTTGAAAATGTGAAAATTATTTATTGACCGCAGCCAATATCTTAATTTATTTATCTCCAGACTAGCCGGAAGATTCCTTGGAGTTGCCGGGGCTGGAGTTTTCCAGGTTCCCGGCCAGGTCAGTGGCCATATGTCTGGCATGTCCGTATCATTAACCACTTCATTCCGCGCTACTCCTGACGGTCTTATGTCTGTAAATGTTGTCAACTGTTCTACCGTAATCCAACAAAGTAATTTTGTGTTAAATCCAGAAGGACCTTTGAGCACAATCGTGAAAACATTTGAGGTATGGTGATCGTCGGAGAGTATTTATTTTAATTTGTGAAACGTTTAGGCTCAAATTAACGATGTGATCCGTCAGCGGATTCCTTCCATCTTCTGCAAAGGTCTTCAGGACATTATAGAAAAAAATTCTCCAAATCTCTTCAGAAGATTAGCCACGGCCCAACTTCAGGAGCATTTCCAGGGATTTAATTCGTCCGAAGTAATCGAGAGTTTCATTCGAAGATTCACTCATGGTCTTTATATCGATGGAAGTAACATCGCCGACCCTATTGTTACCAATGAATTCTTTGAAACTCAGCAGAGAGGTATGTCAAGACGAACAAAACAGCATCTCTTAGGCGAATTACGGTATAATGACAGCCAAGCGTCGGCTCCATTCTATCCACCGCCAATTCCCCAGGACAATGATTCTGATCGGATGCTGTATCTGTATGGTTCTGAATACACCCTCAACTCGCTCTTATATCATGCTTATCAATCAGATAAGCTGACAATTAAGGTATCACACTTTTTTCTTCGTTAATAACAGCACCTTTGATTTAGATAGAACAAAAAACATTATCCCCGCAGTTCAAAGGATTTGTGAGGACAACTTGCGATGCCAAAGGCGATGGCAAAGGAGACCTCGCCAGCTCGATTTGCGTGGGAATATTAATCCCTAAGATCGCTGAAGCCTACCCTAACACAACAACAAAGTTTGTCCTCTTGCCTCACGGCTTGCCGGAGATGAGATTTACCGATGGGGTCAGTTCGATGGACTTGCGAAGTAAGACAAACATAATTATGAAAGACTGTTTAGCCCGTATTTTAACATATGTGGATGATAATGGTGTCGATCGACAAATTCTCGTCTCGTCAGCTGATGGATTAGCAGATATTAAGCTAATGGCTGAAGATGGAAGGTTCAGCGGGGATCTGAAGCTTCGGAAGCTGAATGTCAGACTTCATCGTAGCGGAATATCTGGCGTGGAGCCAGATTCGATTGCTCAACTCGCCCCTCTGGCAAAAACTTTCTTAGGTCCGCAGTTGGCAAAGGGCCTAAAACAAGGATTACCATACCCACTGAAGGTAGAGTTTTACTGTCGGCTATTGAACTATTGATTTTAGGATTCAATTACATTCATCGATCCTAAATTAACTCTTCAAGATGGATATGTCCGACTTGCAACAGATTTTGAATTGGGTGAGAGTAATCTCCGCAGCAAAGTGTTTGAAGCCTTTGAGAGAATCAAGAATTCCCAATAATATTACTATGATCTTCTTCCAGAGACTGATGACAATTATGCTACCATCTGGAAATTTGTATTTATTTATTTATTGTTATGCAATTATTTTGATAAACCAAAATTATAAGTCATGAATCTGGGAAGGATAACAGCAGGTCTCCTTAGACCTCCGATCGGCGGGGGCGAAATCGGCGAAATAGGTTGACTAGGGAAAGGGGCCCAAGGCGATCAGAAAAGATGCAGAGAAATGGGGAAAACGGATGGCCGCTTTTCAAATCCCCTAAGGGCCAGACATTAATGCTGAAGGAATCCAAAACCTTTCGTGCCTTAGTTTCGTTTTTTCGTTGCTATGTCGGCATTTAAAGTTTATACAGTATTTTAATGTAAACTGCGTTTTCAGGTCATAAATCTTCAAATTATGGGTCGATACTCAGGGATAGACGACGACGTGGAAGCAACCACCAAGTGGTGGAATGACTATCCAACAAGGTAAATTGAAAGGCTAATAATAAAGTCGATTTAGTCGTTACACCGATCTCTGCAAAGCCGAGACGGCCTTCCAAAACATCGTCGAAGGAGTATGGTCTAAGCCAAAGAGATTGGGTCGATCCGCATCCTTCACCAACATGACTTATATCAGAGAGAAACAGCACGACTATCCCATCAAGAGAAGCGAATCCATCAGTTCTCTGGCCCCATCTCTCGGTTTGCTTCCTCAATATCATCGTCAGGCCGAAAGAATTGTCCACACTGCTCCAGTGTACAAACCGTTTGTTCACGACTGGTATAACAATGCCTATAGCACTGCCAGATACAGGGTGGGTGCGAGTAAAGATAAAAAATTGCCGGTTGTATTTTATGCACCCGCAACTAAGGTGCTGAAAGAGGTCGGAGACAGGACCAACGGTCAGCGATGACAAATTGAAAATTGTCAAGAATGTAATCAAATTGAAATTGTTATTTCAGGACACTCAACGAGAGATCGAAAGACCGCTTCGTCGGGAAATTCCCGACTACGAACGGTCCACTCATGTACCATATTACACCTTCCAGACGAAACGAATCTTCTTCGAAGAGGTATCAGATATCATTAAACTAATAACATCGTAAACCGGACAATAATACATACCGATCTCGTTTTCAGAGGGCCCAGCCTTACAAGTCGTACCTGCGACAGTCCCAGCAGTATCTCGACAAGTATGTCACCTCCAGATTGAAAGCCGACGACTTTGCCCAGCAATACGTACATTCTGCCTATGAATGGCACAAACCCCATGACTATTCGTTCAACCGTCACTCCGTTTGGGGAAGCCAAGTCTACATCCCCCATGCTCCATCCAATCCGCATTCATACAGCGACGCACAAGCTCTTCGAAAACTTTATAAAACAACAGGAAGATTCCGATTTGCCTGATTATAATCTTTTACAAATCTCTTGCTAATAACAATAAACATCTTTGTTTTTTATCTCTTCGTAGTAAACAGATCCATGCCTGCTATTCCTTGGCCACTTTTTCGACACGGCGCTCATAAGTCAAAGAAACGGAAGGGAAATCAAAGCGTGGGACTGGGTCAAAGATAGGTGAGAGTGAACGTGTTTATGACTATTTATCTACTCGTCAGCTGGCTACGGCTAAGAAGGTGTTCCCACCTATTCTCCTCCTCCTGCGTCCTCCTCAAAACTTGATTAAAAACAGGGTCAAAGCGTTCGCTTCCAGTACCATGAGTCAATACAACTACTCCGAGTAAGTTATATTTACTGTGCATAATGCTTATTACAGTCAAAATGCATACAACCAGCAATTGCCCCCCGGAGTGACTATTCACTATCAGGGCGGTCAACAACCTTATTACGATGAGCAATATATCCAAGAAGATCAATTTGTTCCACAAGGATTCGCCCAACAAGGTCATCATTCCCAGAACGGGTCGTTACCACAACATAAAACTCAGTCGTGGAATCAGCAGTATTCTCAACAAGGTCAACCTCAATTATATCAACAAAATCAACAACCCCAACAACAGCAGTACTACCAACAAAGTCAAGACCAATTCTACCAAAGTCAACCCCAAGGTCAATATCAACAATACCAGAATGATCAACAAGATGGGTATAACCAAAGTCAACAACAGCGTACCCGATCAGTAGGACCAGAGAATAACTACTCTTACTTTGTGGACAAAAAAGGGAACTACATCCCTACCTCGAATCCCCCAATGTTCACTACTGGAGAGCCCGAGGGGGCCAACTACATCCCCTATTCCAGTGTCCCTAGGCGAGCACGGAGTGTTGATCCGAATGCGTAAGTTCAATTATTAAAGCTACATCATGTTCTCAGCGAGAACGAAAGTGATCTCCGGTTCAAGTTTGGAGGCATGGCATTCGTGGAAAGTGAGGCTGCGTTCTATGACGTAGAAGGCGCCGATGTTTATGTAGACCTTAACAGTAAAAATGAGGAGGAACCAGTCCGCCGCCTTGGAGATAACTACGGTCTCGACTTCAATGAATCGGTTTATCGTGGAGACCAAGTAGAAGTCGAAGAAGGATACCAGGGATATCAGGCTCAGAAACCAAGAAAACACTGGACATATGCCGAAGACCCATTCAACCCCGACAACACTTATGTGGATGATCTTTTTGCGTACTACGACCCGACTGATGTTGTTGGTGACACAATTGCCAACCATCGCGTCACTGTTGAAAGGGAATTGACAGAAGGTAAAAGCAAACTAATTCAGTAACTCACTGCCTTTTTTTAGAAGAGCGCAACAATTTCTGTACTGAATTCATCCCAACGCCCGGCTTCTTACCCCAGCATCGCACTGAGAAGCCGGAGCCGAAGGAGGAAGGACCTATCTGTTATTCTTTGTCAGCAAAAAAAGAGCTAGCCCGAGGAGATGATTATCGTCCACCAAGTCGTTCTCAAAGCGCCGGCCCTGCCCAACAAGGCCAAAAAAGAGAGGTAAACCTGCGGAATCTCCTTGATGACTCAGCCATCCAACGCCAAGAAAATGTGATCCAGCCAGCTCCTTGGGCGCCAGATTCTGATTACAAACAAGGAAGATGGCAGAACCAACCTGGCCAACTGGACCCCTTGAACCGCCGGCCCCAGGTAGGTTGTGGGGGTGGAATGGGGAGAAGGGGTCTCAGCAAGTCAAACATCGACTTTGAAGATCCCAATTCATATTCCCTTCTGGGTCCCTTTTTCATTGGCCAAACATCGGCGTTGGTTAAGTGCCAGCGCACTTTTGGAGCCGTTAAATCATAGGCCGTTGGTGAGTATTAAACCTTTCACCAGACCTAGAACTCTTATAACAATGAACCATGTTCAGATACCAAGCCAAAGACCGGAGTGGTCCCAGCAAGTTGAAGAAAAGAAGAATGTGTGGTCAGGAAAGGCTCAGGCAGTCGATCAGAAAGTTGGTCAACCCGCTTCTTCAAAGGTTGCCCCTGAGAGACCTCCGTTCTGGGCTCAAAAAGCTGGCCAAACACAAAATCAATGGCAAGGGGCAGCTGGCCAACAGCAACGACAGCAGCAACAACAACAGCAAGTGGTCAATGCCAGTCAAAAGCCTGGAAACGTACCAACTGGCAACCAAGTTAGTACCAACTATACGTAAGTAATATTATCCAAGCTATCGATAAACATTCAGTTATTATCAACAAGGCCAGCAAGGTCAACAAAGCCAACAGCAAAGACAGCAATCTCAGAACCAACGACAACAACAGAATGCGTCATTAACTGTCCAAAGACCAGGACAACCGGCTCCACAGCAACAGATAAACCATTTGCAGCGGCAAGGTCAGCCACAACCACAACAGCAACAACAACAACTACTACAGCGTGGAAGGCCTCAGGTTCAACAAAAGCCCCAACAGCAGGTTTCATCGCAACAAGGCCAACAACAGAGAACAACACAAGGCCAACCTCAGGCTGCTCGCCCCACACAACAACAGCCCCAGAGACCGGCGGTGCAACAGAAACAACACCCATCACCGCAACAACAACAATCCGTGCAACAACGCACTCAATCCCAGCCTCCACAAAATCGACCAACCCCAACAGGTTCTTACCAGCGAACCATAACCTATGTCAACGGCAAGCCTGTGGCCTACGAAGAGGTCTCTGACAGACACCGACCTCAACAGCAAACACAGAACTATCAATCTGTGGTCTATGTGAACGGTCAGCCCAAACAAGGGAATGCTCAACCACAAGGTGGATATACTCAGAAGACCACCACCTATTACACCCAGGGAACGGCCCCCCAAAATGGAGGTATCCCGCAACAAAGACCTGGACAAGTCCAGGGTCAAAACTATGTTCAATACCAACAAGGTCGTCCGCAGCCAGGAAAGCCTGGTGTTCCTCAAAAACAGGGTCAACCCGCCGGATGGAACGAAACGATTCCTCAGGGGCAGTTGAGCAACACCCAATTTAACGCCAACGGTCAGTATAGAGGCAACCAGGGGCAAAACGTCCAGTACCAACGTCAAGTTTCAACTGCAGCCAATCCGCATCAACAATATCAACTCATAAAGCAAACTGAGACACAAGTCAGACAACAGACCCAGCCGTCGGGAAACCTCTCTAGGCAAGTGATCCACCCACAAAGACAATGATTTCATGTCCAGACACACTTCAACCACCTATTACAAGAAGAAGACGCTTACGGAAGTGTAAGAATAAGCCATAAATAATGCCGCCAATTTACAAATAAACGCTTACTTATTACCATAAATATTTACTTTTTACATAACAACAATAGCAGCAATTACAAATAACAAAATAGACTTAGGCCACCAATTCAGCTTGTTTCTCCTCGGCCTGGATCTGTTTCTTGTCGTCGCTGGCACTCTTGTCTTCCTTGGTCTTGCGAACACGACGTCCAGAGAACGCTGAAATTTCAGTTTATTGCAAGGAAATTATATGGCATTAAAACCCATAACAAATCGCAAAACTTACGCTTGCGTTTTCCGGCGCTCTTCTTCTTATTCTCTTCGGAGCTCTCTCCTCCATCGGACACATAACGGCGACGAGAGGAATCGGTTTTGTCTCCTTCAGAAGCATTTTCACTCTTGGAACGGCGACGACCTCCCTTGAAACGGCTGAAGCGTTCGTATAGTCTGATGGCTTCAACAGGTTCTCCTCCAGGAAGAGTAACAGCTTGAGCCTTCGGTCCCTTGAACCCGGAGATCACGTCGAATTCAACCTCCAATTCGGCAGTCAAGGCATATTTCCAACGACGATCATCACGCTGAACGATGGCAGTGCTGTGGACGAAGATATCCTTGTCATTATCGTGGCGGCGGATGAAACCAAATCCTGAAACCACATATATGAACGACAAATTTAAAGTACCTCTAAAACAAGAGTTTGAAACTTACCCTTCGAGATGCTGAACCACTTGACTGTTCCCTTGACACCGCGAAGAACAACCTTCTTCGGGTCGGATTCATCAACGACAGTGCTGAGCTGAGGCTTCTCCTTAGGTTCGGCTTCAGATTCGTTTTGGGAGATGGGGTTATCGCCCTTTTCATTGAGTTCGATCTTCTTTTCGTCGGCCATTTTTGGTCTTGGATCGATGGTTTGCCCACGGAGGGTGAAACTTCGCAAAATTTCTGAAACAATGCCCATAACTCAAAAGAATGTAGGTTTGAGAGTTGATAAAAACAAAGCGCGACCCGGGACAAATAAAGAAAGGTAAAAATAATGTCATCCATGCGGACGAGACCATTTCAAAAGCAACCAACGTAACTGCCGTCATCGACTAAACTGAGAACGATGCCAGGTACGTCGACTTCACGAATTTTCCCGACAGTATCTTGCCTAGTTTTCTCATCAAGGTGTTAGTTTTCGTCTTGGGACCCGTAATTTTTGCGGGTGCTTTCTCTTTCAAAATTGTGGAATAATTGAATTTTTTATCAGCTCTCATGCCGGTTTTTTTGGATAACATTTTCTTGGCCTTTTTTAGAAACAAATTTTAGTTTTGTGATCGGTGTTCTCTTCCTCGTTCGTTAGTGATTCTTATCGAGAAATCCAGATGCATTTACGTTGGCATTCATCCCCCTCCCCCTTCAGGTTTGTACACAAATTTTGCATGGGTGTTGAAATCAATTTATCAAGTTGTTTTGACTTTTCGAAATTTGATTATTAGATGATAACGGCTTGACGTCTGTCGGAAATGAAGTAAACGGGCTAACTTTTATTTGATCACGTTCGCTGATGGTATTTACTAAGGTTTGGCGGTTATTTTTACCTCCGCCTTTTCTCAAGAGCTAAAGCAATGTCCAATGCTCTTTTTTGAAGTCGGCACGCAAAACCGGCCCCGAAATGCATTAAATCTTGCCTCGACTATTGGAGAAATTTTTATTTTTTTCGCTTTTCAAGCTAGCCAAACTCGTATCTGGCTAGCCCATCCTCACAAAAACGACATTGGCAGTCTCTTTCCACCTGACATTGTCTTGATTGATTCACCAAACCGCTGAAACACACGTTAGATACCGTTTTATAGGAATTCCATATATTGGTCCTTCTGCAAAGTTCAGCGCCAATTACGGGCATGGTTAGTTGAAGTGACTACAAATGGAGTTTTTCTGAGATTGGGCTAACCAATCAGGAATTTGGTTAGCGAAAAAATGAGCTTATTTTTCTTGATCGGCGACGTTCCATTCTCTGTTATTCTTAGAGTACTTCATAATTCTGTTATTTGATCCGTCGAGGTTGATTGTTTATCCAAAAGTACCGTTAAAGTTATTCCTGGCCTGCATCCACAATACTGTGACCGAATTTGACCGTTTCGAGGGCTCAAACTTGGTCACCCGACCCCAGTTAATCTTCAAAACTATCATAAGTGGCTGTCGAATTTTGTCTCCTCCTCCACAAAATTTGTTTCATCCAGATGTTCGCGAGTTTTTCCGGAAAGGCCAGAAAATTATGAAATCGGCGTCCATTTTCGGATAAAAAGGGAGCGAAATGTAAGATAAGCGAAGTCTGAAAGGAACTTCTTATTGGTCACTCCATTCGTTCTCACCCATCTGCTGTCCGCTTTATTTATTCGCTCGCGTTTGGTTATCCATTCCTTGTTCATGATGGATATCAGATCAAATTTTTTTCGATGTGTTCCTGGATAGGTGGAGAATTTGAAGTGGAACGAAATTATTTATTTATTTATTTTTGGATTTGTTGGTCTCAGTGAGTTTTAGTTATTGATGGCCACATTTCCACGGGTTTCGCACATGTACTTTGTTGTTATTTTGTTGCGCCAGTTTTATTTCCCCGAAATTAAAGTTTTTTGAAGGAAATGAAAAAGTTTTGAGAGTGTAAAGTTTAAACGCGGAAAAAAGTCGAAAACGATAGAATGATACGCCGTTTTTCTCACAGTACAAGAATTCCGAGGTGAACGTTTGAGCTCTGACACTGATTTTCAATGTCTCCTGACTCATTTGTTGCTTTTCAGAAGGGAATTCTCGTGTTAATGATATGAATAACTCTATTTCCACTTTTTGATGGGCTTTTTTGGAATCGAAAATGTGCAGAAAGACATTTACATATTCTAGGCCAAACCAAAATGTCGAGTCCTGTTCAAGGTCAAAGGCTTTCTGTCGTTTGACCCTATCCGGGCTTTCAAAAACCGTTGATCCGATTAAATTCAATACTCTATGGAAAGTGGAGTAAATGATTTTTACGGGAATAATGTTCGATGGAGATTAGCATTCCAGGGTTGATATAAGTGCCTCTCCGAGAGTCGAGGTTGTATTTTATTCCGTTTGTCCTTGCTTTCCGTGCAGCGAAGTTTGTTGTACGGGCTTTACAGGGTTCTGCAAAGTAATATCAACTCTTCAGGACTATTTTTCAAACAACCAGAGGTCCCTTGTAGCCGTACAAGTTTCGAGTCTTTCGTGGAATGAGAAAACATGAAGATACTGGCCTAAATCACTCCAAGCCTACTCACGCCCAACACTTCTACGCGACGAATGGCCAGTCGCCTAACACAAATCATGAGACTTTGCTTGAAAATGGAGCCGTCGGGGACTCTAAACCGGGGAACGGAGGTCCCCTCCTGGATGGAGAGCTTTTTGCTGACAGTGCGGACGAGACCGATGGTATATGTGGGTCCCAGGTGAGTGTTTTAATTAGACTGATGTCATCCCCCAGGTGAATTTTTGTCTCCTGAAGCATGTTTTTTTGCAAGTCAGTTGATTGTTTGGCGATCGACGAACGGAAACGGGCGTAGGAGTGGCTAGGGAAGAGATATAAGGAGTGATGGATTACTGTTTCCCCCCAAAATTCGTCGGTGAATCAGTCGATAAGAGTTCTTATCATTTCGCTTTAAATCGAATTCCTGGCTGCGTACATTACAATCGGCCGAAAAGTAGCGCAGGTTACCTGATTTAGTTGGTTTTTATGATTCTCTCAAAATATATCGATTACACCGTTGATGGGCAATAAGGAGCGCCTGCCTTCCTTCTTTCGGTTGTTTTCTGAATGCGATTTCAGACGAAAACGTCCTCCGGAAACAAGCTCTCGGCGGCCAAGGCCGGTGATTTGACCGCCAATCAGAAGCCATGGCCCTCAATCACCGATCTCCGTCATCTCATGGAGGCTAGAGGACCGGAAGCGCAGCTTAAGGTGAGTAATTTTATGTAATAGATTGTAGTTCGCTGTTGATCGTGTTGTAAAAAAAGCTTTTTATCGAAACTTTTATTTTAGTTGGCCGATGAGTTTAGAGGCATCGACGGATTACTGGACGGTCTGCGCGTTGATCCGGTTAAAGGTCTTCCTCAAGACAAGCACTATCTGGACGAGAGAAGGAAGAGATATGGTTCCAATACAATCCCCAAGGCCGAGTCCAAATCTCTTATCAAGCTGATTTTCGATGCCAGCAAGGTAATTAAAATTAAAACTCGTGATTTTTTTGCATTTGATATTGCACTCTAAAGGGGTCTCGAAAAGATTTAGGGAATGAAAAACATTTGGGAATTAGAGTCCCTGATTTATTGTAATCTGATGTCAGCGACCTTGAACGTTTGTCTCCATTTTAAAGTGTTAGATGAGTAATTACGGCTTTCTGTAAGAGGCAATTGATGTTGTTTATTACAGGATCCCACCTTGATTATATTAATCTTATCTGGCTTGGTGTCCCTCGGCCTTTCCTTCTACGAACCTCCTCCAGCTGTTTCCGCTCCTCAGACTTTGTTAAATGGAACAGTAATAAACGGAACGGCGGGTGTTCCCGAGAAAGAAGAACATGGATCTGCTTGGATTGAAGGAGTCGCCATCCTGGTTTGTGTAGTGGTCGTTGTTCTGGTTACAGCGTTAAATGATTTCTCCAAAGAACGGCAATTCAGAAGTAAGTAATGTCTTGTGATAAGATTGTTTTCCCAAGTTTCTTTTTTTTTCTTGAGATGGACTTGTTTATGTTTTTTACAATAAAAGGTTACTGTATTTTCAGATCTCCAAGACAAAATCGAAACCGGCCAAAAGTTCTCAGTGATTCGAGAAGGTGAGGCTCTGGATGTTCCCGTCAGCGACCTCGTGGTGGGTGATGTGATTCGAGTCAAATATGGGGATCTTGTTCCCGCTGATGGAGTCCTTCTTCAAGGAAATGATTTGAAGATTGATGAAAGTTCATTGACTGGAGAGTCTGATCACGTGAAGAAGACAGTGGAAGAAGACCCCTTTGTTCTATCGGGTAAGTGGAGTAATAATGAGGCTCAATATACACATGGACTTGGTGCTACAATCTTGTTTTAGGTACTTATATCATGGAAGGAAGTGGGAAGGTCGTGATCACGGCTGTTGGTATCAATTCTCAAACGGGTATCATTATGACGCTGCTTGGTGGAGGAAAGCCAGAGGGCGATTCTGATTCCAGCAGTTGTAAGTACGATTTAGTACATTCTTCTTTTAAGTATTTCTGTTCTTATTTTCTCCTTTTTAGCAAGTTCTTCGTCTGACTCAACCTCCTCAGGTTCAAGTTCATCCTCGTCTTCCAGTTCATCTGACAATGGAGATCTTCATTCCAAATCAATTCTCCAGACGAAACTTTCCGCTCTTGCCTTGCATATCATCTATTGTGGAACTAGCGTTGCTCTCGTCGCCCTCATTGTTTTGATTGTTAGATTCTGTATTGAAACTTACATCATCGCTGGTGAATCCTTCAGTGTTGCTCAACTTTACAATTTCATCAAGTTTTTCATCATCGCTGTCACAATTCTGGTGATCTCCATTCCCGAGGGGCTACCATTGGCCATCGCTTTGTCCTTGACGTATTCGGTCAAGAAGGTGGGTTGTGTATATAATTGAAATTTTAATTCTTACAGATGATGAAAGACAACAATTTGGTGAGGCATTTGGATGCCTGTGAAACCATGGGAAACGCCACGACCATTTGCTCGGACAAGACGGGCACTCTGACCACAAACAGAATGACCTGTGTCCAATCGTACGTCTGCGGAAGGCTCTACACCGACGAGAAATCCCAACCAACAGCGGCCACTCTTCCACCCACTGTGATCTCGCTTATCACCGAGTCTATTACCTTGAACTGCGCTTACAATTCAATGATTGCCGAGCCAGAAAAACCCGGTGAACGAGGACAACAGCTAGGTAACAAGACGGAGTGTGGCCTTCTGGGTTATGTGCAACGTCTTGGTGGAGATGTGAATGCCATCAGAAGGGCTCAACCGGAGGAATCCTTGTTCAAGGTGTATACTTTTAACTCCTCCAGAAAGTCAATGATGACTGTGATTGAATTAAAAAGCCCCGGTGGAGTCAAGTATGGCTACAGAGTCTTCGCCAAGGGAGCTTCGGAGATTATACTCGGGCGATGTAAGTACTTCATCGGAGCCGATGGATCACCTGAAATATTTGATGAAGAAAAACATAAACAATTCCACGATATCATTCATAATATGGCCACTAACGGACTGAGAACTATTTGCATTGGATACAAGGATTATATTCTAAAGAATGTCAAAGAACCAGGGGAAACCGATGTTGCCATAGAATCTGAAGAAGACATTAATTGGGACGACGAAAAGGAAATCTCCAACAATTTCACTGGGCTCTGCATCTGCGGAATCCAAGATCCCGTCAGAGATGAAGTCCCCGAGGCTATCAGAAGATGCAAGAGTGCCGGAATCACAGTCAGAATGGTCACTGGAGACAATATTAATACTGCTAGAGCCATTGCTTTGAATTGTCAAATTATCCAACCCGGAGAGGACTTCCTGGTCTTGGAAGGAAAAGAATTTAACGAAAGAATCCGCGACAAAAACGGTCAGGTCAGTCAAGCCAAACTGGATGAGGTCTGGCCTCGCCTGCGCGTCTTGGCCAGAGCACAGCCAGCTGACAAATACACTTTGGTTAAGGGAATTATCGACAGTAAGATTACGACCCAGCGGTAAGTTTACAAGAGACGCTTTTATTGTTTCGGATTCTTTCTCTTCAGTGAAATCGTAGCCGTAACTGGAGACGGTACCAATGACGGGCCAGCGTTGAAAAAGGCTGATGTTGGATTTGCGATGGGAATTGCCGGCACAGACGTAGCCAAGGAGGCTTCAGATATCATTCTGACCGACGACAACTTCACCTCGATTGTTAAGGCAGTCATGTGGGGAAGGAATGTTTATGATTCCATCAGCAAGTTCCTCCAATTCCAACTGACTGTGAACGTCGTCGCTGTTCTCACCGCCTTCATCGGTGCTTGTTCTGTGTCCGACTCTCCTCTCAAAGCGGTTCATATGTTGTGGATCAATCTGATTATGGACACATTGGCATCTCTGGCTCTGGCCACTGAGATGCCCACAGAAGAATTGCTGCAAAGGAAACCTTATGGACGAAAGAAGTCTCTCATCTCCAGAACCATGGTCAAGAACATCGTTTTGCATGCCTTGTATCAGCTGATTGTGCTGATGGTATTCCTCTTCAAGGGCCCGGAATTCTTCGGAATACCCACTGGATTGAACGCTCCATTGTTTGCTCCTCCATCTCAGCATTTCACTATTATTTTCAACACATTCGTGATGATGACAGTCTTTAATGAGATCAATGCAAGAAAAGTGCATGGTGAAAGAAATGTTTTCAAGGCAAGGTTTTAAACGGGTTTGTAATTGTTTCTTTCAGTATTTGTCTTCAAATCACACCTTTATCGTCATCTGGGTGTGCACTTTCATCTGCCAGATCATCATTGTCCAGTTTGGTGGCCAATGGTTCTCCACAGCTCCCTTGACTCTGTCCCAATGGGCAGTTTGTCTAGGGTTTGGTGTTTCGGAACTTCTTTTTGGTCAAATTGTGGCCACAATCCCATCCAAAAAACTTCCCAAGAGCGTTGCCCTTCTCCGTGGAGTCCCTGAACCATCTCCTTTGGCCATGCATCGTCACGAAGACCAGAAACCCCACACTCACAGTCATGCCATGCAACATCACAGATCACCCAAAGCAATGTCTCTTTGGTTCCGAGCTGTTGAATTGATTGCCGTAAATGTAAGTGAAGAGCCGCTGTTAGATGATTACTTAAAACGGAGTTTGCAGACTCTGGAAGCAAGGGATGTGGTAGTGTTTGACCCATATTTTTTCATCTTAATAGTCACATATGTCGTCTACATAACATTTGTAGAGTATCTCCGAAAAATAATCAGTCATCGTGTCGGAATTATTGGCAGTTTTATGCTTGGCCTGATAACGATAAACATGTCTGAACCTTTCGGGTTCATGACAGTTCGAGCGAACACAGGATCAATTGTTACGGGGCGTGGTGCCTACGAGGCAAAGTCGGATTCGGGGGGAGATTTTTGCGAACCCTGGAGATGTTATAGGCGGTTTAAGATAAGAAAAAGCAGGGTCAAAATTCTACCGCACACATAGTTTTGCTTCAAGTTGTTTAAAAATGATCTTTTAATTTTAGTATCGAATTATGAGAGCAATGCAAGAGAACCACAAAATGAGGAGAATGGGAGTAACTGCACCTAAGATGAGTGCTGAAGCTGCGGAAAAATGGAGAGATAGCTACAGGAGATATCGGCACAAGAAACATCATGAAAGGAGTAAGTAGAGTTTGATGATTTCATAACCATAAAATATTACTTAAAAATAATCTTTTTTAGAACTGGCTCGTGAAGCATCAAAGGATGTTCCAGATACCCCAGAAGTCCCGCATTCCGAGAAAGAAAAGGACGATATGCGGAAGATACATCGCCAGATCAAAGGAATCACAAGAGCACGGAATTCAGTGTCAGCCTCATCCCATCAGGAAAACCATCCTTCTCAGGTGAACATGGACCCCTCGAGTAATGTATGATCACGTTTTCATCCTCTCAAACTAGCAATCTTTACTTTCCTATTATTAACATTATTTTGTATAAATATTTTTATGGTTAACTGCCTTACAACTAAGCGAACGAGTTCGTAACGCCATCAGTGCTATCTTTAACTGTAAATAAACGATAATCAGGCTTCGTGAAGGGATGTGTTTTACTAGATAAGTCCGTAGTGGTTGATTTAAACGGGTGTTTTGTTATCCCCAGGAGCCGTGGCATTTGTGGAAACTGGTGCCGAAGATGGAATGCCGGATGGGTTAGGTGCAGTAGCTGGAGCCGGAGGCGCTTCGGCTTCATCTTTTTTCTGTTGTTTGGCAGCTGCTTCTTCCTAATAAACAGTGTAAAAAAACGAGGCATTTACCAATTCGTTGATGAGATTGAGCTTACTCTGCGCTTCGTAATATATTTGAAGGGCGACAAGGATAAGCAGGACGATGATAACTCCTGCAATGACTTGAAAACATTAAGCTGTCTCCTACCTCCAATTAACGATGCCCACAAAGTAATATCCGCTTGGTATCTTGATGGCAAGTTGACTCTATAAAATTCTTTACCTACGATTACGGGCTTACAGTTTGACGCTAAACTTGATTGAATAATCGATCGAATTGAGTGAAACCGAGATTTCTTCATTTCTGAGTCCTTTGGCAAACCCTGGAAACAAAATCATATAAGAATACGAAAAGTGAGGTCTCGCCAACTATAATGACAGATCCGAAGTCAGGGGCAACGACCAAATCCTGTCCAGAACAACTTTTTTCCCAGTCGTATGTCGGGATTGACTTTTCGCCCACTTTCCATATCACCTAAACAGATTATACTCATAATTTCTCGTACCTTATCCCCTGGTTTCATTAGGTTTGGAGCCAGATAGAGACGGTAGTTGTATCCAATTTTGACGGTGAATTCATTGTAAACATCACCAACAATCAGATCTATAAAATCCACCAACAAACAACTGTTCTTCCAGGCGTTGTCGTCCAGGTTGGGTTTCACTGTTGTAGTCACCAAAGGAAAATACTTGGTTCCTTGATCCCATAAGGTCCTACAACGGTCGTTCTCTCCACAAGTTGTCTTCTGAGGGTTATCATTGTCACATTTCCGGGTTTGGAGCACTTTCCCGAACCGTGCAAACGGCTGAGTATTCGTTGGGGAGGTTTGATTTATGTTTGGAGGAAGGAAATCGAAAATCTAAGGGAAACTAAGTGCAACGCAAGACGGAACGTACTTTCTTCAGTACTCCATACACCACACTTAATCCGTTGAAGAACATGTGAGAATAAATTGGAATTGGATCATTCCGATTGGATAAGACGTCATCGAACCCTTTTGTAATAACTTCCACTTTATCTTGGCTGAAGTCTGGGTGTGCCTCCGCCAATATTTTCTGCAATTTTACCGGTGAGGAGGAGTTGATCTTTAGAAATGAGACATATCCAACTTGTGTTTGTTGGCTTGTAAGTAGGTCACTAAAATAGTCATCACATCCAAGAAATAAAAAAGGAAATGAGAGTAATACCATCGATGGCTCGAAAACTCATAACCAGAGCCGCAGAATTCATTGGAGCAACAACATGTGGAGCAACAAGACCAAATGCCCCAGGCGATGTCAATCTTCACATTGTGTTCTTTCGATTCGACTGGTAAAGTTTTCTTTAATTTAGAGACTTCGAGAAGGTCCCCAATCAATTGATTTTTAACGTCTTTGGAAAAACTGATACGGTAGTAATGGTGAGGGGGGAAACTGTGGACTCCTCTAGAATGAGAGAGTTCGGCTTCCTACAAAGTTCTATACTTTTAGATGACTCTTACATTAAGACATATTGTGTGACCTCGGGGCTGTTCAATCACCACTACTTCGCCCGTATTCTCGCCCGGTGAAATTTGAGTGATCATAAGTAGATTTTTGAGCTTATCTGTAAGATAATTATGACATATTGCGTTACTTAAAACATCTCACATCCCAATGGTCCGGAAGTAATACCGCGAAAGAATGGTTCGTAACTAAAGCAAAATATTATGTAAAGAGTCATCAACAAGGTAAATTACGAGTCTACTCCAATGTAAGGAAGGTAATTGTCACTCAGATTATTCTTTTTGCAGCCCACAATAACCGGCTCGTACCCGCTTGGACCAATTGGTTTATGCTCGTCATCACTTCGACTGACGTCGCTGAGGATTCTGACATGATCAGCGACAGCCCTCGACCAATCCGCCACAGTAGGATCCAGTTTATCGAAGTGGAATGGACTGCGATGCGAATAAAGTTGTTTTACTACATTCTTACTGTTCTTTGAATTCACAAAATGAAGAAAGATCGCGTGGTGGAACGAAACGATTGCACAAGTTGATCCTCCAGGTATCTTGAGCCAATATTTGGGATAATAAAAACAATATCCACAAAACGAACAGCATTTTAACGACCAATATGATACAAAATCGCAATTGATTTCGATTTTTGCAGTAACAAAAAACAAAACATGCTGATTATTCATTCAAATTTACTTTATCCGAACATAAAAGTCATAACAGCGCACTGCAGCGTCAAGTTCATACACCAACGGCTTCAGCTTTGGCGGTTTCAATCGGAAGAGGGGGCACATTAGACGGGGCTGCACCATCTGGAAGTCCTCCAGCCTCTTCATTCTGTTCTGCCGGTTCCTCTGCCTCCTAAAGACTAATAAGTTAGTAACTACTATCCCTTACTGATTCTTTCTTTAGTTTTCGTTTCTTTTGTAACTCATAATAAATTTGGAACGAAACCAGACCAACTAGAACGAGGATCACACCTGAAGGCAATATATTTAGTAACGCGTATATAGGAGATTATCCAACATTATGAGCATCAAACATACATACCTCCACCAACTATGGCCCATTGGACGATTTTTACTTTGTGTTCGGATGGTAATTCAGGTCTAAAAATTATTACATTGCATTAACACAAGACTAAAAAATAAGACACATACAAAACAACAGAAAATTTGACAAAATAATCCTTGGATGTGTTTTTTGAAGACATTGAAGCCGCAATTACAACGTGTTGAAAGTCTTCTGTGATCCCTAAACCCAAAATATATATATATATATATGTAAAGATGGTGCGATCTAATATATTTCGTCTTTCAAGAGTCCCGCTTTCTTGGCTGGAGAGCTCCCAGCCAAGAAATGCCTAACACGGGATCGGCAAATAGTTGCACCCTGCTTTCTTAACGAAACCTATATCATTTAAAAGAGCATTAAAAATAGTGCACAGCGCAAAAAAAATTAGCTGCCCAATATATGTTTGGGCAAAGTTATGGCTAAAATACAGATTTTAGCCTAATTTCGGCGGCAATTTATAAGCTCTTGGAACAGCAACAGAGCTGTGTCCAGTTGGCCGAGTGGTAGTGACCCCACTTTCGGCGAAGCAGGTCCTGGTTTCGAATCCGGACCCTGCAAACATTTTTGCATTTCGTCTCTTATATGCCACAAAACCATGGTATGTTGATATTTTTAAATAATTTTTGTTCCTTCGCTGTCAAAATACATTTTTACGGGATTTTTTCGAGTTTTTGGTGTTTTTTGCAACCACCACAAATTTTATAGTGATGAGAGTGGGGATGCCTATCGTATAATTACAAGGGTGTCATGCCTTTAGCCTGACCGATTATGATTACTGGACGATAATTCAATTTACAAGGGCCTATAAATATAATTTTTTCGAAAAAAATACGAAGAGAAAATTACAAAAGCGGCCAAAACACTATTGCTGACACAGTGGCCTAACCGTCGGTAAGGCTAGGACATAAGAAATTTTTGATTTTGAGATTTTTGTTTGTAAATGGCCACGACGATCATACAAATCTATTTCCAAAGTTTTTTTGCTCCAGTTTTCCCATTAACCTAGTTTTATTTACAATTTTTTGTAAATGGCAGTAATGCGACATTATAATGTCTAATAACTCATAGCCAAGGATTGATAAAGCCATGAAACGACCGTGATAAACGTTTCGGGATACTAGTAAGAAAATGGCGACAATTTCAAGCCGCCAGGATTACTGTAATATAAGAAACCGGCGTTTTGGCCGCATATAACCCTTATCATAAAACGGCCATAACTTGCCTTTCATATTGTTTTGTGATTTCAGACTCTCTTAGGTGTATACTAGTCGCGCCATAAAGTCCTGACACATTTTGTCGCGGGTGTCGCGCGATAAAAGTGGCGAACTCGCGCGAAAGTGCATGTCGCTAGTGCAAAAACGGGGAATTGCCGCGACGAGTACGAAAGGAAAACAAAAACGCACAGTGCAAACGTCTCAGGACTTTATGTCGTGGGTAGTATTTAAATATTTTTTTGGCCCGACCGGGTCGGCTCGAGAACCTTTTATGTAATAAAATTACCTCCTTACCAAGGATAATGACGGATCTGTGGTCGGGGGTAACTACGAGGTCCTGCTCCGAACAACTCTTTGTCCAGTCGTAATCCGGGATTGTATTAGCTCCAAGCTGCCATGACACCTAAACCAATAAACAACAAGATAATTTCGTTACATTATCTCCTTCGCTCAACAAGTTTTCGCCCAAATTTAGTCGATAATTGACACCAGGAATGACACTGAACTCCTCTTCGACGTCGGTTATGACAAGATCCGTGAAGTCGACGCTCAGACAGCTGTCCTTCCATGCATTGTTAGTCGTGTTGGGACTTGCAGTACTGGTGGCGTAGGGATTGAACTCAAGGCGGAGATGCCATAACTTTTTGCAACGTTCATTCTCAGCGCATACCGTTTTTTGAGGGTTTTTGTCATCACAGATCCGAGTTTGGATAACCTTACCAAACCGGCCAAATGGATATGCGTCAGTGGGAGCAACCAGATCTGCATTTCCGCGCTGTGCTTCTGGGAATATCTAAAATAATTTAGAAATGAAACATATAATACAGGGTGGGCCACACGCCAATTTGCTTTTAGAAAAAAAAATATTTTTGTCAAAACCTGGAGCTGCGCCCGAGGCGCTACGACATTTCGGGTCAGGGACAACTCGGGTCGCGACAACTCGGGTAGCGACAACTCGGGTCAACGACAACTCGGGTCAACGATGCCGTTTAATATTTTCGCTTCGGGACTGGGAAAAAAGAATTTTTTGGTGAATTTGAAAATTTTTTAAATGTTTTCGCTTCGGGACTGGGGAAAAAATATTTTTTGGAGAATTGAGGTTTATTTTTTAAATTTTTTAGGGAAATAGTGTATTAGCGACGAGCAAATAAGAAAATCGTATCCTTTTTTTTTTTTTATTTGCTCGTCGCTTATAAACACCATTTTCCCAAAAAAAATTTAAAATAAACCTCAATTACCCCTAAAATAACTATTTATCTAAAAAATTAAAGAAATAACATTCGTACCTTATGAAAAATAAAATTGTAACATTCAGAACAAAAAAATCCTTTTCCACGTCCCGAAGCGAAAACATTTCAAAAATTTCTCAAATTCACCAAAAAATTCTTTTTTCCCAGTCCCGAAGCGAAAATATTAAACGGCATCGTTGACCCGAAATGTCGTTGACCCGAAGTGTGGTTGACCCGAGTTGTCGTTGACCCGAGTTGTCGGGACGCGGAAAAAGTAGTTACCCGTTGCAAAGTTTTTTCCAATTTCCGTAGTTTCGCAGATCCGAAAAATACATGAGAAAATATGGGGACTGATGGGACTACCGTATCCATTAACATCTCTTCAAATTCTTGTATTGCCTCCTTGATTTCACGAGGTGATAACTCCGGATTATGGTCCGTAAAATTCTTGGCTATATCTATAGGTTCTGAAGTGTTTATCTTCATGAACGAGACATATCCAACTCGAGTTTGACGACTTTCAATGGCATCGCTGAAGGAGGAGTAAAATAAAAAAAGGTACCGGTACCATTTGTGTTTCGAAAATCCGAAACCAATACTGCAGAACTCATTGGGGCAACAGCAAGTTGAACAACAAGACCAGTCGCCCCATCCAATGTCCACCTTCAAGTTGTGTTCTTCAGATTTGATTGGCAACGACTTCTTCAAATCGGAAACCTCCAAAGTGTCACCAATCACCGATTTTCTGGCCGTTTGCAACATACTGATAGGATAAAAGTAATGAGGTGTACGGGCAGTGGGTTTAAGGGCATCATCCTAAAAACTATAAATCGTATTTTTTTTTTGAAGAAACGATCTTCCAAAAAATCAATGATGAAAATCGATTTCCGATATTCTATTCAAAAAATGGCAATCCGTCAAACAAAAGAATTTCTGTTGTCGGGTACTCATTTTTATCTCTAGTAGCCTTCAGTACAATATTTTCTTCATCATCCGAGAATTCCCTCGCCCCAAAATTCCATCACCCGACTCTGCGTCACCCATAATCCCGACCCCGAAGAAATTGTGAGGCGGTGAAAGATGCGTAGACGCGGTGACTTACTTTGATGCATTGGAATGAAAATGGTAAATCAATGATAGATATTTGATCTCCGTTCTCGGCCGGTGCCACACGGTTAATTTTGAATAAGTTTTTCAATACAACTGGAAAGCGTTTTATGAACACGGCCAAAAGACAATCAGATTACCTGTATTATCCGCAAATCCTTTTATGTACTTGAAAATGGGCCTCCATCTAACAATAGAATCAATTAAGCTTATGTCAAAACATACGAGCCGCTGTTTATGTAATGCGAATTTATGTCGCCAGGCCTGTGAGGTTTTCTACAACCAACGAAAACGGGTTCATCACCGTTAGCGCCGGCTGCTCTACTCACGACGTCGTTTTCGCCCACGGAAGTCATTATCCGAACATGTTCTTGAGCTGCTTTGGACCACTCTTCTATGGTAGGCTCAAGCCCTTCTAACCAAAGAGGACTGAAAGGAAAAATATTATGGCAGTGGGCTCTTACTGTCTATCAATTATACAAGTTTTATCGCCCTTTGGAGGTGAAAACCGGTTGCACAGGTATATCTGCCAGTTCTCTAAGGCAGAATTGTGCGGAAAAAATAATAATAATGAGAAAACGACCAACATCTTTTGAGCCTTGAATAATTATAATAAAACATCGAAAAATCGATCAAGGACATTTTGCCATTGACGCTTTTTTCTGCTTTTGAAGAAGGAAGGTCCATTTGGGAAACATAGACATACATATTACGTTATGTCTATTAATCCATTTTGATTTGCTAAAAGACGTTTTTGAATGGCCAGATGTCGTGACGGGAGCACTTCATCTATTGTTTTTTGGCCGTTGAACTTGGCCATGTTTGTGTTCACATTCGTTTTGGCCTAAAACGCGGTATTCGGGGGTCATTACGATACGAGATAAAGCCTCGGCTTCTGGTAACGGCGGGAGGAGTTGTGCAATCGCGAGGAAAAGGGCTTTTGTAATTTGACCGGACACAGGATACCCTCAAGACAGGTCGGCAACGTTTTGTAGAGCCGTCTGTTACATGTTTCATAGAGTTTCCGACTAGCTGATTACCCTACCTTTGTGACGTATACATTTCTTTGCACATTTTTTACTCTCTCATTCGTTTTCAGTAAAAACTGTGGGAAAGGTTCCGGAAGATTATAAAGTATGTGGCATTTCGTTTTTCCTGAGGTGGCCGCTATTTTAATTGATTTGATTGATAAGTTTGCCACTTAATTGTGACACCCCCTTATCTGCGGTTTCTAGTGGCCAAGTCAGGAGCCAAGAGGCCAGGGAAAATGCGATGGGTTTTGGCTCTCAAAGTTTATTTTTTTTTCTATAATGGTGTTCATTTCTTATCACTCTCTTTTCCGGTACCAGTGTTGTTCGGGTTGGGATTGCTACCATTGGTACTGGAGGGAAGAGTACTTGAGGTTTCGAATGAACTCGAGAGCGAGGTCAGAGATCCTTTCGAATTAGAAGAGGAGAGAGTTGACAGTTCACAGCGAGAGTTCCTGGGACTCCCATGCGGGGATCTGGCCGTCTTTGTGCTAATCAGATCATTACCGTCCTAGAATACACGTGATTGCACAATTCTTAGCTTACTTTACTTCGGTACCCATTCACATTACTTCTGCGCCTCTTATATACAAGAGGAACAGGCTCATTCATCTTGACCTCATGGTGATGAGATTGTAGCACGGCTGTTCTGACGTCCATCTCTATGTCACTCTGAACGCTTTTATTATGTTAGCCATGTTGTTTTACCTTGATTTTCGACCTCGATCTGGACCTTCTCTTTTTTGTACTGACTGGCCGCATTTGCCATACTGGATAGAAGAAATAGAAGTAGAAATTGCGGAGAAGGAGCAGAATATAAAAGAAGATCATAGCCAGGACAAAGGAGTAGATTATCTGAGCTAAGGGATTTGATTTGAACATTTCGGAGGTTCCGTAGCCGTTGCCAATGCCGCTAAAATTGTATATAGAGTGTCTCAAATGTCTTGCGAATTTTTGGGGTTGAGAATTAAAGTCTCATTGTGAGGGCCTAAATCACTGCACTCCTAAATCTTTGGTACTATTGAAACCACAATTTCTTACACTTACAAACAAGATGAAATTTTAAACTAACCGCATGCCCTCCGGGCAAATAGCTGAAATTCTTTAACATCATCCATTTTATCCATTTTGACATCAGCAGACATTTTTTTAATGTCTAGTGCAATCTCAGGGCAGTGTAGGTAGCAGGTGGACTTTATATATACAGTTTAGAAGCGCTATATCTGCGCTTCAAACCGGTATATTCAACATACTCCGTAACGCGTTTCAAAGCCCACAGGAATTTGCAAAAATCGACGATCCAAAAATTTGCAAGACTTATGGGACACCTAACAAATTTCATTTTGCTGGAATCTTTCTCCGACCTAGGAAGAAGTTTAAAATAACATTGTACTCGGTCTTATCGGTAAAAGACTATCCCAACCTTGTCATAACTCTAGGAGGATTATTCGCACCCTTACGTTTTTATGGAATGACTTACGTGTCGTTTAGATTGGCTTCGACCGAAGGGCATTTCAGCCACCAACCCAAAAACTGGCGACCCAAATTATTTGTCATCGACCACACCGTCCTTTTGAATGTTTTATTTTTGAAATGAATGCGTTTTCAGAGATTTTCTTTATTTTAATGACTTTTGGCAAAGAAAGAGGATATGTTTGCCTTTTCATATTATGCAATATTAAATATTATCTAATATCTATATAATCACCCAATTCCCGCCATGTGTAATATAATGTAACGCCTATTCCCATCATTTCCGATGACTGCACTTGCATGGAACGGAAGATGTTTGTGAAAAGCGTTTCGTTTTGATATGGCATCATGTTTTCTGGCCATACCTAAAAGTCTTTGAATTTTTTTATATTCGATGGGTTGGCGGAGGTTTCGGATTTCCTTCGCAAAATGGAAATTCCGGCCCTTCCCCCTGAGGGCACGCCGTGGTGAACGTCTGCCGGATTGGTCTTTTAAGGCAAACTGTTTCTGATACTAAATTAATTACTGTAATCAAGAGTTCGTTTCCATTTTGGACGTCATAAATGAGGAGAGAGGAAGGAGGAAACGAGTCTTTCTCTTCCCTCAACACCTGTTCGGCCTCGCTGATACGGTAGAAATGTCTTTTTGCACTTGTTGGCCGGCTTTGAGAGGTCAATCGATAACAGGCCGTATGATTTGGTTTCTTGTTCGAGGTTTTGTTGCAAAATTTACGATGAATTAAAGCTGCAAATAATTTAAATACTGCTTACATCTTCTTACATTTTATATTGTAACCAAAATTATTTAACTTTTTCAGTTTTATGTGGTCAAATTTCAACCGATTTTTTTTGTATCTCGAATTCGAGATCGCTGAAGTGTAAAACGGTAGTTTAGATTGTAAACTCAATGGGCCTTTAAAGGCCAGTTTCCAGTCTAATCCTCATAAACAAACACTCCGCTCGTAATGATGGGGTTAACTTCTAGAATATCCACTTTATGTCCGTCATGTAATCGCTTCCAAATTCAATTTCTGAAGGAGCATTTCTTTTCGTTTACTTTCATTTTTAGACTGACAGACACACCAAGTGCAGATACATTTCAATTAGTGCATCTTATGGCCAAATCCCTCTGAAGATGCCCGGCTTTCTGTGGATTCTGTTAACTATTCTTCTGTCTGTAAGTCACCATTTTTATGTCACAATTTATTTTTTTATTATTTAAGATTGTAAACGGCAGTCAGTATAATCACGCGTTGTTTGAGCATTTATTTAAAAATTACCGAAAAGAAGTCAGACCAATCGATTACACGAATCCATCAGGTAATTAATTAAGGTTTATTTTAATTTTTTAATTATCTTATAGCACCCACAAATGTGACGATACAACTGTATCTAAAGCAGATTCAGAAAGTGGTCGACAGTGACCAGATTGTGAAATTGTATTGTTGGCTAGAGATGGTAGGTCGACTTCCGGGTGAACTTAGTTTTGCAGTACTGGAGGGATGTGAATCTTGTTTGGAAAGAGTCCGATTTCAATGGAACGACCCAACTCATCATACCATCTGCACATTTGTGGAGGCCAGATCTTCTCGTTTACAACAAGTAAATAAAAAATAATCGTCTTTCTTGTTTCCGAATACGTTCATTTATCTGTTTTTTACAGTGCCCATATGAATGTGGATGACAATGAATTGGAGACGAATGCAGTCATCAGAAGTGATGGCAGAGTGAGTGTTTACAGGGCGATGGTTACTCAGATCACTTGTCAATTGACCCTGTAAGTTTGGTATTTGTTGGATCAGTTCTTTATTGTAGAGAAAATTTTCCATTTGATCAGCAGATCTGCTTTATAATGTTGTCTTCCTGGAGTTATGATGGATCGGGGATTATGCTGAACACTTTGGTCTCGACGGATCTGGATAATAGCCAGAAAGATCTGAGAAAGATCAGTACTCTCGCCCATTACATGGCCAACGGGGAATGGTACTTAAACGATTTCAAAATTCAAAGGAATCTGAAGCAAGTTAATACATGCACTTTTTAAATTTTGGATTTTGTGCATAACACATTTCATTTCAGGTACTACGAATGTTGCCCCTATGCCTTCCCGGATCTAACGTATTACTTTTCAATTAGAAGGAATCCGATCTATTACCTGTTCACTCAACTCTTGCCCAGCACTTTTATCAGTATAATTACAATGATCGGTTCATTTACGGTACATTCGTCGACGGGGGAAAACGAGGAGAAGATTACGTTGGGAGTTACTGCGGGCATGGCCATTGTCATCATATGTGAGTAATTTTGATAAAATTACTCTTAAAAAACGATATAATCACGGAATATTAATACTTTCAGTGATGATGGTGGCTGATAAACTCCCTGCAACTTCCAACGATCTACCCCTTTTGGGCAAATTTTACGTTGGTTTAATCTTCATCATCTTCTTTGGAACGGTATGCACAACCTTGGTATTGAATGTGCAGATGAAAGGAAATCACATGGAACCCGTCCCTTTATGGTTCAAACGACTTGTAAAACGATATCGAGTGATGCAGATCATCTTCGAAAGATATTGGAAACAAACTCAGAAAGCGGAAAAAGAGGGAGATTACCTAAAAGAGTCATTAATAATACACTCGCAGTCGGCGAATGGCCATATTGGAGAAAGTGGGAAGGAGAATGGCGTCAAACTGATCAGTCACGGTTGCCCAGTGGTAAGTTAATTGAGAATTGCCTTGTTTATGTTGTAGTACACACCGACAAGTCACAGTCTTGCCACATGCCCATTATATGCAAAGATTTTGGGGACAGTGACGGATATCCGAGAGAATACGAAGGTCATGTTGGAACGACTCGAACATGACCGGAGGCGGTTTTCCCTCCGCCACGATTGGGAATCCATCGCCCGAGGACTTGACCGGATATTCCTCACCATCTTCGTGACAGTCACCACTTTATATGCCTTCTGGCTATTTACTCAGTCCTCGTCGCCGGCGCTGATGATAACCCAGGAGTTCATGAACCAGACCTCCGCGATTGCCTGAATATCATAAAAAAATGTCGCCGTGGAATGCCATGGTCCTCAAATATCTGCCCCACATTTATCTCGGGGGCTTTTGTGCGGGTATCCAAAAATAAAACAATATTAAAAAGGATGATTGTGGCCCTCTTAAACGCATCTTAAATGCCCTTCAGGCAAGTCCGTCCTTGTTCAGATGCTTCGAGATGTTCGTGTAGAATCCGAGATTCATAATGAATTCTGTTTGTACCGGTTGATGTAAATAAAGTGATCTTCCGTCCGTGTCGCATTTTAGTGTCGTTAACACGAGAACTCGGGACTTTTGCAGAGTTTTTATTATTATTTTCGAACCTGTTCGTACGTGGAAGACGTAAACGACGGGGCGTGCCTGGATTTATTGCATCCTCTATCCGGTCTCAAATTTCATGTCTCAAAACATGTCGAACAGTGCCTCAGAGGCCGGCAACAGGCTTGATCATTTGCCCCGAGGGCCTAATCCAATCAGCATTCTTTGTTAGGCCGCCTTTCACTGATTTGCGCGGTCTTTGTTTAAGACGGGAATGAAGTTAGTGAAAGTTGGGAACCTGGGTCCAAGAGTCCTGGGAATGACCATGTTCTCCAAGGGAACGGAAACATTCAAGAAAGGAAGTGTAATGTTTTTATTTCAGATATCCATACCCAAGGCGGATCAATCGGGATGAAATGGAAGAGCTCGTTTTGGCTGATGGTAAGTGTTACAACATTCTCTTTACATAGAATTGACAAAGTGTTGATATTTGGTAGAATTTGAGCTTATGACTTTGATCTAACAAGGGGTTGGGGCCGAACAACACTCCGCCTTTCAAACAACCCCTTCATTTTGAACAATTTTGCAAAATATGGGACGATGAAGTAGAATTCGGAAGCTTTAAGTGCAAAAATGTAAATAAAAGAAAAGTAAAAAATTAAATCTTGAACAAAATTATAAATTCGAGTATTGATACCTGCAAAAATAATTTTATACGTGAAAAATGTAAACCCAAGTGCAATAATTGTGTATAATTTTCCAAAGGTAATAGTGAAGTTCTGAAGGAAAGCGGCTACTTTCTTTGAGAAAGAGTTCAACAAGGGTGTTTGTCTGTGACGTAACAGTGGAAGTACTCAAAGTGCGACGCTCGGATTTTGATGAAACTACGGGTCTAGGCCAAATGTAAATCTCCAAAAATCTTAGCTCGCGCTTTGCAGGCGCAGCCGAGATATTTCACAATCATTGCGGCCGAGAGCGTACGCAAAAGGCGGGGTGCGACCAGGGATAAAAACACTTTTTAGACGTATAAGCATGTATTTGCCAGCTTTGAGAGAAAATTGATTTTTTGGGGAAAAATTACCCTCTATAATAGAAATAAGCATATAACATGTCATGCCAAAAAAAGTTACTTATTTTTTTCAATTTTCGACAGTACGACCTTTAGAAATTTCGGTTGTTTCTGCAACGCGCGAGCTAGGAGTCTCGCATATGCCGTCAAAATTTTTCTTAATTTGTATTAAGTTTGATCGAAATGTGCCCGTCGCATACTTCCCCTGTTAGATATTCTCCCTTCCTCACATTGAATTTATAATATTTATATGTTTACCTACCGCATATTGACTACACAGACCTAGTACTTAAACGTAAGAACATGGGAGCCGAATATTTAGAACACTGGATTTGTGAGAAGGGGTTCATTAGTCTACTGTAACTTGATTTCAGCTAAGCTGCATGAGTTTGTTGGTCCAAGGAGATCTCCATTTGTATAATTATCTATTCAAAAACTATCGAAAAGAGATTCGTCCAATAAACACACAGAATCCGAGTAAGTAGCTGTGAATTGTTAAAGAATATTATCAGCCTCGACTAATGTGACTGTCCAATTATTTCTGAAACAAATCCAAAAAGTGAAAGAGAGTGACCAGACCCTATCCCTGTATTGCTGGATCGAAATGTATTGGACTGATTTTTACTTGAAATGGAATGAAAAAGAATTCAACGGGACCAAGGAGCTGATCGTGCCGGTCTCTGATATCTGGAAACCAGATCTCTTGGTCTATAACAAGTAAGAGTATAGTAAAGCGAGCATAGTATTCCAGTGCCCATATGAATGTGGAGGCGAACCAATTGGAGACGAATGCGGTTATAAAAAGTGACGGCAGAGTGAGTGTCTACAGGGCCATGGTGACACAAATTACATGTGTTCTCAATCTGTAAGTCGTCTAGAGACAGCCATCCCATTCGTCACGAAAATTAAAACGATTCGATAAATTTGTATACATAGAGCGGGATAAGTATCTCCCTTTATTATATAACATTTTTTTAGTGATGATTTCCCTTTCGACCAACAGATCTGTTACATAATGCTATCTTCATGGAGTTATGATGGATCGGGGATAATGTTGGACACATTGGTCCCAGCAATCGTCGACAACTCCCAAAATGACATCAATAAAATTAGCACTTTGGCCCATTACATGGAGAACTCGGAATGGCAATTAAATGACTTTAAAATACGCAGAAATCTAAAGTAGGAGGGTAGATGTCGTAACGTGGTTGTAGCTCTCGTCTTGACTCTCTTCCTTTGCAGATACTATGAATGTTGTCCCTATGCGTTTCCTGATCTGACTTACTTCTTCTCCATTCGTCGCAATCCCATGTATTATCTCTTTACTCAGTTACTGCCGAGTTCGTTCATTAGCGTGGTAAGTGTGGCCACTTGCAATAACTGATACTACTTTTGCAGATCACAATCATCGGCTCCTTCACTCCGCATCACACAACAGGAGAGAATCAGGAAAAGATTACTCTGGGCGCGACGGCCGGCATGGCCATTGTCATTATTTGTAAGTTTATTGAAATACGAAGTGCTTAAAACAAGGAATTTATCTGAATTCTCGAGGCTTGGCCTCCAAGCGCCATAAATTAAACACTGATAATTCTTTGCGTCTGTAATCAAAGCTCTTAAACTTATCAACCCTTGGAACTAGATTTTCTTCACATGTTGACCTCGGCGTAGTTAATACTATTATAGTTCATAGCAATTTTTATTAATCTAAATTTCAGTAATGATGATAGCGGACAAACTTCCGGCCACTTCGAATACCCTCCCATTGCTCGGCAAGTTCTATGTCGGATTAATCTTTATCATCTTCTTCGGCACCAGCTGTACTACTGTGGTAATGAGCATACAAATGAGGGGGAATCAAGGGAAGCCGATCCCGGAATGGCTGAGAACGATGATCAGGAACAGCCGAGTATTACAGTACATCTTCAAACATGTGGATACTAGAAGTAGAGCAACTGTAAGTGCTTCGGGATTACAAAAACGGTGGAACACAATATCCTTGTAATCACAATATGAGTTAATAAAAAGCTTTCTTCAGAAAAGACAATGCACTTGCATGAAGAGATCTAGCTCGTATTTTGTGAAGTCGGAAAACGGAGATTGCAAATGGGTATGTCAATAGAAGACGGGCAAAATATAATTACAGCTGATCCCCACCCACGCCCTCACTTCAGACAACTTCTCTCTCACTCCGCCTTATCAACGCATTTTATCGATCATCGGGGATATAAAATTCTCGACCGAGGCCACATCACAAACTCTGAGACACGATCAGAGATTGGACGAGATCAGAAGAGAATGGGAATACATCGCCCGAGGGCTTGATAGAGTCCTGCTCTTCTTCTTTGTTACAGTAACCGTCTTATACGAACTTTGGCTACTCAGTTTAACCAACATTACACCCTTAAAGATTTCAGAGGAATTTATGAACAGAACTTCTGGATTATCGTAGCTGTAAATACGGACTATTTGTGCATAACATCTCAGGAAATAAACGAATAACTATCGAAATGAAAAAAATCTTATGTATTATTAAATTGAAACCGAATCCTTGGTTGTTGGATTGCGCTGTGTGAACGGCATACAGGAAAAAAGAGCGCCGTCGCTGTCTCATACAAATTACATAGAATAATTCTTGCAAATAAATTTTGGGGGTTCGGAATGGACGTGGGGAGCTGTACTGGGGCATGGGGGGCTGAACTGGACTGGGGGGCTGTACTACCTTAGCCCCAAAAAGTGTAATTTTTTCATAAGTGTAATTTAGTGAAAAAAGTGAAAAATATGAATTGTAAGCAGGGCCAGTTTTTGGATGGTGCAGAACAGTTGAAAAAAATAAAAAGGATGTCAGGGAGGACCTTGCAAGGCGTCTTTGCCTGTAACGGGTACCTGTGGTCAAAAATTCCATATTACCTTCTTTACAAAGAGTAAAGCTATCTGTGACATTCAACGGAATCTGCCGGTCGTATAACATGTCTTCCTTCCGTCCTATAACATGTCAACATCTGTTTAATTTTTATTTTTTGAAAAAAGGGACTCCGATTTAGGGTACATTTCGGATTTTTTGTGAAAATGAATCGCCCGCAACGAGAAGAAACTTCTGTTTTCAACCCTTTGCTACCACATTTCCTGCACAAAAATGATTGTAAAATTTTATATTCTTCCTGTATATTTACTGAAACAACTTTAGAATATTTTATTTACATTTCTCTAACCCATTGTGGAACCGGTTTGAACAAATAGTAATCGAATACAACGAGAGATGTAAGTGTAATATACAGAATCACTTGGAGGTGTTCAGATTATTGACTGGAAGGGGGCGAGAATATATATATAGATATATATATTATATTATAGTATGTTAAGACGGAGATGCCTTGTAACAACAACAGTTCGGATTATTTCTTTTTCACATGGATCTCGTAAGGAAGCGTGCCGCGCATCTCAGCCATGTTGAACACACACATCATGGCGATGGTATTGTCATCCATCTGGGCGATTCTCTGAAAGTATTTTCAAAATGAGACTTGTTAAACGTAATACTGGGAAGGCAATCCCTATACGCTTTTAATTTGAATTGCAAACCCTAAAAAATGTAATTTCACAATTACCTCAGCTATCGGCAACAACATCATCAACTTGCTGATCCGATGCAAGACCTGATTGGCACTTGTCCCCTCAGGCAATCCCTGTTTAATCAGCTGGGAGAAAGTCGAGAGGTATTTCTGGCGAGATTGGGTGATCACTCGGGTTCCGTGATCACTCAGACCACCAACTAAAACCACAGAATTAGCATGAATGGTCAAAGTAATCAAAAATTGTTGAGTTATAATTACCTGGGACACACAAACACAACACTCTCATCAGAGCGTATTCTGTTTTGGTGACGCCCATTCTTTTCAACGGCTCAATCAACTCATCTTTTGCGTAATTCGCTAAAAAATAAGATTCAGCTTTTATTAATGGCGATGCATTGTCATAATCAATGGTATGTTGTTTAGGCTTACCGGTTTTTATGCTCCCGACAACCCATTCCGAGGAATATCCGTTTTCTTTCTGTGGGAAAAACTGGCCGCCAGTACATAAAACCCCTGAGGCATTGGAAAGGATCGTTCGATAACACATCAACAACCACACACAGGGCACGATACGGTCCACCACCAGGAGTCTCTGAAAAGGATTCGGGTGTAAATTGTGACATTCTAATTTGATAATAGCTTAATGAAATTGTTATTTGACGATATTTTTATATTGCTCTTGATCAGCTCATACCTGGTCACTTTCCGAGAGCTCCTGAAGTTCTGGGATGTGGCTGAGCCAGTCGAAAAAATGGACCAACAGTCGGCAATAACAAGATCTCATGATGGTTAGAGAAGTGTACTCGAATTTGGGTTCCCAATCGAGATTTGTCCTCAGGCAGACTCTCCTCGGCTGAGAGATGGCCTCACTCAACGGCACTTCAATGTCCAAGGTCGCCGTCTTCAAGAATTCATCGCTGACGTGGCTGAGATCAGTGTCCACGAACTTGTCACACAACCTGTAATTGCATCCTGTATATTTCTGTTGTAGTTGAAGATGTAATTGCAGAGTTAATGCTCGATTGCTCTTTTTTATTTGCTCATGTCACTCGACTCTCACCTATGTGACCTTCCACATGACTGATGCATAATCATGGTTTCCTCTAATTAGCCCCTCTTTCCCAAATAAATAGTTTCCAAATGTTTTAATGAGATCTAAAAGTGAGTTGTTTCGACTATTTCCGAACCGAGTACATCCCTCTCGTATTCCGCATTCCCCCCGTTCACGTGTTTCACGTGTATTTTCTTTTTCAAACATTTCCATGGCCATGTTAGCCCCTGCGGCAAGAACTGAATGCAACAAAACGATTAAAGATCAACTGGGCGTACCGTAGTCACGGGAGTGTTGTTTTGCTTTTTTCTTTTGCCTCCGGCATTTTCGCGGTCTTCCAGGGCTCCAAAATCTGCGAGAGAGCGAGGCCGAGGGAGAGCGTGCCAGAGGGTCCTAAGTGAATATGGAGCCGAGCTTAAACCTTTCAAAAACGTCCTTGTCCCCCGTGGCTTCGACACTTTCGAGGAAGGAACTTGCAAAACGCCTAAGGGCCACAAACGCAACATAATGCAAAGGAACAGTTTAAACGCCCCGAGGGGACGGAAAGAGGACACGGAAGCAAAGCCGGCCAATATTCTAGCAGCTTAGGATTGCCAATAATGACAAAGAGAATGACTAAACACCACGACATCAAACCAAAAAAGCGACGTCCTTACCATTCAACCGACACGAAGTATTTCCCAATACTCAGAGGATCATCTGGATTGAAGGCTGGTATTAATTTGGCTATGCCTAGAGGCAAATCCAGCTTCGATAACTGAAAGATGCGTGAGATGAGGGACTCGGGGAAGTCAGCTTACCGCGAGTAATCTCTTGCTCTGATAGAAAGTGTTATCAACAATAAAATCCTTCTCCAACGGCTTCACATCCACAATCTCCATGCCCCATGAAGAAGAAGTACCCGGTCTTTGTTGTTCCCCTGGAGTGTCCGGGAGTTCTGACGTAGACGGAGAAGATGCGTTGCTGTCCTTCCGAACACATCCACGATCTCCATGGACGAGCATGGGATTTAGCCCGACATCTACACATTTCTGGAGACGGCAAGCTCGGCAAGAATTGCGATATTCTGGAATGGATTATCATTACCCTTCTGCAATAACTGGGTGTTAATTCAGACCCTTATTTTTCCTCGTTTTAAAAGATTTTGTAAGTTATTTTGTCATCCCTTTACTGCCATTACAATGCATACTTCCATACAAACGAGGGAAACTACGGTAAGTAAACATTTTGCAACTTGGATTTACCTTTGCGAATGACACATTTTTTGTTATACGGACACTGGTAGGCTCGATTGTGACGGATCGATCTTCGGAAGAACCCTGAATTCAGATCGGCGATTAGAAAACATTAATCAGACAGCAAGGAGATGATGTCTACATGATGTATCACAAGATGTTATTAATGTTTCCAACCTTATAATGATAAACGAACCTTTGCATCCACTGCAACAAACGGATCCGTAATGCCTCGAGCCATCCGGATCATCGCAAACCATGCATCGGCCAGCTGAAGATCCCGTTGAAGGGGTTCTTATAGGGCCCGGACTATCACTCAAGTCCGTCTGAGTCGACACTTTTCGATTATATTCCTCGAAATTGGCTGCTAATACATCTACAGGTGGCTCCACCGAAACTGTGGACATCTGCAATCAAATTAATTTATCAGATGAGCAAGTATAATATAAGAAAAAGTAAGCATGAAAACATACTGTAACAAATGTAAAAACTCAAAAAATATATGCAATTTAATTTGTGCAAGTGTAAGAAACATAATGAAAAACGTTTTTAATAAAGAGGGAAATGAATGCAAAGTTCAAAAATTGTGTGACGGTGTGATAAACCGGGCCAAAAGAAATCAATATTTAAAAATTTCCTCAACAAAACCACAAAACCAGAAATTAATTTTGGGGACACGGAAAGAAACGTGATATGCCCGGAGGGCAGTGGGAAAAACACGGGAAGTCACCGAATGTTGGCTAACATACAGTAACATTGCTGGCTCCAAAACAACTAAAACAACTCTAATTCGATCCATTTCGAATGTTTTTGGCGGTTCTCCGGGCTCATTTCCTTGACTGATAACAAAAGAAACAATCGATATAAACCTCTGCATCTCTGCTCGCCCCCTCCCAATGTTGCTCTTTCCCCTTTGACGTCGCTTTATTCAGCCTCAATGCTCAAGTTCAATACTCGCTTCATTTAATCTTCGTCTTGTGCTACTAACATCACAAAATAGGGCAAAACTAGGACAAGAAAGTAATTTTACAATTGAGTTCGGTAATTGGAGATTCGAGGCAACAATGCGGAGTAAATTAAATGATAAAAAAGGGCTTTTGCGTAACTTGTACTCAATTGGAGACATAGTACAAGGCTGTAAAAAAACGGTTAATCTCCACGTAACCGCGATACACCTCTCATTTACTACTCACAATAAGATTACCAACACATGACTTCCTATTTTCGGCCTACAATTTCCCGCCCTCAGGCAAGCCCTTTCGAAAAGCGAAGACATTTAGAAATGTTTTGTAATCGAAAACAATGCGAGAATATCGGTGAGCGGAGAAAGTTTGAAACTCGATAGGGCCGCGGAGAATCCCCCACCAAAGAAGTCCCGGCCCCGAGGGCAAGGGGACCATGGGAATGGGGGACCTGTGAAACTCGGGAAAAGAGATGGAAAAACAACCTTGGGGTATTATTATATGAGGCCTAAAAAACGAGAATAGCGGAGAGTTTGCACTGTTTTATCTGGGCTGCACTCTCGGGGCAGGGTGGGGGGTGATGTGGGAAGCGGCGGAGAGAAGGAGCAGAGGCAGGCCGGCCCGGCTTCAGTCCTTCCCAAAAAGAAACGTTCTTTCCCCTCCGAAACAGCGCTGAATGTGAAAAGAGTCCCCCTGTTCTCTTTCGAGTGTTCCCCGTCTCCGTTTTCCTTGCTGTTTCATCGCATGACTGGGGTCCGGGAAGAAGGGAGAACAACCGCAGTCCTGGCCACTTCAACTACAAGGTAAAACATGAACAACATGCACAAAAGCAGGGCCGTGTTGGGGAGGGCGACTAAGGAGCCTTTGGTTCCTAAGAATTCCGCCCCGGGGCGTTGGATTAAACGTGATGGGAATCTATTCATAGGCGTTAACCATGGTTTTACACCTTTTTACATTGCATTAAGGAGCCCGCGAAAGACCAAAGCTCGCACAAAACATAATTCCGACTTCAGATTCTTTCTTTTTCCACTTCGCTCTCCAGATCGAAGGGAATCTTTGGAGTAAAAAAGAATCCCCTTCCAATATACGAACAAAACGAAACAAGATTCAGAACAACCTTTTTTCTTACTGTAACTTTTGCAAATAACCGAATTTATGAAGTGTAAGGGAGGGAGTTTCATGTAAAAAACGGAACAAGGAAATAATGGAAAGAGGAAACGAGAGAGAAAACGAGATCTCTGGTCGGCTGTGTGCGTATGTTCTTATTGATGTCATCATCAGTAGAGACAGTAGAGCCACATGATTCACAACATTGTCAAATACCGCGCAAAACTGAGTAAACTGTCAAGATGAAACAAGGAAATGAAGCCCTTGCTAACCTGTTATCTCAGTCTGATGTCTGACATTAAAGGGCGAAAGGAGGGCCAGGAAGAGCGGTGATCAAAGCCCATCATGCTTTGAACAAACCTCTACTTCCGTCATTTCTGCAACATCACATTAATAGCAACCACCGGGGACGTCACGTTGGGGGGATTGGGTTACCATTTGGCTGAGAGTGAGGTCTTGAATATTCTTAAATACAAACGGGTATCGTTTATGGGACTACAGTACTCTTTGCGTCACAACAGCAAAACTATAACAAGGTGTTCAGCTTTATGGCACACGCATACAAGTATCGAATAAGATGAATGTTTCTAAATACGATTGGGAACAAAGAAGGGGGGACTTATGAGATGAAACCCAATCAAACATATAGCAAGCAGATCTCCTGTTTCCACCGGCTTCGACCGAAACCTCAGAGAACAGGGAGATTTCCACCACCTGGCCAAACATCCCCCTCCTCGACCCCAGAAAAAAGTTGTGGCAGGGGGGAGGAGGGTCGTTGACCCAAATGATCTAACACGAATTCTAATTGAGTACTCGCGCGATCTGCCCCGATCGCCTTCGCACACGCCTCCGATGAAGGAGAGTCCATTCAATGGGGATGTTTGACCATTAAACATTACACCTGACCTCCACTTCCTCACCCTCGAGTGGGCTGTTGACAGGCTTAGGCTCCGCGCAGGATCCACTACATACCTAAGATTATTCGAACGTAATAGTTGTTGTTGTAGTTTGTTATCGAAAAAGAAATTTTTTGTAGGCTTGGACACCGACACAGAGCGGGCCAAAATGGGGTCCACTTGTTGACTATTCGAATCTGAGCAAGAGCGAGCAAACATAGTAGATATTAGAGGCGGAATGATCAGTCGAAAAATGAGTTATGCACAAGCAGACCCGATTTCAGTGTATTTGAAATAAGAATACTGATTCTTGCAAGAAAACCAAGTCAATCTCAGAAAGCGGAGAAATCCGAACAGAAAGAAGAAAGGAAATTTTTGGAAAAGCCATAAAATCTGACCATGAGAAAGGGAGATGCTTAATGAAAGATTCGTCATCGCATTTATTCTTCTGGGTAAAACAATTCATTGAGGGCGGCGGCTTCAGAAGAAGGAATAAAAAAGACCGGGAGGTGGGAGTGTGCTCGAAATACGAAAGAAAAAGGAATACGAAAGGAGCTTCGGGCAAATTGGGTGGACGACAAAGGAAATCACAAAGTTCATGGATAATTTCCTTTGCGTAGGACGTCTGAAAACTCCCGTAGGCTGATAAGCAGTGCCCTCTCTAACTCTTAGGAATCAAACGATAAAATTATGATATTAAAATGTCGGCAGGAATATCGTCATCGGGTCCTTAGCCACTCCCATTTCTTTTCGGAATTCTAATTTGAAGGAAACAAGTGAGTGTAATGTTTTTACTCTCTTACAACTGCCCCTTTACAACTACATTTCTCTGACTACTTACATGGCGCACTTAATCTCGTCCACAGCAGTAATTGAATCCCTTACAAAGAATTATATTACATTACTGGTCGTTAGCGTATCTGCCGAAGTCTTTTTGTTCTTGGAATGATTACAATTACTCAACTGTATAATACAATGAAAGCGTGCAAATGTTGGACTACAATAGAACACCAGCTGCATAAAATACAAGTTATTTTAAGAGTGGAAATTGTTCGATGAGTACTTAAACAAATAGAGAAACAAAAATTTTACAGGCGATTTGGTGAGATTATTATTTACGTCAGCAATTTCGTTTACAAATGGTTTCTAATATCATTTAAAGTAAGATTTGATAGCATATTCGGTTACTAAAGGCGACCCAATCATCTTCAAACCACTAATAAAAGGCCAATCGTTTCTCATTGATTGAAAAACGAGGAAATGAAACCAAGGAAATCTGAATAAGTTTTACCGAAAGTACAAACTCGTGAATTCTCTGATTGATGACGATTTTATCTCCAGATTCTTTTCGGATAAAGGAATCGCGCTCACCTCCGTCATTTCTAATCCTCAGAAAAGTTAATAAATTGAGTGCAAAGGAGAAAAAGAGTTATGGTTTTTGGCAATAAATTTATAATCAAATCGTTCCCATCAACAATTCGAAGAAACGATACATGAATTATCGGATATACTCAAATTTTGGCGGGAAGAAGCAAGGATCGGGCGATAATTTTCGTGGCAATTCGCAAATTTTAATTTGCTAATAACAAAAGGAAAATTGTAAAGGAAAAAAATATTTTGACAAGTTGCAAAATTGGAGATTTTTTAATTAAATAATGCCGCGTTGCTAGAAGCCACAGGGAAACAGAATTTGCATAGTCCGAGAGAGGGATGACTGCTCTATGACCATGGCACGCTCTTTTTCTTTTATTTACTCTGGTAAAGGTGCAATTAGCGAAAACTAAAAAGTCATTCCAAAAGATTGTTTTTTGACACCGGGTTTTGCCCACACAAAAAGTTTGGAATGATGTGCAGTGCAGTCCATTTCTTTCGTTATCAGTCTGCACTTTTCGAGTTGGGAAATTCCTCGTGTTTGCACATAATTTTTATCTACTTATAGTCATGCTTCTTCACCCGATCCTTGTACGTAGACATTTAGAGTTTATGGAAAATTCGAACACGTTTTTTAACGGTCGAAGGCTGGCGTACTGTAGCGGAGGTCCATTTTCAGTATTTTAGAAAGTACGCGTCGTAGAGACAAGCGGCCTTCGCCATCATCTTTATCGTGCTCTAAAACCTATTTTTGTAATTTTCGCCGAAGTCCTAGCTCATAGAGAAATGTTAGAAATTCTCATATTTCTGCCCTTTAATTACTAACAATCGCGCCATAAGTCCGTAGAATTGGCACAGTGCGTTTTTTGCCCCCAGCCGCTGCAACGTCCCGTTTTTGCACTAGCTACATGCACCTTTCGGCGTATCCTGCGATGACGGCGGAAAAAATTCTACGGCCTATATTTCGCGACTAGTACGACGTGCACTTTCTTAGATACTGAAAATGGACCTCCACTACAGTAGGCCAAGCTACAGTAACCTTTTCAAATTTTTTTGTGAATTCGTAATAAG